TGAATAAACAACAAAAAAAAACCAAACAAGATGAGTGTAGATGGGTCGTTAGTGTAGAGTTAGTGGTGGGAGCAGTGAATGTACTGCACTTCCTGCTTTAGTCGCAAGACGCTCGAGAGTTGGAGTAGATTGAATAAACAACAAAAAAAAACCAAACAAGATGAGTGTAGATGGGTCGTTAGTGTAGAGTTAGTGGTGGGAGCAGTGAATGTACTGCACTTCCTGCTTTAGTCGCAAGACGCTCGAGAGTTGGAGTAGATTGAATAAACAACAAAACAAACCAAATAGGAGGAGTGTACATGGGTCGTTAGTGTAGGGTTAGTGGTGGGAGTAGTGTAGGAGTTAGTGGTGGGAGAGTGAATGTACTGCACTTCCTGCTTTAGTCGCAAGACGCTCGGGAGCTGAAGGAGCCCTAGGAAAAATAAGCCAGTTACATTGGTTCAGCGAAGCAGAACTCTCAGTGACGAACTTACAGAGCCCACGAGATCGCTGCTGGGCCACTCCTAGGCATTCTACCCACCTTGAAATACATAATTTATGCAGACGGGGTTCGTAAGCCAGTTGGCTTAGCACTCGATGTCACCGTACTACCTGTAACTGTCTGATAATGCTCTAAATGCGAACCGCATCGGTGACTAATCGAGCCACTCATGGGATTTTGCCACACCAGACAAACCTAAAAAAAATGAACCTGATTGTTTTCTTTTAGTTCTTCTTCTTCCTCCTCTTTTCTTTCAATCCACCTGTGTTTACTTACAAATTGTGCCAAAGCAAGATGGAAGTAATGGACTATCAAAGAAGCCGTGCAATTGGCGTCATTGAAAGAGCTTTCTTCAATGTCCCAATGTGTAGATACAAATTGAGAGTGTCCCATAAGTTAGATGAAACCGGAACCCCACTTGATTTCGACACACACTTTAAGGACCTGACTATCAAGAGAGTTACCCAATTGGTGGATGCAGGAGGGATAATATTGCAGTTTCAGGATTTTGCTGCCGTTGCAATTTGGTTCCCACCAGGCGTCAAGCCACCAGCTGGTGATTCCGAGGGAACTCCCTCTTACGTAGACTACTACTCAAAGTCTACTGCCATTAAAAAGAAAAACCACGAAAAGCTAGGCAATGAGTACTGGTATTTGAATACCATTGCAAGGGATCCAGATATAACTTACGGCCACGAGGGAATTCGAAGTTCCGGTGTGGTTGGCCCTTTAATCAGACTGATCTTGTGGCAAGCAAGTCAGAATAATATTCCAGCAGTGTTAGAGGCTATCAGCGATCGCGCCAGAGATATCTATTTGCACTATGGATTTGAGGTTGTTGATACATTTGAACTTGGCCAAGGCGAAGAGATATACACTGTGTATTTGATGATACATAATAAAACAGCCGAAGAGTACGAAGAGTCCAGTAAATAGTATGTATACATTTACTCCACTAGCTAGGAAGCTGTATATTTATTTCTACGAACCTCGAGCCAGCCGAATTTAAACATGGCATCGCGGGCATGTACTTACTGCGGCTCATACAAAATAATATGCCCAACCCATAATATATGACCGTGTAAGTTATTTCCTAAATTAATAGAAAGATATTGGATAAAGGCTCCTAAAAATGAGAAAATCTGTAATTTGAAGGAATTATATAGAGATAAGCACCTTGGTTGATGGGTAACTTAGCATCTCGCTGCTTGTTGACGGATGTGCTTACTCTTGGCCCAAGTCGCAACATTCGATCGGAAGCTTGCACAGGCATAACTGCAGCAATACTTCCTAAATAGACCTACATGACGGTGATTGTTTGAACTGGGATATATGTTCCTCGGCAACAATCAAAAAAAATCTAAGATTCTTCACTACATTACTCAAGAATACGGCATATTCCAGGAGATGTTTTTCAAATTAAACGCATCTACTTAATGACATCATATTAAAAAAACTCGCTATTATTTTGCTTTTTCACCTGAAATGATTTTTGCATGTTTTATTATATGAAGAATAATGTTGGAATTAGATTGCCATTCAAAATTGAATCTGCTGAGCACAAAAAATGCAAACGTATTCAATTAGAATCCTTTCGATATAATGAAAGCCTAAGGTTAAATCATTGAGTGGCGCAAAACTTTTTAAAAATAGATCTGCTGCAGAATTATACATGAGGCTCATGAAAATTTACGAAGCTAAAAGACAAAATTTACGATTTGTAAAAGTTCATTTTTCAGTAGAGCACCCACATCCTACAAACTCAAACTGTTATGAATTAGATATAGATTGTTTCTAGACAAGCGGTGTTACGTATACCAAGATGGGTCGTATCCTTTCAAAGTATATGAGGTAATTTCACCTTGAAACATATGAGATGGTGTCTTTTTTATTCCGCATGCATGTTTTTTTAAATGGTTTGCCACCATCTTTGACCAATAATATTACTTAAGAATCTACTTAGCATATGGTTATATATATAACTTCTCATGTTGATTTGTTGAACATAAATGTATTTTTGTAAAGTTTAGGCATGGTAAGACTAAAGTCGTAATCCTCATTACTTCGACGCGATGAACCCTAATATGCTTGCGAAGCTATTGCCGATATTTTTATTCAACTCTGCTGTTGTCGAAAGTCTTAGATTTGACTCGTTCAATGGGCAGGTTAGAGAAGATAGGCAATACTTTGATGCGTTCATTGCGAAATTGAGTGATAATCCAACACACAATGCACTGCACAGTATTATTGTGGAATCAATTTCAATGAAGAATGCATCGGTTCCGATTCCTGATATCCCGATCTTTATGTATCCTTTTGCTGATTTGCATAAATTTAACATGAGCTTTGATGTTTTCTCTAGTCATCCCTTTAAAGGTGACGAAGATTTTCTGAACGTTACAGTTAAAGATGAATTTGCAAGTGATAACATTTCCTACTACATTGGGTATTTAAACACTAGTCAATTCAACAATGCAAATATGGATTTAGAAGTTCAGGCCACATTGAATGTTAAGGAAAATGGGGAGTATTCAGCTGTGATGAGAATCCCAGAAGAAGTTGAGGAGTTGCATACCAAGGAAAGGATCATAAACTCATATGGGTATTTGCCATTTGAGGTATACAGTACGTTACATTCACAAGTCATTTATTGTATCATTTTGACTTTGTTGATCGTATTAATGAGCACTACTTTCTTTAAGGACGGTATATCTGCTGATAAGAATGGTGCATGGTTCAGTATTTCTTCAGTTGCAATCATATTTAAATACTTTTTTTGCTTTGTTTACTTGCCACATTATTTTAGTACAATCATTCGACTTGCGTTTAATTTTTATTTCAATTATAATGAGGTAGGCAGCCTATATGAGGACCAGCTGCTACTTAGTATATTAGATTGGGCTGATCACATCATCAACATAACCGAAAGATATATTTATTTCCTACTCGCTTCAGGATATGGGAGTAAGTACGCCGGACCGTCATCATTACCTAATCCAATGCCTAAAAAATTGTGGAATACAGGGTTGATTCTTTACATTGCAAACATTGTAAGCTTTTCTTTCTCAAGAAAAATTCACATGTTCGTTAATAAAAGGAGAAATATTTTCACGTTTGTTTTGTCAGAGTTCTTTCAACGTCTGATAGATTTTACATACCTTGCAATGTGGATGATGATTATTGTTGTGAACTTTTTTAGCAACCTCAAGAACCTTGGCAAGCATTCATATAATGAAAAGTACTCGGAGAAGCATATAGCAAAAGTTGCAAAATCCTACAAAGCGTCTATTATACCAATCCTTATTGTCCCATTAGTTATGCGTACTATCGATGTTATTATAACGATAGACGATATATTTAGTGGAAGAAGCTTTCAAATTTTCTTTCAAGATGGAGCATATTTTAGGCACGATTATGGTTTGCTTCCTCTCTGGAGTGGTTATTTGGAAAAGTTGTCATTCATGATATTTATCTACTATTTTTGGACTGGGATATATGACGGAATAAGACCATTTGGAGTTGATTCTACAAAACAGATCAAATTTCAATGAATACTTTCAGCTGTAATAGTTTTTGCCCTTTCACACGGAACTAAGTAATAGTTGATTTAAGCATTTAAAAATAGATGAGCCGCATGGAACCGTGGCAATACCTTAAACAAAGTTAACCTGTCAAACTCTGATTGAGGAATTGACAGATCATATAACAGATCATAAATTTATGCAAATTACCACACACACTTAAATAAGTATTTAATTAGAGCTTATCCAATAATGTACGAATTGAGGCCAAATGATACATACTTCTTAATCGAAGTCTAAACTAGCCATCCGTTTGCACGGAGAATGTGTTACTTTCCACGCATTCATGAAATTTTCTGGTGCAGGATATAAATTGGCGAGCTTGCCATCATGCAAGAAAGCCTCGAAAATAAAGTACACCCCTTTAAAAATACTCCATCCCTTCTATTGTTCACTGTGTGTTCTTTGTCAAGTATAAACATCTTCTCACACGAGTATAACAATTGAGCCACTCTTCGTATTTTTTGTAGAGAAAAAAAAGAGCGACTGCTTGCAAAAGAAAAAAAATCAATATGTTACTCGTGAAGATATTTCTTATATTATTTCTCAATATAATCAATGTTAATGGTAGAAGGTATCCTGGAGGTGGAGGTGGAGGTGAAGATGATTATCTTTCAAAGCACCAGAATTACTATTGCACCCATGTATCAAGCGTAGGTGATGGTCTAAATCTGGAGGCCCAGTTCAACGTAATCGTGGAATCAATCTCAATGAATGATTCATCAGTTCCTATCCCTGATATCCCGATCTTCATCTTCCCTTTGGCTCAACTCAAAAAATTTGATCGCAATTTTGATTTTTCAATTAAGTATGGTGGATATTTCTGGATGTGGGACAGTCAGAGCTCTTTCAATGTGACAGTTAAGGATAAATTTGCCAACGATGACATCAACTACTACCTTGGAAGTTTAGAAGCAAGTAAATTCAACAAAGCTGATGAGAGTACAGAAGTTCTGCTAAAATTTGATGTAAAGAAGAGTGGCATATACTGTGCCGTTATAATTCCCCCAGAAGCGGTTGAAGAATTACATACCAAGGAGTATGCGTTCAACTCTCACGGGTACTTACCATACCAGAAGTACATTACTTTGCGTTCACAACTTATATATTGTTTTATTTTGACGTTGCTTATTGGCTTAATGGGCTTTACTTTATACCAACATGGTAAGAAGTACGGTGATTCTGCTTACGAAGGATTTGATAGTTCTTCGGTTGCACTTATTCCCAGAGTCTTTTTCTGTTTTGTATATCTTCCAGGGTATATAAGCGCAGTCATAAGATATGCTTTTAACTTGAATGCCAATTATGCCCAAACTAATTTACAGCACAAAATCTTAATAAATATATTAGATCTGGTCGATAAGTTGTTGAATGTTACTAATAGCTATGTCATATTCTTACTCGCAGCTGGTTATGGAAGTTTCTACAGTGGACTAGGATTTGGATATCAAAAGCCATCATCTTCTCCTACATCATTCCATACTCCGATGCCAGCTAGAATGTGGAATAGAGGCATCCAATTTTACGTTTTGAACATTTTGAGTAAGTTTTTACTGGAAGTCATTGACAATTATGGGGATAAAATACACCTAGTGGTCGACTACTTCGATGGGGTTGTTGATGGAGACAAACACATAAGTGCTTATTACTTTGTTGTTCCTATAATAGATTTTTTGAATATCACATTTCCATTAATATGGGTAACTACATCAGTTGTTTACTACTTCCGCAATCTGAAGAACATGGGTAAGCTTTCACAAAGAGAGACTAACTCCAATCAATACATAGCTAAGATAACAAAATCTTATCGATCATCCTTTGTACCCATTTTTATTATACCCTTTGTGTTTGGTGTAATTTATCTAGGAATAATAATCAAACAAGTGAATTCAACTGGGAAGAAATTTAATCGACCAGATATCTTCCATATAAATCCAAATCACGATGATGACAGAGCAGATAATAATTTAGCCAATAACCCCACATACACTGTACTAAAGCTCTGGACCAATTACCTTGCTACAGTGCTAAGTATGATTTTTACATACTTCTTTTGGATAAAGGATAATGTTGGTATCAAATTGCTGTCTAGAATTGGCTCTACAGAGTTCAGTCAAATTCCAATGACAGATTTTAATTAGATTATACTTAGAATAATGCCATATACAATATGCTGATATGTTACTGAAAATGAAAAAAGTAATTCTTAATATTTATTACGTACAATTGAAAGCACCAGCCATGCAACTATTCTTGTTTGTTCGATCTTACCCTCTGTGCATCATTTAGAAGTTTATCATAGACTTCGTCTACGACAGCATTGACGTCATGACCTTCTAAATTATCTCCATTTTTATCATTTGACTCCATTGAATCAATGGATACTACATCATCTAAATCAGGAGAATTTGAAGGATCATTCGTAGTGCCAGCGCTGGCACTTGGCGAAGCATTAGATGTTGATGCTGAAACCCCGCCAATTTTACTATGAGGTGGTCCTGCAGCATTAAATTCACTAGTGCTATTATCCTGCAGACCGCTAACGTTATAAATTCTGTCCAAACTAACTCTGTTATTATTAATATTGTCAATTAAATCAGTTACACTTTCAATACCCTTCGCAGTAATAATCGCATCTCTGAGCTCCGATCCTGAAGGTAAAACATTAAGCGTAGGGATATCCCTAATATTCTTTGCATCATCGACAACATCGTTCTGACTATTTCTTTGCTGCATGTAAAATCCAAACTTATGAAGTTCCCCTTCTTCTTCTTCTTGTTCCCTTGCATGAGCTGAAGTTTGAGATATCGATCTCATTAGTACTGGTCTACCAGTCAAGTAGTCTATAGGCACATCTTTACCATCAGATGAAGAGTCTACAACAACTGTGTGTGGCTGGAAGGTCTGATCTGTAAAATAACCTTGTTGATTATTCAAATCCGCCGTGTTGTGGGGAGATAATATAGGACCAGCAGTAATCATTTCACTCGAAGATTCATGCAAAGTATCATGTAAGGGCATATTGAGACTGAGGGCATTTCCAATGGATTTTAAAACATTGGAGCCTAAGCCAGTTGTTGTAGGTGAAGGTGGAGAAAGCCTTGTTGTTGGCAACTCGACAGAATTGTTTCTGACAATTTTACTCAAACCTGCAGGTCCTAATGTACTTGGAGTGTTTTCAGAACCGATTCTCCCATCAATAGCACCTTCTACTGAGGGGGAAGGAGAAAGTGCTTGACCGCCCAAGGCATTGTTCTTAGCATGCTCTTCAAACATATGGAACACTTTTTCCAAGGAACTATCGAGTAAACAAAATCTTAGTAAAGTCTCCTTTCCCTCTAGCGTTAAAGTTCCTTGAGTTCTTTTCAAAAATAATGTATCAATGGTCTTATGGATATCTTTCCTAACAGCTCTGGTTCTTTCAATTAATGCATTCGTAATCAATCTCTGTATCTTTGGATCTTCCTTATTTTCCTTGTCATTAGCAGCAATAAGTTTCTCTGCAGTTTCCATCAACAATGAGCCATCAAACATCAACTCTTCATCATCATCACGGTCTGCGATGTACAACTTATTAGCATCGCTGTTCATCGTTATATCCATGTTTCTCATCAAATAAAACGCCATTCTTTGTGATAATTCATCAGAAACTAAATCATAGTCCAAGTCTAAGGTGAACAATGATTTAGACATCTTCACTGCAGTATACAAAACTCCCGCAGCTCCATGATCTAAGTTTCTATTACCTAAAAAGGATACATGGAATAAGCCTTCACATTTTGGTAAGATATCAGCAATTGCACCAATAGATTGTGGTGTCAAATCATTCAAATCAAAATGAATTCTTCTCAAGTCTTTCAACATAGGAAGATATTTATTTAATCTACTGATAATACCCGGGAAAAGATCTGGCAACGACAGTAAATCCAAAAATCTTAGTAGTTTTACCTTCGTTAAAGACCTAAGCAACTCTCCGACTTCTTCAACGTTATTTAATTTAGTTGAATTCAACGAAAAGAATAATAATTTTTGGTTCCCCCTATTAAAGGAGTTGATGAATGGTTTCAAAAGACCACCATTCAAATTATTAAATGCTATATCAACTCCAACACATCTAGATTCAGGTCTTCCGATCCAATCTGCAACAACCTGTGCCTTATGCAAGTTTAGCTCGATAGCAGCAATTCCTAACCGATAGGTTTTATTTGCAGCTTTTTCGATCAACTCTGTGAAAATTTCATCTGTAAGTTTACAACCATTGATAACCAACTCTTCAATACCACCTCTTTCAACCAATGCCTCTATAAAGCTTGGCCAATCCATAGAGGATCTGATCAACGAAGCCGGAGTATCAGGTTTAATTCTCTGTTGAGAAATGTCTAACTTTTTAACAGTTTTATTCTTAGACAAGAATTGACATAAATATTTCCAACCTATGTCATCCATTGCAACGTTTCTTAAGGACAACTTTTCCAAATATCTGTTATAGACCAATGAAGAAAGGAAATGCTTTAGCATTTCAGTTGTCATCGTAACATTATCGAAAATAATTGTGTTGATTGGAGTAATAGCAATGAAATCTGAGAAAGATAAGACGTCGATCAATGTTGGCTTTGGATTTAATAATTTTAAAACTTGCAATGGTTTAGTTTTATTCTTCAATTGCTTTAACGTTGCTGGAATGGGTAAAATCTCCCTCAAATGACAACATCTAGTATAAATTGTTTCCAATGACAAGCTATCAATTATATCCTGATCATCCATATCATCAGAAGTTCTCTTCAAATCATCATTTTCTTCGCCAGGAAAGTAGTTCTCATGAACATGCAATGGCTTATCAATTTCGATTTCATGCTGAGAGTAATTTATTCTATCGGCCTCAGCATCTCTTTCTGCAGCTAGTTCTTCCTCATCGTAATCAACTGATTTTCTTCTCTGGTCCTTAGACGACAACTTGATCTTGTACTGTGCCACCTCATTAGCAATCCTTTTAGCTGCGAAATGAGCTTCATGGGCATGCTTTGCAGCTTCGATTAAAGCTTTCTTCTGAGCGTCAATAGCCTGTGCTAATTCTTTTTCACTACACTTGTTTGACTCGACTTGGATTGGATTCTTACCATCACTGAGTGAAATTCCTTGCGATAATCTTGGGGGAGCCGCAACTAAGTCTTCTGGAATCAAAACGTTACCCTTCTTGGGGCGCCTTGATGGAATTTGTTGTTGGGGGTCGAATGCCAATTTGTCAATAGCAAATGTCACTCTACGCAAATTAACATTTACAGTTTCATCAGACTCGAATTTGTCGTCATTGATCGTGCACAATGGAGTAGGCACGGATGGTTTTTCTTTTTTAGAATGTGGCTCTTGCAGTTGAGTATCAGGCAGATTTTTAGCAAGCAGAGGACTTTGATGCTGGTGTTGTTGCTGTTTGCTGGTCGACGAATTACTGCTGGAACTTGTTCTTCTTTTAGGGATTCCATCTGGTGGTTTATTTGTCATTGCAATTAAGTCCTGGTTACTGCTCTGATTATTGTTTGAGACTCCAAGGAGGTTTAATTGAGGCTTCAGTAATGGATGACCGTGATGACCATGAGTCTTATCAGTAGGGGATATTCCAGTACCGGAATCCGATCTAGACCGGGTATTATCGACTGCATTTGTAGGGGTTGGATCTGGGACAAATGTATCAGTAATGTTTACCCCAGTACCGTTTAAAGTCGAATTAGAAGAACTTGAGGCAGTCTGACCTGCGTTTTGCCCACTTCCCTTGAATTTTGATGAAATTGAACTGAATAACGACCTCTTGCTAGTAGATCCAGATCTAGAAATAGATGGTGTTTCACTTTGAACAGAATTGCCGCTGCCGGCACTGCTGACACTCAGATGCTTTACAGAATTCTTTGGAGATATATTGTTTTGAGGAGGTGAAGGGGTGGGTATAAACCCTACACTACTTCTTCTTCTTGATGGTTGAGTCTGCGAGGACTCAGATGATGATCTGCTTCTTCCAATCTTGAAAATGTCTAGCTTTGAGATCTTTTCTTCTACAGGAGGCTGTTCTGCCTTGTGGGACGGTACTTCGGTGGAGGAAGGTTTTAATGCAGATGCTGGAGTTGTGGAACCATTGTTGCTGTTATTGAGAAGGTTTCCTTTGGAGCTGGATGTGGTTGATACTGGAGAGATTGTCTTTGAATTGCCACTAGCTGGTGTCAGTGGCGAAAGTGCAGCAGCACTCGAAGCAGCACCAGCAGGTTGGGCCGCCAGTATGGTAGCTTGTTGAGACACAGCACTGTCTCTTCTTTTATTTGAAATATCCTTGTGCTCGTCGAGACTTTGTTTCCTTTCCTTATCGGAGGCACCTGTGTTGGCGGTAGCAGCGGAAACCGAAGGATTTTGACTATTCATCTTTTTAGTGAGTTTCTTCGACTTACCACGAAACAACCAATCGACATCTCCATTGGAGACCCCAGTTTCATACTCTGCAAGAGTATTAACAGGCTGTGGTTGTTGTTCTGTGGGGTTCTGGCCAGACATTTGGATGCAGTGGTTAAATGTAGGTGAAGAGTACGAACGTAGTTGACTGGCCGTGTGGCGATGACCCTGTGAAACCTCAGAAGGAAAATAGCGTGATTGATTCTTTACTATGTAATTCTTTCTCTCTCTTTGGATCAAGCGAAGAAAAAAGATAAACTGAACTAAAAAATAACCTAGCTTTGTTTCCAAACGAGCTTAGATACGCCCCTTTAGAATTGGATTTCTAAATGAGGTACTTTCTAACAAGAGTAGACCGGGCAAACCTTCTACTCTATTATTCCACACTCTAATTTTAGTGCACGCTAATTTTCTCGGTGCACCCGATTGCGTGGAAAAATACGATCAACGATTTAATTAGAGAAGGTGGCCTGTACAGATAGCTCAGCATGCATTTACGTGAGCAGTGTTTAGAGATGTGGAGATGGTGCACTGCAGCGAACAGGGCGAGGAGGGGTGGAAGGATACGGAAAAAAAGGGAAGGGAATGAGTGAGGGAAGAAGGTGAGAGCAGAGCAGGGAACAGGGGGCAGGGAGCAGTAATGGAGGGAATGAAAGATGGAGAGGACAGAGGATGAAGGATGGGAGTGGACTGAGACAAGAAGGTAAGCTTGAGTGTTATGGTATGTAATTACCCTGCGTCTTACATTTATATTCCAAGTTTATCATTCGACCGCCGCTGCTGAGCGCAGCAACCACACAGCGAGCGCTCGCTATTCGCTTCTCGCGTAGTAGTGTTCCAAAATATTTATTTTTATTTTTTCGTGCTGACATCATCCCAGCACTGGCAGGCCCTGCAGGGAAAGAATTTAAATGGGAGGCCCAAAAAAGAAGCTAAGAAAAACAAACATGAAATTGCTGCACTACCAAACAGCGCTGAAACACCAGACATAGGGGAAGAGGAAAAGTGGAGAACAGAAAGCGGACATGAGAGGAAAATAGCCATAAGAAAACAATGGGCAGCAAGATAGTACATTCCGGTATTCAAGTATTCGAATATTCATATTTCATTCACTATTTTATTTCATTCACTGTTTATTTCATAGATTAACATTTCCTTCATCCTCATTGGCACTTTTTCCATCTCCTCTAAATCCACCTTATTTCCTTCTAAGTCCACCTCATTTCCTTCTAAATCCTTCTCATTGACTCCCCTCCCAATACTATTCTCCTAAATCTGTATTCTCCTATACCTATCACGCACCATCGCAGAACCCACCCTAAGCGGAAAATAACAGAACTAACTGGAACCCCAACGAACGAAAAAGTAATTTAAAAAAAGTAATTTCTACTTTTCACCTTCTTCTCTTGCTCTATGGATGACACTGATAAACGTTCTTAATCAAAAGCCTAATCGCTAGATCATAGTGCGCTGCCGGTCATATGACCCGTTCGCGCTCCCCAATCATCTCCGACTGCTTGTTAATACGCTTCTAGATATCATTCTGATTACATACGTCCGGCACATAAACCATTTCCGAGGCCCGATCCGAGGTGTGCGCCACACAGAATCCCCTCTCAACAGGATTTTCCCTCACTAGATTTAATAGATAAATAGGAAGGGTGCGAAGGAGAAAACTGAAAAATAAAAAAAAAAAATTAAAAAATAGAAGGCACTCATTACAAAAACGAGGAGTACGAAGCAAACAAGAACAAACCGATACATTAATCGTTCTTTTCACCTCAATAGTATTAATTCATCACAAAACATGTTTACCAGATCCGCCATAGCATCTATCAGAAGAACCGGAGCCAGCAGCTTGGTAGCTGCCTCCAGAGCCTCATTGGCCACTCCTATGGTGCCAGCCATGATGACTGTCGCACCAAAGAGAATGTACCACGACAAAGTGCTCGATCATTACGCCAACCCAAGAAACGTTGGTGTTTTAAACAAGCTTTCCAACGATGTCGGAACAGGACTCGTTGGTGCCCCAGCCTGTGGGGATGTCATGAGACTCCAGATCCAAGTGGACGATGCCACCGGAGTCATAAAGGATGTCAAGTTCAAGACCTTCGGATGCGGTTCGGCCATTGCCTCCTCTTCTTACGTGACTGAAGTCATCAAGGGTAAGACCTTGGAAGAAGCATTGAAGGTTAAGAATACCCACATCGCCAAGGAGTTATCCTTGCCCCCAGTTAAGTTGCATTGCTCTATGCTTGCCGAAGATGCCATCAAGAGTGCAATCAAGGACTACAAGACCAAGAGAAGTAGCATGGCTAAGCCAACTCTTGGACCTGATGCTGTTCCAGCTCACGCTTAGTGACAATGAGCTCACACTTTGGCTATAGTGCTACCTATAATCGACGGGGTTGATTTGGTTTATTTATTCGATCTTTGTATGTATATATTCAGAATAATATGAAAAATGAAATTAGTGTGTAGTAGTGTATTTGTATGTTATCTGTGTATTTGTATGTTATCCGTGTCACTGTGTTGTCTGTGTCATCTATATTATCTGTGATATCTGTGTTGTCTCTGTCATCTATATGATCTGTGTTAATTGCATTATCTGTATTATCTGAGCTAATTGCATTATCTGTGATAGCGCACCAGAGGTCTGTGACATGGGGTCGCTGTCTATCGGTCTTTGGAGCGTGGGGTCCGTTTGTTATTGAACTTCGTATGCTGTTCGTGTTTTATCCATACTCTGGTGTACGGAGTACTTGGATCCTGTCTGGGGATCCGTGTGTCTAGGTCTGCATTTATAAGTCTCTCTCTGCCGGTACCTAGAATTCCACCAGTCTACTTGCACCTTATACACCACTTACCTTAGCAAGAGTATACCCCTTACCAGAGGAAGTGCTTGATATACTTTGTGAACAGCTTTGCCATGAACCCAGTGTCTAACGACATCCTCCTGAATCTTAACAAACTGATCACACTCAACAACGTGAGCCCATTGATTATGACATAGCCCAACTTCTTATCTCTGGCGCTGTATCTTCGCCTAATCTTCCAGAGCCCGCCAATCATATGGTACAGACCCACCCAAACCAACAAGACAATGCCGGCGAAATTTAACAACTTCTGGTACTTTGGAAACACTTCATCAAAGTGTAAAATGTGACTAATATACTGTAACGAGATCAAGCTCGAGTCTCCATCAACTTGTACAGGTGACCACCTAAACTTGATGAAATGATATGCTAACACTGGGATTAGTACGTATCCCGAGAAGGTCAACGGCGTCAAATTGGGGGTTAGTCTTGATATCCAAGACTTCCTATACCCAAGACCAATGAGTCCAGTGATTCCGCCGAACCCGATGTCATCTCTCTCCAGATCGTCGAAGATCGGCATATCATTGTTTCCAAGCTTCAGCTTGAGAACAGCACCACCTCTACGTTGATTACGAATGTAGCTCTGAATTAGTCTCTTCCCAACTCCGCTTGCAATGTGTGCAATGGAACAACCCGTCACAAGTATAAATTCCATGCCGGGAATTTGTTGGTATATAGCTCTGCCCATCTCAAACAAATCCTGTGATGCACTTAGAGGAACTCCCAACCCCGGCGCTATGATCACCGACAGTATGTGGATCCCGACAAAGGTAGTGAATAAGTAGCCTGTGTACTTTTGAGTCTTCTCTAAGTAGTGCACTATCTTTCGGAGTGTGGGGTACTGATGCTTAGAACCATATGGTAAACTAGAATCTGAAGGTGTAAGTGAGATAGAATTAGAATTAGAATTGGATATGGACTTTTCAAGATCTTCCAACGTTATAGGCTCAGGCTGAATATGCTTCAAAGAGTTTGGCGAAAGAGGGTTCTGTTGAGCGTGCAGATGGTGCTGGCTAGAAGTTTGGGGAGTTAGATGGGACATGATACTTCCTTTAAAAAAGATAGCTTCCTGGTTTCTTTTTCAGTTAGAGTTTCAAAATAGACTATCTAAAGTGAGCAATTGCAGCCAGAAAAACAAAGATTCAACACAACTGGAAATAAGATAATCACAAATGTGGGAGAATTGTAAGATGAGCTAATAGATTTTTGGGTATGCACTTGAGGACCCTACCATTATATAGTCCTGCACATAATTGGTTGCAGAGCGCCCTGGACTTACCATTGAGCCCAATTCTATTGGAGGGAGAGAAAAGAGTACTGTAAAAGCCAGGAAAGATGGGGAAAAGAAAGAGAAAAGCTTTCTATATCATGTAGAGTTCTGTTTAGAGTGAAAAAGAACTATTTTTGGCGAAAATTTGCTGTTTTTGGGCTACCTAATTGCCTCTGGTTATCAGGCTTCCTCATGGTGGTGGTCCAACTCCGATCTGGACTATAGCCCACGTTCCTGCACACACGCATCGCCAATGGCGCTTCCCATGCTCTCACCAAACTTTTTAACTCCACGTCTCCAGAATAGAGCAGGTCTTAAATGATTTAGTGCAATTACACTACAAACCATCTAAAATTCAGTCTACTATGTCTTCGCCTTCCTTTGCTCAAACAAGGGGCCAGGCGCTAAATTTAGAAAAGCAGACAGACGCACAATTATCGAAGTATTCTTCTTTCCAGAACACCTCGTCTACCTCAGCCACAGAGGAAGAGACCAGTATAGAGCAATCGATAAACGAATTGTTGGACAAGAGAGACCAGATTATATCTGCGTTAAACAGAATATCGGAGTCGGACTTATCATTATCAACATCCAAGTTACAACAATTACAAAGGCATAAGGAAATTTTCCAAGAACATAAATCCATATATGACAAGATCAAGGCAACCATCAAAGATGATCGGAATAGAAACAACTTGTTGTTTTCCGTAAGATCGGACATTGACGCGCATAAGCAGAGAAATGTGAGCAGCGGAAACGGAGGCAGTTCTCAGGATGCCAATAATTATATAAATGAAGAAAGGGTGAGAGTAGACTCAGCTAACTCTTTTGCCGAAAGATTATTACAGCAAGCGTACACCACAAGAGATGAGTTATTCAGCCAAAGAAACTACTTGAATAACGCTCAACTGACTATGATGAATACTATTCAAACAATTCCCGGAATTAATGTGTTAATATCGAGAATTAATACCAGAAGGAGGAGAGATACCTTGATTTTGGCCTCAGTTATATCCGTCTGCATAATAGTAATATTTTTATACTAAGGATTTTACAAAATACCATTGTTTAAAGAACCGTACATCAAATTTCATGCTGATATGGCCGAGATAATGACTTCACTATGGGGTTGGAGATATTTGGATTCAAATTTGACGCATTTTTGATAAGAAACTCTGCATACAGGCAAATGTGGTACCTGGTACCACATTTTGCCGAGACAGTAGGTACTTGAAACCGCCTTATAAGAGAATGGAGTAATCCCTGAGAAAATTCAAGGGTATTGATCAGCAAAGAAACCTTGAATTATGGAAACAATTAATATAGAGGAACGCATAGCTCAGATAAAACTTCGTAGGCTTGAAGATATCAACGAAAGCTTGAATGCAGCAATACAAAGAAAGAGAATAACTGTGTCAAACGCATCGTATTTGTAAGTATATGTCTTATAATAAATAGTCTCTCCCGCTACTAAATCATTACTAATCATTAGGATACTAAACTTTGTAAAGGAAACTCCAGACTACTTGATTCAGGAGGTTTGGCCCTTACCCCCAGAAAAGTCAAAATACGGTCACCTTTCTAAGCTGCTGCAGGAACTAACAGACAGGGCGGGGGATGCAGAGTGTTGTGTGATAATGTAGCGTGCTAGCCATTTGACTACGTAATAATTATTGCTCTTAATCTGAGTGAAATATTTTCTTAATGTTACATTTTTTTAAAACTTACTTGGTTACAATTGTATAGAAAAATCCGCTTTTGATAAGCATATTAAAACCTACTTGGCTACAAGTATTAATACAAAATAGTCGTTATATATTCCTTTGTAGTAATTTAGAAAAAATAATTACCTAGCCTCTCTGTTTCCCTTCGTTGTTGACTTCAACGTTTCTCAAATGGTCCATGGATTCATTTCCTAAGGTATGGTCTGTTTCCTTTTCATCAGATCCACACCCACAATCGTAGTCTTCGAGAATCTTAGTACAGTCGTATTCTGGCTTACTTAATCTTTCGTTCACCTTGTTGTGTATGTCACATCCCCATAAGGCTGCATTTTTACGAGACTTGGTCTGTGGTGGGTATTTTGCTAATAATTTCTGGAAGTGTCTTGCGCAATCTCCACATGGGTACACCTGAGCAAATAAATGAATGTACTGTTGCAAGGTCAGCTGTTCTTGCGCAGAGGGTACGTCAGGGTACCTTGCCAAGATAGTATGGAATAATCTCCACGAGGCGTTACCAAGTTGAGCTTTTAATGTTTCGTTTGCCATTTTGGGCATGAAGGGAGTTTCTGTGAAATCTCCTACAGATGGTGTCCCATCTTCAACCTCACCACCTACCGCGGCCTTCAGGTTGTCTGAAGACGACGAAGACGAATGCTTGTTATCCTTATGCTTTGGTCTTCTGATCACGCCCGGTTCAGGTTCACTTTCCGGTTCAGACTCTACGATTTTCTGGTCTTCATTCTGTATTTTAAACGAGTTCTGGTTTTCTGCTGAATACTTGTTAAGTGTAACTGGAGCGACGTCACCCAATGCGGCAGAGTTTGAGAAAGACATGAACGAAATCATTCCTATCACTGCTAGGGTTGACAAAGCTACAACCATTGGTCTCTTAATTACTTTCATCTTGGTGTAATGTACAACTATACTACAAATCGAGAAAGATCAGGAAAAGAAAGCAGAGAAATAGATTATATTTACATCTTGGAAATTGTTCAAGATATCTGATGACTTTTTTGCTATTCGCATACAAAAACAATCATCTTCTCACTACACTACAAGCAAAAATTGCCTAATTAAGGTACTGTCCGATCAGAGTGAAGAAATGCGCACCGCACTAAAACAGGCACCATAAGGTGCGGATCAAATCTACGCTTACTTAGAGTGTCGTACGTCTGGGAGAGAAAGTATGGAATTTCGGTGCTTTTAAATTAGTAATCGCAGCGGGTGGCTTGTGGCTCGTAGGTACTGTTGTCTACGAGGCACTGTGTTTTTTTTGCTCTCCGTAGATAAGCCATTCAGGGCCCCCATCAAACCAACGAATAGTACCATTCACCGGCTTGGCAGATTCGTTTTACCTGCAGTCTGTGGCACAGAGTTTACCTGCCGTTAGCTTATTTAGGCTTTGAGTCATTCCTTTAATTTAAACGATCTGTGACACATCTTGGGACGTTAAGTACTGGAGTTTATCTTAGAGTATTTAGGAACTTGTTTGTTGTTTTTAATTCTTTATTTTTTGCTTCTGTTTGCATTCACTTTCATTCCATTCTACTCATATGACTCCCGCCATCGTATCCCTCTTGGATACAGACCTTTACAAGCTCTCTATGCACGCGGCAGTGGTGCAGAGCTTTAAAGATGTTCCTGTGACATACTCGTACACCAACCGTACGCCATCAATGCAACTAAACAAAGCTGCAATTGACTGGTTGAAAGTACAAATTTCGAGCTTGGGCTCCTTGAAGTTTACCCCCGACGAAATCCAGTACTTGAAAGAAACATTGCCACACTTCCCGAAAGAATACTTTGAGTACCTTGTTGATTTCCAATTGAAGCCCGAGGAACAGATCAAATACACCAATGACACAGACGACTTGGCGAATTTCGACATTGAAATGGCTGGGACCTGGAGTGAAGTGATCCTCTACGAAATCCCCATCTTGGCCTTGGTCTCTGAGGCCTACTTCAAGTTCGTTGATACCGAATGGAACTACGACGGGCAGGAAGAGTCTGCCAAGTGGAAGGGAGAGCAGTTGATTGCCAATGGCTGCATATTCAGTGAATTCGGTACTAGAAGGAGAAGAAGTTTCAAGACTCAGGAGATAGTTGTGAAGACGCTTGCGACTTCCTTGGGGGACGGGGCCAAGGGCATTTTGTTAGGTACTTCCAATGTTTATTTGGCTAAGAAGTATAACCTCGCGCCCATTGGTACTGTAGCCCACGAATGGTTCATGGCTATAGCTGCAATTACACAGGACTACACCAACGCAAACAAGGCGGCTTTGGACTACTGGTTGAAGACTTTTGGACCAGAATACGCTGGCTTGGCTTTAACTGATACGTTCGGAACAGATTCCTTCTTAAAGATCTTCGATAAGCCGTACACTGACTACTACATTGGAGTCAGACAAGATTCCGGGGATCCACAGGAATACGCAGCCAAGTTGGCCAAACATTACTTCGAGACTTTGGGATACCCCAAATTTTCCAAGTCGGTATGCTTCAGTGATTCGTTGAACGTTGAGAAATGTCTCAAGTACAAGGCTTACTCGGATTCAATTGGAATCAAGGCAAGTTTCGGTGTCGGTACGTACTTTACCAACGACTTCAAGAACAGCGCAACAGGCGAGAAGTCCACCCCAATGAACATTGTCATCAAGCTCCGAAAAGCGGCCGGAAACCCATGCATCAAGATCAGTGACAACTTGGGGAAGAACATGGGAGACGCAGATGTGGTGAAGAGGGTTAAAGAAGAATTGGGGTACCAAGAGAGAAACTGGAAAGAGGGAGATGAGAGCAAAAGATGGTAACTGCCAGACTGCCAGAGTTTCCCCACTGTAACAGTTCAATAGTTAATTTTATATAATACTGATAGAAACTAGAAATGTATATGAAGCACATACGCACACACGCACACACGTACACACGCACATACGCAGCTATGCTTGGTTATCTGGGGTAACAGATTCTACATTCGTACAAACTGCTCCTTTTTTTCTTTCTGATTTTCTTACTGTCTTTACGTAACTACTTCCCACAACTCGAAACCGCCCTCCCTAGACACCAGAAGACCCTTCATCCCCTGGTGACCAGGCCGTACTCTTCCAGCCCCATCCCACCCCATCCCAGTGCAACCCCAGGCTCATCCTCCCATAGTAGTGCTCACCTCAATTACGCACATCACCAAAAAAGCGTGCGGCGTCTCAGTCCAACCACAAATGAATGAATGAGATGAAGAGGAGACCGGCCCGTTAGTTGTATCTCGATTTCCTTAATGAACTTGTCTTATGAAAACCTTTTGAATCTCCTTTCCATTGCTAATGGTTCCGAGAGATCATCGGAGCAACAGCAGGCGGAAATTCAACTCAAGGCGTGGGAGGTTGAGAGTGGATACCACTACCTCTTGCAGGAGATCTACTTGAAGGAAGAGCTACCGCTCCAGATCCGATGGCTTGCTGTTATTTGCTTCAAGAATGGGATTGATAAGTACTGGAGATCGTCTCGTGCCAATGCCATCAGCAAAGAAGAAAAAGTGCAGATCAAGTCGAGGTTGTTCCTTATGGTTGGTGAGAAGAACAACCAGTTGGCTATCCAGAATGCACATTCAATTGCAAGAATTGCCAGGTTTGATTTCCCTCAGGATTGGCCCACGATATTCGACTCCATTTCACAGATGCTAGAAGAGAGCGTGTTCACCAAGAACGACTTGGTAGCTACGAACAACTTGCTCATCATTTTGAACCAGATCATCAAGACCGTGTCTATAGTTCGTGTGGGTAGAGCTCGTCATGCATTGCAGCTGAAGGCTCCCGTCATTGCACCAGTTTTGATCAAATTGTATGTCAAATTCTTCCAGCAGTGGACCACCGTAGCCTTTGATTTGGGAACAATGCAGATATGTTACATGTGTTTGAAGAATTTGCGTAGATTGATCCCCGAGGGCTACGAAACTCCTCATAAACTGCCTGAGATCATTGAGTTTTTAACGCTAACCAAGCAGCATTTGCAAGAATTGATAATCGAACATGAAAAATACGCCTCATCCGATATGTTAGAAAGGTATGTTAGGTGCTACTGTAAACTATACGTCAATTTGATCAACTCAAACCCAACAAGCTTCATCTTATTACCGAATTCACAGGATATCCTATCCACATTTATGTCTTTATTGGACCAAAGAGCCAAGGAAATATATAATGCTGAAGGTGGAGGAGATCTGAATTCTTTCTGGGAGACTTTAGCATTGAAGGGGTTTCTTATATTGAAGAGGGTTATCGGATACATTTACAAAAGAGGTGCAGTGATGTTGAGGGCTAGAAACGACAAAGAAGAAATTCAGCAAGCGATAAGTAAATTAACAACTAACTTCTTTACCAAGGATGTTATTCAACATTTATGTGACCTAATTATTAATTGGTACCTTAGATTAAGACCATCGGACTTGGAGAGTTGGCTGATTGAGCCTGAAGAATGGTGCAATGAAGAAATATCTTCTTCACTGTGGGAATTTCAAATCAGACCTTGCGCAGAGAACTTCTTCCAAGATCTAATTTCATTCTTCAATCATGAGTTATCTGACTTTGTCATATCTAAGATCCAGCAGGGACTAGCTGATAGTAATGATATGTTGACAAAAGATGCAATCTTGTGTACTTTCCAATTGTCATCCATTTCTATTGCAAATAGAGTTGATTTCAACAAAATTTTGAACGATATTCTCATTCCTGAAGGACTTAAAAATGATGTTTCAGAGAATCGTATTATCAAAAGAAGAATTTGTCTTATTATTAATGAATGGGTATCAGTTGATTGCCTGAAGGAAAGTAAGGTTTCTATATTCAGACTTTTAGTGAATTTCTTACAACCTGACAACAAATTAAATGACTCGGTTGTTAAATTAACAGCTATTCAGTGTTTAAAAAATGTCCTTGATGACTATGATTTTAACAAGTACGATTTCCAACCATTTTTGAATGAATTCATTAACTTGAGTGTCAGATTCTTGAAGGAAGTCGAATATACTGAGTCCAAGTTGTTTATTTTCAACGTCTTGGCATTGCTAATTTATAGATGCAACCCGTTGGTTGACCATCAAACATTGATCGATATCTTGTCTGTTGTTCCCAGCTATTGGGAATCGGTTCAAAATGAACACGAAACAATTTTAAAGAACTCATTGTTGAGGGTCTTGAAAAATTTAGTTGTGTCTTTGAATGCTAATTCCAATGAAACTTACAAAATATCAATTCCATTGGTGGAAAGCTGCTGTGACGGGCAACAATCGAGCGATAACTACTCCCTATTGAGTGAAGATGGCTATGAATTATGGTTATCAATGTTGCAATATGCTCCGTTTGAAAACCCCAATACAAATGAGCTTTTAAATTTATTTCCATTGATTCCATATGGATTAGTTAACTCCACAGAGATATTGCCCATCATCCTTTCTCTAGTTAGAAGTTATGCATTGATTTCTCCTTCCTTGTTTGATATCAAATCCGAAATCACAGTCGAAATATTTGCACAATTGACAAAGTACTTGCCCACTATGAGGGATGATTCTTTTGTCGTTTTTGTATCAATGATGGATATTTTGCTACTTGAAAAGTCCTCTGACGAAGGCTTCATACAACTACTTGTAACTAGTGGTCTATTCCAGGCAATGGTTAACTACATCTTAAATGAAGATGAGCGTGGTAGCCATGATATTATCAGTTCCAACAAGATTTTCTTGATCTTATCTAGATTGAATCCATCAAGCTTGTTATACCTTTTGACTAATTTGTCCGTGAATTACGATAACCTTTTCAATGTATGGATGGAGTATTTCAATAATAATGGAAACCCCAGAAACAAAAAGATAAACCTCTTGAGCTTGATATCGTTGTGTGAGAAGGTTATTGCAAGTGGCGGCAACGAGATTCCTGTTTTAGTTGCGAAGTTTCCTGAAATTGTGAAGAAGACATTACTTTTTCTCGAAGAAGTCAATGAAACAGATGATGGGAATTGCAACGTCTACTCTCAAGATCTAGTATATGAAGATATTGATGATTATCGTTATTTGGACCAAGACATTGAGCCCCACGGAGAGAAGAAGAGGTATCAGAGACTACTTGAATCAAGAGATCCAGTGTATAGCACAAACTTACGTGAATATTTGAGCAAAACATTCAAAGACTTGAAGGGCAAGCTAAATGGAAACGACTTCAATATGCTAGTTTCAATGAACGATGAGTACACGATAGAAAAACTTCAGCAATTGATAAATTGATTTAAAAAGGTAGCATAGCATATAGACAATAATAAAAAGAACTAGCATACTTTTAATTGCAGCCATTCGTATGTAAGTGAGTAGTAACAAAGTACCAGGAACAAACAAAAGTACAGAAGCTAACTAGACACATTTCACTTTCACCCACACTGTCACCCACACTTTTGCGTCCCACAGTAGATATCAGACGGTGAAAGAGAAGCGATATATAGCATTCAACTGGGAGACACACCATGCCGTAGGACTTACCGACTGGCTCATCCTGCAACACTTCGTATGCAGCCATTTATATGCAGGAGACCAATGATGGGTCGATCCTACTCGTTTTATTTACATGCAGGACAATTTTTCACTATGTGCATCATCAAAATGGCACGGACCAAGAGTGTTAGTAATTCTTTGGGTTCTTTCCTCGGTAATGTTTAGAACTGGGATATATCAGCCCTTTGCGGGCTCAAGAGGGATTACCAGGAAGTTCAGTACGTTCAATTCGAGGCTTTTACAGAATCTCGGAGATGCACAAAAGAACAAAGTCTTAAGGGAGAAGATGCTCCAAGCTGCTCAGCTCCGAGAACAACAGGTTGCATTGAGAAACAGAAGTACCACGTACTATGCAGCCTCTTTTGGGATATTTTTTCTTTCCTTGGCTTTTGCTGCTGTTCCGCTTTACAGAGCAATTTGTCAAAGAACAGGTTGGGGTGGTATTCCCATCACCGATTCAACCCAGTTCACTACAGACAAGGTGATTCCTGTTGATACCAACAAGAGAATCAGAATTTCTTTCACTTGCCAATCTTCAGGAATTTTGCCCTGGAAATTCACCCCGCTTCAAAAGGAGGTGTACTTGGTTCCAGGAGAGACTGCTTTAGCCTTCTACAAGGCCAAGAACATGTCGAAGGAGGACATCATTGGGATGGCTACTTACTCTGTGACCCCAGAACAAACTGCAGGGTACTTCAATAAAATCCAGTGCTTTTGCTTCGAAGAACAGCGGTTGAGCGCAGGTGAAGAGGTGGACATGCCCGTATTCTTCTTCATCGATCCTGAATTCGCCAAGGACCCTAACATGAGAAATATCGACGACATTGTGTTGCACTATTCGTTCTTCAAAGCCAAGTACTCCGAAGGTGAACTACAAGCGGTGCCTACTGGTAGGGAGAAAGTTGACTTAGGAATAAAGGTAGAAACCGCATGAACTTGGAAGTGAGCCGAATCAACAGAAAACTTGTAAAAAGAAAGCAAATCACACAGATCCTCTGGAATATATTTTAATACATACTGTACATAGTTAGCACCTAGCACCTAGTGCCTTTTCTTTTCATTACTTCTCTCTAGTGGAGGTCTACACTTCCTAGCTCACCCAGTCATTCACTCTCCATCCCAGTCAAGACTTCATTGCTTCGTTCTAGGGTAAGTCTACACTTCCTAACTCCACCAGTCATTCACGTCTCTCTCGCACAAGATGAGCTTGAGAACTCCTCCATCCCAGTCAAGACGTCATTACTTCTCTCTAGTGTAGGTCTACACTTCCTAGCTCCACCCAGTCATTCACGTCTCCCTCGCACAAGATGAGCTTGAGAACTCCACCATCCCAGCCAAGACCGTTATCCACCAAGTCGTCAGAGTCGCAGTTCTCCACGTTCAAGTAGTCCAGCACTCGTGTCTTAATGGTTCGCCACAAGGCATTGTCTATAGGATGAAGATCACTATACACCAACGATAAGTGTGGATCATACTCGCCAATGCACCATTCAGATGCTTTGGTTGCAGCTATGGCCTGTATCTTATTCATGTCGAGTGCCTTCGTAGCCACGTCGCTGCCCTTGGAGCCGGCTCCTGCCAGACTGGTATCATTGGTACTTTTTTCTCTCGAATGCTGGTTCTTCTTCAGCTTCTTTCTCTTGACAAGCAACCCACGGCTGTCCTTGGTGTATAGATGGGGGTTTACCTTTGCGTCTTCTTGTTCAATCTCCTGTGGTGTTATTACAAACAACTCCCTTATTATCCTGGCAAATGAGATTAAATTAGGGTCTTTTGCCACCTGAAAGTACAACTTCTTGAAGAACTTCCTCTGGCTATCGATTTTACCCAATGTGACCAAATTGGAGTGGTTGTGGGGCAATGAGTTCAATGCAACAGCACTTGCTGATAGAATCTTGTTGACATCGTCTCTTGTTTTCGCCGGATCATCCAAATTGACGCTTACGTTCGTCGTTATTGTGATGTGGGGCTCGAACTTAGGTGCCTTATTGGGGAATAGAGTGTTCAATGAGCCCATAAGAGTGGTTAGCTTGTCGTAAAGCTGTGTGTTCTTCTTGGGGCAAAGCCATAATGCAACTCCTATATCTAGAATGTTAGAAATGTGCCATAAAAGTAGAGAAAGGTGGTTTTTTTTTATATCAAGCTTGAAATGCGATGCATCGTTAGTACATACCCATTGCTTTCGGCTTCTTAAAGGTACAATTGGATGATATACAGCTAAGAAAGAGCTTCGTCTTGTTGTGAAACATGGAAAGTCAATTTCCCCTTGCGTTTGCAGTATATGCAGGACCAGAAGGAATGGAGCCAAAGGTGGTGAAGGCTCTATAGATAGAGGTGTCTAGGTGGCAGTGTAGATCAATTGGTGGATTTTCAGGCGGAAGAAAGAGAAAATGATAATAGGCAAGAGGAGACGGTTGGAATAATGTTAAAGAATGTATTTGAAAAGTGTTATTATCTACTTAAGTAGTTCCTCAGTACTTTGATGCTAAGACATCGACTCCGGTAATTGCACTATCATCAACAAACCAAGAGACTTCCACCCCACTCTGTAAGTCATTGACCAACTTGGATGGTAATTTGCTTTCCTTGTCACCAAAGATCTCTTTTAAGATAGGAGCCTTTCCTGCACCTTCAGCGACAAATGCAATTGACTTCGCAGCTTCCAATACTGGGAAGGTAAAGGTGATTCTTCTTGGTGGAGGTTTTGGAGAGTTCTTTATGTAAGCAATCTTCTTACTTCTTTCACTAAGCAATGCATGGCCAGGGAATAAAGAGCAGGTGTGGCCATCTGGACCACATCCCAATAAGATCAAGTCAAAATTCTTTTTCTGAGAAAGTTGAGATTCGTACTTTTCAGCAATTTGGTTGTCCTTAGCCTCATCTGCACCTTCGACTTGTCCATCTTCTCCGGAGATCAATGATTCATCGATGGTGTAGACAGTTGGCTTGTCATCACCTTTGAGGTTCTTTAAAACCATTTCATTGAAAAGTCCATAATTGGAATCTTCATGCGCTAAAGGCACAATTCTCTCATCACTAAAATAGACTTCCCACTTGGACCACTTTATGTGTGCAGCAATTTCCTTGTTATCAATAAGTGCCTTTTTCAAGACTTTACCAAGGGAACCTCCGGATAAAGCAATTGTAAACGTATCAGTTTCCTTTAAGGCCTTGTCTTGTAATTTTAAGACGTACTTCCCGACAGCATTGGCTACTTCGGCAGATTCGGCTTGAGAGTATACAGTTGGCGACATTATATTGTACTTTTAGACTGAGAGAAGAGTTCAGCAACTGGTTCTTTTCACCATAATTTTGTTCCACTAATTTTAAAGACGTACGCAATTTGATTACATGCATGCAGGAGTCCGAAATAGGAAGTTGTATAAAGTGCTGCATAATTTTGGAATTTGGTACAACAAGCTCATTAGGACTTCCTACGTTTATGCTATTCGATTAGACTGATGTCATTATGTCATAAGATTGTCATAATAATTAAAAAAGAAAATGCCATATATAGTGCATATTACTCGATGTTAGAGCGAAGCATACTTGTTACCTATTTAATTCGAAAAACGATTCCACATCATTCAAATCAAGAAATTTTAGATTACTGAATTTAGTCAAGTGGAATTCAGAGTCATTCCTAAAGACTAAATCATATAAGGATTCATCGTCACTATTGAACCACCCACCATATGTTTTGAAGTTATAGTCTCTGTACCAGTTCATATAATCTGACCACACTGAACATCCATCGAATAATTGTAATCTGCATATCATGCATAACGATGAACAGTAGAATACCAATTTCAACGCAAATCTATCCTTGTTTCTGACTGGTGCTTCTAGGTAGGGCGAGCTCGAAATGAAACAGCGGAAGAGTCGATGTGGGTAACACTTTTCTATACATTCATTATAGCACACTTCTATCAAGCAAATCGATTTTTGGAATGATTCTAAAAGTTCTAAAGATTCAGAGTTTGCCAGAATACCAAGAAAATTAGCAGCAACCCACTCATCTAACCTGGATTTCAATTTCTCAATTAAAGGATACTCTCTTGAGATTGAGGGTAATACATCATCGTGAGCTAAAAATATTTTATATGGTGATGCCCTTAGAATGTTTGGTGCATTTTTTTGTATGAAGATAATTCCCTTGGCAATAGCCATGACATCGGTTTGACCAATCTCTTCTTCCAGTTCACCAAAATTGACCAAAGGTAGTAATTTATGTGGATGGAAGATCAAGAATGCAAGAATGAGTACACCCGAAATCATGAGTTCAGCTGATTTCAATAATATTTCATCTTGACTAAGAACGGATCCCGTTTCCTCGCTATCCGATGCTGTTAAGAAACTCAGGGCTTCAGATAGAGCAGTAGAATATTGCTGCAAGCTATCCATAAAGTAGCCAGTGGTTGCACAAAACAAGTTGCGATCTTTCAACATACTTTCATTATCGTAATTAATGTCTTTAATTTTATCAAATTTATGGATTGTGATATAATTTTCTGAATTTATTGGTCCCATTTCTAAAGAAGACGGTCCTGTGATCAATTTCTTCATTAAGTCACCATGTGTGTTCGAGTTCAATAATGTTAGCAAAGCATCATCATCAGGTGAGTCTTGATAGAGGTTATCTTCCAAATTACAAAAGGGCCACAAATTTAGTGCACTAAACAGAAGCATGGCTTGCCGAACAAGGGATGATTTCTGCCAAAGACCTGGTACGTCGATAGTCAATACCTTTTCTAGCTCCCTGTTTATTCCAAACGTAAGCATGTCAACACAATGGTTCTGAAAGAAATGAAGTAATTTGTAAGTAAATTTCGAAATTCCAACACTTTGCCAGTTTGAGTTGAGTAATGTTGAAGGAGTACAGAAAGCTGCGCTTTGCATCTGAAGAACTGCTTTCTTTTGTTTTGACGATGCTGAGTTTGCGTAATTACATATTCTACCTGTAGCAGCACAATACTCGCACCTTGGTATTCCTTCATTGCACTAAGGGTTAGTAAATTTATTCACGAAAAGAATGTATTAATCATTAACTATCACGTACTCTGATTTTCAACTTCTTGCAACTCATACAACTATTTCTCGTTATCCTATGTTTTGGCTTGGGTGGCTTCACTACCCATGCTGGCTTTATAAGAAGTTCTTTAGAAGTATGACGCAAAGTCTCATCTATCCATGAGGAGCCCCTATCCATAGTAACTAATGAGCAGTGCAAAGTCTTTAGTCTACAATCATGTATACTCTTGCCTTATTTATAAGATCGAAAGATAATGCCAAAAATCGCCACCTCTTCCTCTACAGCACAGAAGATCCCCTGAAAGTTTAAATTTAAAGTTGAAAAAGCTAAATCTAAGAGCCGTTCAAGATAGATATCAGGGTAATTTCCAAAGTGAGAGATGTTCACTTGCATGAACCATGACTTGTGAGAGTTAGATAACACGATAACTTTTTACTGTGTCAACTTAGTTTAATTGGTCATTAGCTCTACTTGACTCTGTTAGGGAGTATTACCAAGCCATCCTCACATTCCAGCTGACGTTATTTGTTGTTCTTCTTATCGGTTCTTAATTACTTCAGAAATAGTGCTGTGAATATATCCATTGGTATCGTGGGAGCCTTACGAAAGTTTCTAACGCCTTCTTCATGGCTTAGAGAAGTAGCGAGAGTCAAGCATTCCACTTGGACTACATCACATTTGCAGCATACATATACGGCGCACGCAGGAGTCCGAAATAGGAAGTTAGATAAAGTGCTGCATAACTTAGAAACTCAGTACTATTAGTTTTAATACTATATGCTTTGAAATTATGATCCCTGTACCAGCAAATGTAACGTAACTTAAACCACACTGGGCCTCCATCGAGTAGTTGTAATCTGCATATCATACGTAAAGATGGATAGTAAAGTATCCATTTCAATGCAAATGAATCTAACCACGAGAAGTGTCAATCGCTTGATAATTCATAAAATAATCAGAATATATTTGAGCTCTTGCGCAAGCTTCTTCAATGGTGTTGCTTGGTATTTATTATTTTTTAGTTTGACATATTCTGTAAGCATTGCCCCTTATTCGCCGTGTATAAGTTTAAATTTAAGTTGAAAGCTTAAAATTGGTGACCGCTCAGAACTGTAAAACGATTACCAGAACGACTACTGAGCATCACAAATTTGATGTTGATACTTCATAGATTAAATCTGCTCTTCGTACTACTTTACTTAATATGTTCATCATTCATGTTAAATTGTTCTATATAGCTCCGTCGTGGAGAACTGCCCAATAATCCCTATTTAATTTATTTTAGAATTCAATTCTTTTCTTTTGATCATTCCTATTTTACTCTAAGAATTGTGCGTACTCAGCGCTATCCTTTATCTTGTTGTTCATAAATTTCTCCAATTTTGTTGCATTCTTATAATAAGTTGTAGTTTCAGCATTATAAGCTCTACAATTATTGAAGATCAACCTGGCATCATACAAAAATTGGTCAAAGGATTCATACTTGTCGTTCTCTAGCTTCAGCTCCATTGTAGACAAGTCCATTGGTTCCTTGATCACCTCGTAGTAATCTCCAACTTCTTCTTTGTTCACAGGAGTAGCGAAGGGCCAAGCTGAAGGATGGTTGGTGAGCTCTGAAAGTAAAGTGACCATGAAATTGTAGTGAGGTCCTCTTTTGGGCTTCTGGGCCAATTTGTCCATTTCATCAGACCAACCACTGGCAGCCAACCCAGGAATATCCTTTAAAGGGTTTAGCGATATGTTCTTATTGGTTTTGAAAATTTGGAGACCAGACCGCACCACATGAGACTTTGATCTTTGCTTAATCTTCTTCTCGATTGCGGCCTTCTGAAGCAACAATATCTTAGACAGATCCAAATATCTTAGTATAGAAGGAAGCATCGAGCACTGCATAAGAGTACCCCCTTCATAATCCTTGATATAACCCATCCATACAGATTTATCCAAACTAATCTCCTTGGTGAAACCCTGTTTCTTGAAGTAACCAATGGCATAGTTATCGGCATAAGTCAAGAAGTACTTTATCGGAGACGTAGCTCTAACGTAATCCTTTAAATGGTTCATCAAATGTGCACCATACCCACGAACTTGTTCTGTAGAAGAAATGGCACAGAACACAATTTCTGCAAACTCTCGGTTATTAAACGGTCTGTATGTTATTCCACCAACCACGGTCAAAGGCTTACGAACAACTGCCATTGACAAATGTGATCTGTCGTACACCAATCTAGAAATATACTCTCGAGGCATCTTTGGAAGCTGCTTTTGGAAAATGTTCTTCAATCCAGTCAACACCATGAGACTTTCCCTCGTGTTGTCGTTGTTAACTACTCTGAATTCAATCTTTCCTTCCTTCTCTTCGATCACAGATGGTCTTTCCTTGAAGGAATAGTCCACGCCATCGAAATTGAACGTAGTTATTCTTTTTCTTTCTTCTTCGGCTTCATCGTCATCTTCATCTTCCTCCTCGTCTTCACCTTCGTCTTCCTTGTCTTTTTCCTTGTCCTTGTTCTTGTCCAGCCATTTGCTCTCGTCCTCCAGCTTGATCTCAGCTTTCACATCAGCCACCTCACTCTTGACCTCGTCTTTGGTCTTTTCACTCTCGGTTTTAGGTTCACCAGCACCAGCGCCATTCGGAACATCGTTATCTTCATCCTCATCGTCCTCTTCCTCCTCTTCTTCCTCTTCTTCCGCTGCTTCTTCTTCCTCCTCCTCCTCGTCTTCTTCCTCTTCTTCTTCTTCTTCCTCATCTTCCACGTCATTAGCAGCTACTTCTTCCTCCTGTTCGTCATCTTCATCTTCTTCCTCCTCCTCTTCTTCTTCTTCCTCTTCTTCCTCCTCTTCCTCATCGTCATCTTCAATATTTATCTGGCCATTTGTGTCTGCATCTTCGTGTATGTCCTTCGCTTCTTCCACAGGCTCACTCTTTACTTTCGATTTCTTGTTCACCCTTTCTTCATCACCCGCGCTAGCAGCGTGTCTTTTTCTGAACACCATCTGTGCTGTTCGGCTTGTCAATTGATGGAATGCTGCTCTATCCTAGTGGTCCCAACTGTGCCTGTAGTGCCTTTCACTCCTGCTGGTGGTCCCAACTAACGTAGCGTGTATGTAGAGGTTGTCGGCCGGCGTGCAGGACACATTTTTCACGCCAGAGACAGTCTGTCCTGCATATTTTGTGTCCTGCATACATTCTTGTACTCATCTCATCAGCAGCGTACGTACAGACTTTTTTTTTTTTTTAGTTAGTTAGTAATCCTTGCCACCTGCTTGACAAAACGGAAAATACATAAAGGAAGTGCTTACTTTTTATAGATAGATTCCCTTTTCCTTACAGCAGTGAAGTGTATCCAAAAAAAAACATAGAAAAATGGATCATTTTGATGATGGCCATCAGCACGATGGACAGGTGCAGTCTTATGGGCAAATGGCAACCGTTTTATGTTGCGAGTGTGGTGTCCCAATGGATGGGTCTTCCGGTCTTGTGATGTGTTACGATTGTATCAAGTTGAAGGTCGATATCACCGAGGGTATTCCAAGAGAAGCAAACGTGTCGTTCTGTAGAAATTGTGAAAGATTCTTGGCCCCTCCTCAGCAGTGGATCAAGGCCCAACTTGAATCAAGAGAACTTTTAGCATTATGCTTAAGAAAACTAAAGGGGTTAAACAAAGTGAGATTGATCGATGCTTCGTTTATCTGGACGGAGCCACATTCTCGTAGAATCAGAGTTAAGGTCACTGTTCAAGGTGAAGCTATGGCTAACACTATTGTACAGCAAACGTTCGAGGTTGAGTACGTCGTCATTGCTATGCAATGTCCAGACTGTGCCAAATCTTATACTACTAATACCTGGAGAGCTACCGTTCAGATCAGACAAAAGGTGCCGCACAAGAGAACGTTCTTGTATTTGGAACAGTTGATCTTGAAGCATAACGCTCACGTTGACACCATTTCCATTCAAGAGTCCAAGGACGGGTTGGATTTCTTTTATGCACAAAAGAACCATGCTGCCAAGATGCTTGATTTCCTTACAGCAGTCGCCCCAGTCAAGACTAGAAAGTCCGAAGAATTGGTTTCTCAAGATACCCAATCTGGTAACTCACAATATAAATTTTCCTTCTCAGTGGAAATTGCCCCAATCTGTAGAGATGACTTGGTTGTTTTGCCTAAAAAATTGGCTCATTCTATGGGTAACATTCCAAGATTGGTGTTATGTTCCAAGATCTCCAATTCCATTCAATTTTTAGATCCTAACACATTACAGCACGCCGATTTGCCAGCCGCTGTCTACTGGAGAGGCGCCTTCCCATCTTTGTGTGATGTTACCCAGTTGACTGAGTTTATCGTCTTGGACGTTGAGCCAACTGGTGATATCAGAGGAAAGAGAGTGGGTGCTGACGTAACAGTCTGCAGAGCCCAAGATATGGGTGTCAACGATCACTCTTTCTATGTCAGAACGCATTTGGGTGGTATTTTGCATCCTGGTGACAGTGTTATGGGTTACTATTTGGCCAATTCCAACTTCAATTCCGATTTATGGGACACCTTGGACACAGACAACACTCCAGAGGTAGTGTTAGTCAAGAAGCACTACGCCAGAAAGTCAAAGAAGGGTAAGTACAGAAAGTGGAAGTTGAAGAGAATGGCCAGAGAACACAATGATATCGTGGCCAATGATGATTCTAGACAAGCTAGACAAGAACAAGAGAGAGCTGAAAGAGATTATGAATTATTCTTACAAGAGTTGGAAGAAGATGAAGAGTTAAGACAAACTATTAACTTATATAAGGCTGGTGAAGAGCCAGTCGCTAGGGACGCTGATGAGGATGAAATGGATGATGAGGACGAGGATGCTCCAGAGATTGCCATTAATGAATTATTGGACGAATTGGATGATATGACATTGGACGACCAGCCAGTGGATGCCTAAGTTTATCTTTAGTCTACCTGTATAGTAATAAATTGCATAATTCGAGCCAAAGTCACTGAGTAGAGAGCGTAGGAGAAAAGCAGAGAAACTGGTGCTTTAAATTGTCCGGGTGTAGCAATAGCACTTCCACCTCTATAGTCCGATTAACCTGGTCATTACTACCATTGGAACACTACAGTGCCCCCCAGCTAACCAGACTTATATGGCGACGTTATGTGCAGCACCACCACTGCCACATAGATTGCCTTACTATTTTGGCGTGTGGAATGTTCTCCAGGAATCCCCGATAGGGCACGCACGCAGCCTGACGCACCTTTATCAGTGGCAGGCTAATCGTAACTTCTTAAGCACGTAATCAGAATCTCTTTTCAAGCAGTATTGCCACCTAGAGTATAATAAGTTGTATATGACATCGTCTATTAGTATGGAATATCTCAAGTTTGCTCCTGTGAACTCATTTGTAGACTCTTCGTTCTTCACGAAGCTTTCCGAGCTCAAGCTTGATACATTTAAGCTTGATTCCACAAGCACCAAGATACATGCATACTTCACCCATCCCAACAGCTTGAATAAATTCAACGATAAGCCTACTATCAACTTGGACTATGGGTCGTTTGATCAAGAGGCTGAGAACTACGATAAAAGTAATATTTTACTAGAGGGGAACTTGCACAGTGTGAACACAATTGAAGAATTCAAGTCGGTAGACAAGCAGACCTTCTTGAAGGAAGCAGGGTTGGCTATATTTGATTCGATCAAGAATGAAAAGACTATACCTGATTTGAATGCTATTAACCCCTTTTCTCTCTTGACGTTCTATGACTTGAAGAAGTATAAATTTTACTATTGGTTTGCTTATCCAGCGCTAAGCTCGACTTGGTATATTGTAAATAGGGAACTGGAGGATCTCGATGTAGAAGGTCTTAAACACCTAGTCAGCAACGAGGACAACAAGCTCTTTTTCCAATTCAAAGATGGCGAAAAGCATTTTGAGCTTGGAGACGTTGACCTGCTGCCTGAATTCGTCTATGTAGATACAAGTTTGAATGAGTTGCCTTCCGTTCAATTAAAGAACTATTTATATTTCCTAGCATTGAGGGGCTTTCTGTACATTTATTTGACTGTTTTCAGGCCCAACTCGAAATCCTACAGGTTGAAACTCAAATTGAAAGATACTGTAAACATTGATGCTGTTCCTAAGGTTCTTGGTTGGGAAAGAACCACTGATGGTAAGCTTGGGCCGAAACTTGCAGACTTAGGCGCCTTGATCAACCCAAAGCAATTGGCAGATCAGGCGGTGGATTTGAACATCAAATTAATGAAATGGAGAATAGCGCCTGATCTTGACAATGAAATTATCAAGAAGCAAAAGGTTTTACTTCTTGGAGCCGGTACTTTAGGAAGTTACGTTGCCAGAGCATTGATGGGATGGGGTGTTCGGAAAATCACGTTTGTTGACAGTGGTCGAGTTTCTTACTCAAACCCTGTAAGGCAACCCTTGTTCCTGTTTAAAGATTGCTTCAGTGATGAAGGCAGAGGTGAGTGGAAGGCCACCAGAGCTGCAGAGTCCTTGAGAGAAATATTTCCAGGAGTTGATTCTCTGGGGTATAACATGGAAGTTCCAATGATCGGACATCACTCAGGGGGAAAGTTACCGTCTACGGTTCAAGCTAACTTCGACAAATTATCAGAACTTTTCGATGAGCACGATGCTATATTCTTATTGATGGATTCAAGAGAAGCAAGATGGCTACCAACAGTACTTGGAGTGGCTAAAGATAAGATTGTCATAAATGCTGCCATAGGATTTGATAGCTACCTAGTTATGAGGCATGGTGTTTACAATGAGAACGGAGAGGACTATAATGGTAGATTGGGGTGCTATTACTGTAATGACTTAGTTGCACCGGACGACAGCTTTCATGATAGAACATTAGATCAGATGTGTACTGTAACTAGACCAGGTGTGGCACTCATGGCATCCTCACTCGCGGTGGAGTTGCTTGTTTCTATACTTCAGAACCCACAGGGCAAGCATGCTGGTGTGGTTACTGACTCTTCAACGGTGCTAGGTGAAGTGCCACATCAAATTCGAGGGTATTTGCATTCGTTCCAGCAAACAAAGTTGAGCTCAAACAGCTTTAAGAATTGCTCTGCATGCTCTCATCCTGTTGTAGATAATTTCAAGACCGAAGGGTGGGAATTTATCAGCGCTTGCCTCGCAGAACCCGGATTTTTAGAGTCAGTTTCAGGGTTAACAGATCTTCAAAAGGAGGCCGAGCAAGGGTTGGAGAAGTTGATGGAAAATCCGGACGATTTTGACGAAGAGGATGAAGAGTGGTTGAGTTGAAGAACGGTTCATCCATTCAATGCTGTTACTACTATTACCGCTTTATTACAAAGGGTTTTATGAAGAAGAGGAATATAGTGATCTTGAATAGAAATTCCACTATTCGTATGATTCAGCTTAGTATTATGAAGAAGAGGAAGATAGCGAACCTGAATAGAAATTAGCGTACTACCATAATTCAGCTTAGTATGAAAAGAATGGTTGGCTTGAGTTGGAACTAACCCACTACAATTCCACAGTAGTCTCGCCTATACCTGGATTCATCCACCTTAGTTTTCGCTCCCATACAACAATAAACACTATCCATAAACTAGCAAAACCACCTATCAATCAATGTGTTGCATTCTTCGTATATTTTTTTTTTTTTTTTTTTTTTTTTTCATCGCGCGTATGTAAATTGTGTTTGTTTACATTTCAAGCATGTCTTTTGTATACTCATCAGTGTTCTACACAAAGCACACAGGACAGTAGAGAAGTTTTCTATATATATTGTAAGATACTGTGGGCACAGCAATTGGGTGAAATATGAGCTTTACTTCAGGAGCCGAAACTGAGGCGGATATCGTACAGATGCTCAAACCTAATGTACTAAGACCCTGTGTGAATCGTCCACCTAAGGGCTACAATAATATTCGTCCACATGCATTGATAAATTTAAACGATTTGAAGATCCAACAAGGACTTATAATCAAGGATTTGCTCTTTGTATTCCTTGGGTTTGAAGGATTTTACGTCAGGTACAGCGAAAAGTTCGACCCCAATTCCATCGATGCTAAGATTAGAGGACCGGACTTCAAGACTGCCAAGCACCTTGATATCAGCTTGAAAAGTATTACAAAAAGATTGGTCAGTTTCGGGAAATTCTACTCAGGCTTGAAGGCCTTTAATGAGTATTACAACTCGCAACTATCTGGGAAGGTTTTGCAGAAATTCTGCTTTGAGATCAACAGGTTCTTGCAAGAGTATGAACAGTTGGTTCTAACAATTGAACAAGAATTCCAGTTGAACCCCAACTTCAATCTAAACTATTTGGAGAATAACATACTAAGGAATAGCAATATTTCAATACAAATTGATTTACTTTACGAAATAGCGTTAATGATCCACGATGAAAGTGTTCTGAGGCACTTCCAGGCGGTCAGCAACAGCAGTGCAGGTGAAGAAGTCCTAGAAGAGGCGGGGACCATCGGGAGAAAAGATGAGACCTACTTCCAAAACTTCATAAAGACCATTCAAAATGACTTGCGACAAACAGGCTCAATTGATTTGGCAACAGATCAGTCCAACTTTGAGCTTTGCAAGGGAGGACTCGTGCTTCAAATTATACAGAAATTGAATAGCGAGAAATACTTGGGGGATGCAGTGAAAAATAGGCTATTGAATGAGTTATTTGATTCCATAAGTACTGACTATGTCGAAATGCTCAATGGGTGGTTGAGCAATGGAGAAATCGATGACCCCTTTGATGAATTCTTGATTAAAGAGAACAAAATTAAGGAATCTTCCTTGATGAATAAATTTACTGAAAAATATTGGGAAGAGGTTTACGTAACTAGGACAGATGGAGTGATTGACCAATTCCAAAGTAGAGAGCTTCAATTGAAAATTTTGGCCACAGGAAGATACCTAAACATCTTCAAAATGTGTACTGGAATTAACGATACCAATGCGATGGATAACGACAAGAGACACATTGAAATCACTTCATTATCATCTAGGGATCTTGAATTAAAGATTTTGGAATTTTATTCAAGAGCAAATAGGCTCTTGATGAAGCTCTTCTTTGAAGGGTATCAATTTCCCACCCTAATGGATAAGCTTCAAAGGACATTCATGTTGAATGATTCCTTTAACATTGATAACTTTATAAGCTCATCATTCAACGACTTGAAAAGGAGTAAATATGCTATATCTGAATCTAAGTTGCAGAACAGATTTTCAGAAATAGAAAGGAAATCTGGACAGGATGACGAAAGAGAGGTAGATGAAACTAACGATGAAGACAATAATGATGAAGTACACCTCGAATCCACATTGACGATAGATTATACGAATTTTTACGATCTTGCAAAAGAAATATTGGATGTTCAATCCTTCGATGCATTAAAAGCAATGGCATCATCTTCGTCACAATTTAAGACTTTATTGAACAAGTCACTAGAGAAAAATATTCCTCCCTCGTCTGCAAATGCTGGTGGTGCTGGTGCCACTAGCGGTGCATATGACCCAGATCATTCTGATGAGTACTCAATATCTGGCTTAAATTTGCTCGTATCCATCCAATTCCCGCTTAACATTTTAATAGGACAAAACTTCATTTTCCAGTACCAATTAATCTTTAAATTGTTGGTGTTGACAAAATTCATAAGTAAACTTTCAGATAACACATGGAAGGAAATTAATTACTCTACTGTTTGGAAATATAGACACTATGATCCAAGGATCAAAAAATGGATACTAAGAAGTCGAATTTTACTTAATAGAATGGGAGATTTCATGAGGGAGATGCAGTTTTATTTCAACTTGGATATTATTGAAAGTAATTATAAAGAGATAACAGGGACAATGAGTGAAATTGAGCAAGAATTGAAGGTATCTCAAAAAACCTCCTCCACTTCAACGAAAAGAAACCATAGTGCAAGAGATAGCAACGTATACTCCGATAGATTCAACACTTTCAACAACAATAGCATTTTTGACAGGAATATAATCCAGCATCAACAAATTCAAAGGAATGTATCATCCGCCTCTAACAGTGGAGCTACGTCGACTTCTGGTGCCATGATTGACGTTAACATATTGCGTACGAAGTTCAGTTCCTTCTTAAATAATATCTTGAGACATTCGCTTTTGACAAACAAAGACTTGATAGACTCATTAAAAAGAGTATACGATCTCATTATACTGTATAGTCACTATTTATCGAGATTGAAAAAGTCGTTGGTTCTTCTAAATGCTGAATTGTATAACACTTTCAGGCAGGATTACCCTGATAAATTTGAAGGGAAATCGGTAGACGCAGACCTGATCTATGACCGGTATGTTAAGCTCAATGACAGGTTAATTTGGTACTATGAGGTATTCGGTGACACCTTGACAGATTTTATGAGTATCTTGAGAAAGTTCGGAGAGACGGAAGATCAGTCGTTACTCATATTGATTCAGAGATTAGAAAACTGTTATCCAGAGTAGGTAAAGGGTAACTGAAGGACCCACAGTTGCTGAACCCGAAAATCGGGTACAATGTGCTTAGCGTGCTGATAGTTGCATGTTAGAAAAAGTTACAAGTAGCGTCTAGTGTAATAGAACTCAACCATAATACCATTACTGTATAAGATAACACGCTAATTTATTTACTCGTTATTCTTCTTCTTTCTTTCTTTCTTTCTTTCTTCTTACTATTTCATTCTTTTATTCTTTAACTCTATCTAGCCTAATCAGTATTAATATCATCAGTTTCGGTTTGCTGTTCGCTCAAGAGCTTGATGATTTCGTCTGTCTTCTCATCACTATATATCTGGAAACCACCTTCTTTGGTGACGCTTGCCAACTGCGTGTTTTTACAGTCCAATTTCTCTTCCATCACTTGCTTTAAAACCTTCAAGGTCAATAATTCTGCTTCCTTCAAGGTCAAAGACTTGTGGTATTCGTTCTGCAACTCAGCTTGGGCTCCTTCAGAACCAGAACCAATTGCTTTGGCTTCATATCTGTAGAAAGTTCCTGAGGGCTCGGCATGGTACAATTGAGGCCCGTTGTCCTTGTCAATACCAGCTATTAATAATGCAACACCAAAGGGTCTAGACATGAGTCTCTTTTCACCACCAGCACCTTCACCGAATCTTAAGGCCAAGTCACACACAGATTGGGTCAAGCTTTCCACTTGGATCTCCTCGTCGTAGTATAAGTTGTGGGTCAATGAGGAGATTCTGGCGTGATCAATCATGGATCTGGCGTCTGCAGTCAAACCTGACATGGCACACCCAATGTGCTTATCAATCTCTGCTATCTTCTCGATGGAGGAGTGTTCCAAAAGAGAAGAAGTGACTCTTTTTTCAACTCCCAAAATCACCCCCTCGGATGTCTGGATCCCAATGGCTGTAGATCCCAATTTAATTGCTTCAAGAGAATACTCCACTTGGAATAATCTTCCTTCTGGTGAAAAGGTGCTAACACCACGGTCATATTCACTTCTTGTTAAGAACATGACAAATATATGAGTGTATTAGTTAATTGATCGGCTGGTTTTTGCAATGCTATTACTTTAAATGCTACGCTTAAGCTACAATACGATCGATATCTATAAATATCAACTGGTCTAGCTATATATCCACTCCCATGCTCTGGTACTTCTTTCGCCTGTGTGTGCTGAATTGTTGGTGTGCACTACAGTGGTCGGGTCGTGTGGGGTTCAAGTGGCGAGGAACTAAAAAATTCCAAACGCAGCCTAGCGAAAAATAATTTGGTGAGGGTCCAGTGACTTGCGAGTGTGTGCTGTGTCGCTGTGTCTCTCACAGCGTTTCGATCTATTGATGACCTCTCCATACTTTCAGGATGTCTCCATACTTTCGAGAGTATCTCTCTATGCTTTCATATTCTTGCCTACTCTGTCAATATGCTCTACGCTCAATCCTATCGTTTTGTAACTGTATTTGAATATTTAATTTTATATCTTTCCATCACTCTATTTATGCCTTTGGAGCTAAAGCAACAATCTTTTCAGCAGCTGGGTCTAAATCTTCGAAAGCATATAACTTTAATCCAGATTCTTCAATCAACTTCTTGGCTTCGTTCATGTTAGTACCTTGTAATCTGACAACAACTGGGATATCTAATTTGAAGTTCTTGGTGGCTGCAATTAAACCTTCAGCAACGTAGTCACATCTGACAATACCACCGAAAATGTTAACGAAAATACCGTTAACCTTCTTATCGGATAAGATTAATTCGAAAGCCTTTTCAATGGTTTCTGGGGTAGCAGTACCACCACAATCTAAGAAGTTGGCTGGTTCACCTCCGTATAACTTGACAATATCCATGGTGGCCATAGCTAAACCGGCACCGTTGACAATGTTAGCAATGTTACCATCCAACTTGATGAAGTTTAATCCGTACTTGGCAGCTTCGACTTCTTGTGGGTCTTCTTGGGTGGTGTCTCTCCATCCAAAAACATCCTTTTGTCTGAATTCAGCATTGTCATCGAATCCTAACTTGGCATCCATAGCTAAAACCTTGTGGTCTGGGGTTTCAGATAATGGGTTGATTTCAACTTGAGTACAATCCTTTTCGATGAAAACCTTGTATAAGTTTTGGATAGCAGTGACAGCTTCTGGGATGGCAGCGTCAGTGTAACCTAAGACACTGGCGATTTCCTTACCTTGAGCATCAGTGACACCCTTTTCTAAGTCAACGGTAAAGGTCTTGATGGCATCTGGGTCCTTGGCTGCGACACCTTCAATGTCCATACCACCTTGAGCGGAGGCAACGATCATTGGAGCTTGGGTGGCTCTGTCCATTAAGATGGCCAAGTAAGCTTCAGTTAAGGCGTCTCTTCTTTCGACAATGTAGACGGCAGTGACTTCCTTACCGGCAGCACCGGTTTGCTTGGTGATGATCTTGTGGTTCAACATTTGTTCGGATAAGTCCTTGGCTTCTTCAGCAGAAGAGATCAACTTAACACCACCTTGTAAACCAGAGTCAAAGTGACCCTTACCACGACCACCGGTCAAAGCTTGAGCCTTGATGACCAATTCGTTAGTACCTAACTTCTTGGCAGCGTCGAAGGCACCTTGAGGGGTGGTTGCAGCGTAACCCTTTGGAACTGGAACACCAAATGATTCCAATAAGGCAGCTGAACGGTATTCATGTAAAGATAAAAATCTTTTTTGGTTAGCGGCCTGCGAGGTTAGTATGCGATTGAAATACGTGATGAAGAGGGGGGAGAGAGAAAGAGAGAGGTATAGACAGACGGAGACGGAAGGACGTAATTTGACTGGCTTGCCAGGCTTGACAGGCTTCTTCACACATTTTCATGGTGCAGTGTGGGCCGCGGTTTACCGCATCGGCCTAATGTTAACAAAATCGAGAAAAAGGAAAAAAGTTCTCAAGAGCGACAACACACTGATAGCCAAGGGGATCAACAGTCCGGTACACAGGCTGGACCACGGGTGGTTCCAGCGCCAGTTGGCGATCCGTGTAGTCCAGGTGTACAAAGTACTAAGGCAATGACCAGTAGTATGCCGAATTAGCAGTGTGTTGAATTGCAGTATTCATTGGCTTGGAGTGCGCCAGACTCCCACCACGGGTCCCCTACCACAAACACCATGTCCCAGTAAATCAACACCCGCCATTCCGTTCAATTCTACTCGTTTCCTCTCCAAAATGGTTCGGCACTTACTCTTGCGGTACGAGCGAAAGTTCTTGACAACATTGTATATATAAATCAAATTCTTGATATACTGTAAGTAACAACAAAAAAGAAGTAGAACAGGAAAAGATCAATTTCAGAATTCTCAATCCCACCCATGCCCTTGGTACACGAAATTGGTTGAGTTTCGCACTGGTGTTCCCCTTCGACAAGGTGAAATGTACGGTAAAAAAAAAAAAACCTTGTTATTTCGTGCGTGCACGACTGGAAAATATCCCGGAAATTCTCGGGATACCCCTCTTATTAGGTTGGGACTGAGCGAGAGCATTGGCCAGGGAAGAGCGAGGAAGGCAGAGGGAGAGCAGAGGGTAGACAATGGTGGGAAGGAGGACAGCTACGCAGAAAGTAATGACAGGAGGATGATCAGGCGAGTGCGGAGGACAAGAAAATGTAATTAAAGGTGGATAAAGGGAGTAAATGGTGGAAATGGCGGAGTGTGTGTTCTGCTTGTTCTTGCTGTTGTTGCACTGTTGAGTGTTCACTGCTCAGTGTGTTCACCACAGAGTCCCTGTCTCCTGTTGTGGGTCCCAGGCAAGAGAAGCTGCAAATTGGCTTATTTGGCCCGCGCAGGCCCAAAAAAATAGCAAAAAAAAAAAAAAATAGCGAGGAATGCCGAGCGAGCGCTCGCTAAATTGGTGGGCCATGCGTGAGTGCAGTGAAGCTCGGACATCGATCAGGATGAGAAAGGGACGCAGAATTGTGAGAAGAATGGGACACAGAAATGTGAAAAGAACAAATACAAATTTACGAAAGAGAGTGAAAAAGTGTGCACAGGATAGCTTGCGTGAATATCTGGTCCAAGAGTGCAAAGAAGCGGCATTCTGGCCTCAAGTACTCGCCTTCTGCTTGTATGTTCTCCCTCGCTACGAGCTGAACCAATTCCAAGCTGCAGTTTTTCAGTGCGATTGCAGCAATACCGAAATCGCAAGTAGTGCCAAATCGCAAGTAGTGCCAAATCGCGGTGCATGGGCCCGCAGAGCCATACAAGCAGAGCTCGGCCAGGGCCAACTGCTACGCACAGAGCAGCACAACTACCCCTGGGGTAAGTTTTTTGTCGTGTCGTCCCTGATGTTCGCAAGTGGCCACTCAATTGGTTGATGTCTGTGGAATAGTCAGGCGAAAAGCTCCATGCTGAACCAAGGGGGTTCCACTGAATCCTATGCCACTGGATCTTCCTAGCCTTTATCTCTAGCGTGCTTTGTCCTGTACACAAGTCTTTTTTTTTTTTTTTTTTTTTTTTTTTAAACGCTGCATCTTTTTTAGAGATGGGCAGCCCTAGCTGGAGCTCTTTGGTCCCACTGGTAGCCCTCTTACACACACAGCAACGCCATGAGCAGATTGAAACAGGCCGTGATAAGACCATCATATAGCGACGAAGAGTCTGGAAGCGATTTAGAACCGGAAGTTTCCAGCTTTCTGAAATCCAGAGCCGATGAGAGCGACGATGAGCTAGCCACCCTTTCCTTCGGATCTCTAAGCTCAGCTCAAAAGAAGATAGAGCAGGAATCCAGAGGTGAAAGAAAGAGTAAGCTGTCAAGTTCAAAGTCACCTGGTTCCTCATCTTCATCTGCACAAAATTTTAGAGGTTCTAGGAAGTTCACGGGTGCAGACACTAAGAAGAAAAGTAAGCATGCTCCATCAGAGTCTTCCTCAAAGGCACCAGTGTCTAAGGTGCGAGAAATAGAAGGACTTGGCTCCAAATACAAGGATAACAGCTTGTACAGAGATATACGGTTTGATGCTGCGTACGGTAAGGCCGATTTGGGCGCAATTAGGAAGAACTATGCGTTCCTCGACGAGTATAGAGAACAGGAGCTCTCCCAAATGAAGCTGATGCTTAAGGATAAGAAGTCTGCGAGCTTGCTATCGAACAGAGAAAGAGAAGACATCGAGTACAAGGTGCAATCTTTGAAGTCTAGGTTGGATACTATGAAGAACAGAGACTTGGAAACTAAGATCTTGACTGACCACAAGAAGGAGCAATTGAAGAAGTTCAAGGACGGCTCGCAGACCAACCCGTACTTCTTGAAGAAGAGTGACAAGCGTAAGTTGATCCAGAAGGCCAAGTTCGACACCATGAGGTCGTCTCAAAGAGAGAAGGTGATGGAGAGAAAGAGAAAGAGAAGATTAGGGAAGGAATTCAGAGAGTTGGAGTTCAACCAAAACCAACTGGGAAGGAAATAACAATAGCATATCGATACATAGATCTAAGAAACATATAGTCACGACAACAGAAACAACTAGAACAGCAAATATGTAGAGCATTAAGCATGTGGCAACAACAGCAGGCCTTACAGGATAGCTCTTCGTGAGTTTACGGATTTTATTTTATATATGTATAGAAACAGCAACGGATATATAGAAACTGGCAGCTGCAAACTCGGAACTAAGTACAAGTATTAAAACACGGCAAGGTGACGGGATGGAGTTGACCATCCTCAGGTGTGGGCGTAGAGTTGGTAGTGGTGCTAGTTTAATTAACGGGGTGTTGTCTCTCTCTCCCTCTCTCCTCTCTCCTCTCTCTTTCTTTCTTTCTCTTTCTCTCGCTTATTTGGCTGCGTTTTCATGGGTTAACCAGTCTTCGTATGAGCCGATGTAGTTTCCTCTATTCTTGTAGCCAAACGTTCTGGCTAAGTCTTCAGCGGCTGAGGAACGGACCCCAGCAAGACAATAGAAGATTAATTCCTTGTCGGCGGCAGGCTTGTCGAACCCAAATTGATCCAAGAAGTCTTCCTCTGAAAGTCCAAGTGCTCCTGGCGAAGTCTTGAATGGAAGATTTATGGCTGATGGGATGTGGCCATCTTGGAACTCGACTGGTTCTCTGACATCGATCACGACAGAATCCGGGTGTGCGGCAGGGTTGCTGACAACATCCTTGATGCCTTTGTAATCGTATAAAGTGGCAGGGGTTTCTTCAGAAAGGACGCTGTACTTTCTTACACCACCAACTGCAAACCTAGACTGCTTAGCTAATCCGTTTGCTGAGAATAGCGATGATGCTGGCTGAGAAGATGGGATGGATAACAATCTGCGCACTGGCAAAGCTAAAAAGCCTCTGGAAACCGGCGTTCTGACCGCCAATTGTCTCACGGCTCTAGTGGAGGTTGAATACATTGCAGATATGGATAGATAGACCTATTTTTTGAATCACTTGGCTCTTCGTTTGCCTTCCTATTGCCTTTTCCCGTTTTTTTTATCTTTAATTTCGATCCCGGCAAAATCTCCCCCTCCTTAACATCAACAAAAGGTCGTGCGCGGGTTGGGTATGTGCAGGAATGGGTTGCAAAGGGCAGTGGTGCGATGGAGCGATGGGTGCAAATTGGAGAGGGTGCTAATGGAGAGGTGGAAAGGCGGAGAGGCGAAACATATACTTCGACGGACTACATCAGCTTCTTCTAAATTCTCTATTTATCTAAAATATATATTCTTTTACAAGAACCATGTCGTGTTGAAACCGTTACTAATCCTATACTTATACCGTTGCTAATGCAAGGCATATAAATTCATTAATCATTTTTTTTTGCTTTTCTATTTTCCCATTATTATAATAATATTATTATTATTATTATGATTATTAAAGTGTTGAACTTGCTAAACTAGCTAATTTTTTATGTTGATACGATCGTTGGTATATTGTCGTTCTAGACACTGTTTAAAACAAACCGTCAATTTCACCGTCTTCGTTAACCTCAACGTTCATGAAACCACAGTGGGTTGGTAAACCTGGAATGGTTTGGATTTCGGCTGCTAACGCATACAAATATCCAGCTCCGACAGAGGCTCTGACATCACGAATTGGGAACTTGAATCCGGTTGGAACTCCCTTCAATGCGGCATCGTGAGATAACGAGTATTGGGTCTTGGCAATACAGATTGGCAAGTTTCCAAATCCTTGCTTGGTGTAAGTGTCAATCTTCTTTTGTGCTTCTGGTAAGAACTCGACTTCTCCAGCACCGTACATTTCCTTGGCGATGGTAGTGATCTTTTCTTCAACAGATGGTGAGGTTTCGTAAAGGAAGTTGAAATTCTTCAAGTCTTCTCTGTTACTGGCGGCAATGACACCTTCAGCCAATTCAACGGCACCTTGTCCACCTTGTTCCCAATGGTTGGAGACGATAGCATCAACTGCACCTGCCTTTAAGGATTCTTCTCTAATGATTTCATGTTCCTTATCAGAATCAGAAGACATCTTGTTAATGGCAACGACAACTGGTAAACCATAAGCCTTAGCATTAGCAATGTGCTTGGCCAAGTTGGAACATCCAACTCTTAATAATTCGGTGTTTTCTTGGGTGTATTCAGCAGCTAAAGCAGCACCTGCCTTGACTTCTGGACCACCACCGTGAACCTTCAAGGCACGAACAGTGGCAACAATGACGATAACATCTGGAACTAATCCTGATGATCTACACTTAATGTTGATGAATCTTTCACCACCCATAGTGAAATCGAAACCAGCTTCGGTAACAACATAACCTTCTTGTTCCTTCTTTTCTTCAGCAGAAAGATCTGGAGATGTACCAGCTAACTTCAATGCCATCTTATCAGCTAAGATAGAAGAAGCTCCAATGGAGATGTTGGCAAATGGACCAGCGTGAACGAAAACTGGAGTACCTTCCAAAGTTTGCATAACATTTGGCTTAATGGCGTCCTTCAAAAGGGCAGTTAATGCACCGGCACATCCAATATCTTCACAAGTAATTGGAACACCAGCTCTGGAGGATGCAATAACCATACGTCCTAATCTTTCTCTCATGTCTTCTAAAGAGTTGGCGAGAGCTAAGATGGCCATACATTCAGATGCAACAGAAATATCAAATCCAGTGCTTCTGGTCATACCCTTTTCAGTTGGGGCTTCACCGATGGTAACACCTCTCAAGAATCTATCGTTACAATCAACAACTCTTCTCCAAGTGATGGTTTCAGGGTCAATGTCCAATCTGGCGAATTGAGTAATTTCTTCAGTGGTCAATTCGTTTGGATCAGTCTTGTTAATTCCCAACTTTTCCAATCTTCTTAACATACTTGGAGCAAATTTTCTGACACCCTTCTTGGCAGGGACCAATCTCTTGTATAATGGACCGTCCTTTTGGGTGTTTTCGTGGAAGATTCTGGTGTCAATAGCAGCAGCCAACAAGTTGTTGGCCATGGAAATAGCGTGAATGTCACCAGTAACGTGCATATTGAACTCATCCATAGGAATAACTTGCGAGTAACCACCACCGGCAGCACCACCCTTAATACCGAAAGTTGGACCCATAGAAGGTTGTCTAACGTTGGCAAAGACGTTCTTACCAAGGTGGGCACCCAAAGCTTGGGCTAAACCAACAGTGGTGGTGGACTTACCTTCACCTAATGGGGTTGGAGTAATACCGGTAACAAGAACGTACTTACCGTTATTCTTGTTTTCCAAACGCTTCAAGATATCTAAAGAGACCTTGGCCTTGTAGGAACCAAATGGTTCTAATTCGCTTTCTAAAATACCAGCTTCGTAAGCAACTTGATCAATCTTCTTGGGCTTTTGGTTTCTAGAAATTTCGAAATCCGATGGGACTGGAGTTAACAAGTTCAACTTCAATGGGTTGGTGAATTTAGGGGTAGAGTTGTTCTTGGCGTAGTTCTTCTTGGCAGCGATAACGACGTTGTCTAATAATGTTGCAACAGTCATAGGACCAACACCGCCTGGAACTGGGGTAATCAAAGAAGCCTTAGCTTGACAACTTTCAAAGTCACAGTCACCAACCATTCTGGAACCGGATTTCTTAGTAGCATCTGGGATGAAGTTAGTACCAACGTCAATGACAACGGCACCTTCCTTTAACCACTCACCTTTCACAAATTGTGGTTGCCCAATGGCAGCAACGACGATATCTGCCTGTGATAAGAATAATTCTACTTGGGCTTGAGGAGTCTTGGAATGTAAGGTGGTGACGGTAGCGTTAGCTTGGGTCAACAAGTTGGCAATTGGCTTACCAACGATGTCAGATCTACCCAAGACAACGGCGTTAGCACCGGCAATTGGAACTTGGGATTGAGACAACAATTCAATTATACCCTTTGGAGTACATGGCAAGAAGTTTGGATTTCCACCCTTCTTTGATAATTCACCAACATTGAATGGTCCGAATCCATCAACGTCCTTTTCAGCAGAAACAGCAGAGGTAACTTTTGTTTCATCGAGATCTTGAGGTAATGGTAATTGAACCAAGATACCATCGACGGAAGTGTCTTCGTTTAAACGAGAAATTTCGTTCAATAATTCGAATTCAGTGGTAGATTCCGGTAATTGGATGATTTCACAGCTAATAGAAGCTTCTTCAGCGGCCTTCAACTTCATTTTCACGTAGGTTGAGGAGTCTGGTCTTTCACCAACTTGGATGATAACTAAACTTGGCTTGAAGTCAGCGTGTTTGGCTTGGATTTGGTCGATTTCGGCATGAATTTTGGTACGTAACAGCAAAGCAATAGCTTTACCATCGATTAAGCTGGCTGTCATAGTTAAAAGTAGCTTAAGAACGAGGGAACTGAAGGTGTAAGAGAAGAAAGAAGAAGAAGAACTTTTATAAGATCATCAACCACGCTCTGAGGAATTTTTCAACTAGAAGAAAAAAAAATTAAAAAAAAAAAAAAAAAAAAAAAATTGAAAAATCGGCTTGCATATGACTCGGACTCTGTACGAGTCGTTTAAATTACCAAGAGATAGAGGGTGCTAAATTTGCTAATACGAGGCCGTTCTGCTTGAAAAGAGGCAATATGGAACGGGGCCCCTCTCGGTGGTACTTTGAGAGCAATTTCCATGTCGCTATGTCTGATGGTGTTGTTATATTGGTGCTATTGTATCTAATGTTGAGTCGGGTAAGTGGACTCGAGGACCCAAAGTTGCATAAATTTTACTCGCTCTTGATGTAATTTATGCTGCACGTGCATTGGTGCTGCACAACCTACAGGATATCGATGGCTCTCGGAGAATACACGGCTGATAAGATAAAGGTGAGACTGGTGCTGTATCGGTGCTAAGTTCCCGTCTGGGGTACGTTTATCGATTTATGGGACCTGAGCTCCACATCCCGAGGTGCTTTACGAAGGGTCAATGATTTTAGTAAGGAGAAAGATGTTATGAACAGTGCCATAATCCGAATATTTGCAGCCATCTCGTCTATTGGTCTATATATCTAGTCGGTTTTGTAATTCGTCTCTTTCCTCTTGACTTTTAGTTCTCTTTTCAGTATGCCCTAATCTCTTTCTATATACAAGCTCTCGCTCCCACTATTATTCTCCAAGCGGCTGGCCAATGTTTCCGTTTGCAACCACTTCGCCTTATCATTTGTATATTTGATCAGCTTCATCAATCCTGTCTTTCCTATTTCCCTTTTTAGTTTGCTTTTGAATGCCTTACTTCTCTCTATTTACGAGTTTTCTTCGCTCCCACATTTCTTCTCTAAGTAGTTGGCCAACGTTTCCATTTGTTGCAAGGTTTCAAGGTTATGGTTCTTCACGTTATATCTTGAGTTGAGTCCAGAAACTACTGAACCCGGACCTACATTAATCACATCAGCAACTCCATCGCTCGCTAGAAACTGCATCGATTTCACCCATTGTACTGGTTTTGAATTAGCAGCAAGGGTGTTCAGAAGGGATTCTTCGCCCTTAGATGGTAAGCCCGTCAAGTTACTAACGACAGGAAGCTGGCCAGTAAAGCTTTCAGTGTCCATTCTCTCCGTCAAGAATTCACGAAGCTTAGGCTCTACTCCGTCGAGGATCTTGCTGTGGAAGGGCACATTTACATATAGCGGTAGGGCTCTTTTGATTTTACTTTTATTTGCATTAATAATCTCGATAATCTCAGACTCTTCTCCAGAAATTACAAGTTGATTGGAAGCATTCACATTTGCAAGAATGCCTTGCTCAGCAAACTCTTCTACAAGTTCATCAAATCTAGTGGCATCAAACAAAACTGCCTTCATCGAAAACTTCGAACCTCTTTGCTGTACTAGTTGCTCCATAATTGTAGCTCTCTCGGAAACTAATCTCAATGCCAACGGAAATGAAAACAGCCCATTCACGAGATGAGCAGAGTACTCGCCTAGTGAATGTCCGAGAATATACTTAGCGCCAGGATGTGATACTAAATCTACATTGAATTGCTTTTTCATGATCTGATTTATAATATAGGAAGTGGCTAGAACCGCAGGTTGAGCATTCGAGGTCTTTTTTATCCAGCCTTCCTCAGCAACCTTTTCTGATTCCAAGAGGGTCTCGGTAAATTCAGGGCCCATCACATCAGAAACCACATCGAGCTCATCTTTGATTAAGGTACTTTTGAGTTGTCTGTACGGAGAAAGTAATCCCGGCTTTTTTATGCCTTGACCAGGGAAGGTGATTGCGAAGGGCCTAGCTGAAACCATGTTTGGTGTAAGGAAAGTGGAAAGAAAGTAGAAAGTGTGGAGAAGAGCTACGGTGATGAAAGAATGTGTACCGCTGGAAGATCAGTGCGCGCCCGGAGATGAGTACGATTTAAGCGTGTTTGCACTAGAAGAACTACTACAGGTAAGTACTTGCCTCGGTCAGGTAGGAGAAAAACAATATTTAGCGTATAAGTTTCAAGTAGATAGCTATCAAAGGGTATGATAAGCGTACAGGAATATGTAGGAAGAAAATTCCTGGCCTGTTGGCGCCTGGTGCAGCAGGGTAGGCACAGTTGAGCATGAAAAATTAGCGATAATACTTGCATATACATGGTATGGGGTACTAATAAAGTACAAGAGAGAATAGTGTATGAAAAGAGAATATAGTGGGAGAACGATGTGATAAGAATTAGTAGAGTGTATAGTAGAAAGAGAGTAATATAATAGAAAAGAGAAGAGTAACATAAAAGAAAAGAGAAGAGTAATATGACAAGCACACTAATACAATAGTAGAGTAATGTAAGTTAAGCAACGTAATAAGTACACTCATATAAGCACACCAATATATTAAATGCCAACACCCGTACAATACAATAGCACACTAATATTCGTACGGTAGCTTAAATAACCTGAAGAACTTGAATAACTTAAATAACATAAGTAACTAACGTTCCCATCACCATTACCTCCCTGCAACCGTGCAACCATGCAACCAGCGATGCAACGGAGGGGCCCCCAGAAATGCCCCATCGGGGCCCGTCCGCTAATAATTCACCACCAATGGTGAACGTGATCCCGCCATTGTTTTGATTTGAGCTGAAATTTTACCTTATTTTTGCTGTTCAGGGTGCGCTAAAAAATAAATAAGCTCATAAATTCAGAAAAAAAAAAAACAAAGAAAAAAAGAAAAAAGAAAACAAATGGAAAGCTCTAGCCGCTATCCAACACAAGAGATCAGCGTAAGGGTCTACAATATAATGCAAAAGCTGCCTGTTTTTCCTACTCTTTCTCAGCTCGGCATGCAATTGGACATGGATTGGGATCAACCAAACTCTAAAAACAAAAACATCTTCCCTCCTTGTGCTAAATTGAATGGCCTTTCTCTCTCTCACTCTCAGCCGTGGAACCACTTTCTCGTTTAATCTTCATCTTTTTTTCTCCTCCTCCTCCCCCCCACCCACTTCTAACCCGCGCTCAACCTGCGCCAAACCCGCGCCAATCCCGCGCCCATCACACGCCTATCACACGCCCATCACACGCCCACCACCCCATCCCACACCTCTTGAATTTTTCCGCGAATGGTTCCTCTGTTAACTACCGCCCCCTAAATCGTCGCTAAAAATACTCGCGACCATCGTCACTAATTTCCAAATCCACTAATTTTCGGTTTTCTCCCTTATTTTCATTAAAATTTAGTGACTAAACCCACTAAATTAGCTAGTGTCTCTTTTTCGAATTTTTTTTTTGTTATTTTTTGTGCTCTCCCCACCACAGAAAAAAAATACAAGTTGCAAAATGTCTAGTCTCAAAACTGCTAAGGATGCTTTGGTAGCTTCCCTCTTCGAACTTTCCAAGGCCGCCGAAGATGCTGCCTCTGCCACGGTGGATTACTTCAAAAACACCACGAGTGAAGACGCTTTGGCTGTCTCCTTGCAGAACGTGCTGGAGGCCAGCGACGCTGTGACTGAAGCTGTTTCCAAGGTAGCACCCAAGTCTGCCAAGAAGGCTGCTGCTGCTGCTGCCGCTGCTGGTGGTTCTGGCTCTGCTGCTGGTGCTTCTTCTAAGAAGACCAAGTCCGAACCCGCTGCTGTCGTTGCCGCTCCCGCTGAAGGGGAGAACGGCACTGTTGTCGAAGAAAAGAAGAAGAGAAAGAAGGCTGAGAGAGACCCTAACGCTCCAAAGAAGCCATTGACCATGTACTTCGCCTACTCCTTCCACCACCGTGACTTGATTCGTGAAGACAGAAAGAAGAAGGCCCTCGAGCCATTGTCGGCTACTGAAGTAACCGAAATTGTCAAGAAGCAATGGGAAAGCATCTCAGACGAAGAGAAGAACAAATGGCAAAGAAAGTACCAGAACGAGTTGAAGGACTACCAGGTCAAGAAGGAAGCTTACAATGCCAGCAAGGAAGCCGCCAGTAAGCTCCCATCTGCTGGTGCAACTTTACCTTCGCAAGGATCTCCAAAGGCCGTTGTTGAAGATGTAGTTCCAGCCACTCCATCCAAGAAGGCTGCGGACGTGCCAGCTCCAGTATTGAGTCCTTTGAAGGAAGCCAAGGAAGCCAAGGAGCCAAAGGAACTAAAAGAGCCAAAGGAGCCAAAGGAGTCAAAGAAAGAATCCAAAAAGCGTTCTAAGGACTCCGAAGAGGCTTCCGCTGCTAAGAAGGAAAAGAAATCAAAGAAGTCTAAGAAGGAAAAGGCCGAGAAATAAAGGACCCAAGCTGTTTGATGATCGACATAATCGACATAAATATCGACTGCTGATCCTTTCCCTGTGCCTGCTTCTTTCACATGTTTTTGTTTTAATTCCCTTCGTGTTTTACTATGCCAACTTTGTTTTGCCATTTATAGTTCTGTTTACTCCATCCTTTTTACATTTTTTTTAGGTGGAGCCTGTTGCTTGTATTATTATGTATTCCTTTTCTTAAAAAAAAGCTGTCTAGATATATCCTACAAGTAGTCTCAAATCTGGTAATATATGTATTCGTATTTATAATTGTTAATGCCTAGTATCCCTTCTTCTTCTGTTTCGTTATGTGTGCACGTAAGACCTTTTGCCTATCACGTAATGATAACTTTTGCTTTCCTTGCACAGACTTCTTATGGATCATCATAACGAAATTCTTCTTTCTAGCCTTCTCCTTGTTGGTGGTAGAATGTGGAGCATCTCTCTTACCTCTTCTGGATCCAAACTCACGGTCTTCCTTACCCTCGTTGGCCAATGCAATTCTTTCTTCACGAAGTTGCTTGTATTTAACCTTTCCAACCAAAGTGGTGGAGTCAACCAGATCTTCGTTATGTTGGTTACCTCCCATGAGTTTCTCGTAACCTGCTTCAACTCTCAATTCTTGTATCTTGGCGAAATCTGCTGGGGTCAAGATGGACGATGAAAGCAATTCTGTCATTGCCTTTTCCTTCTCTTCGAGCTCTTGTGCCCTCTTTAATTCAGCAGCAGCGACTCTGGACTTCTTGGTCTTCTTTTTAGGTCTTGCCTTTTCCTCTTCATCTTCATCCCCATCAACAGCTCTCTTTTTGTTGTCGTCCTTTTCCTCATCTTCGTCAGAAGAAAGCTCTAACTCAGAGTCACTTTCTTCTTCTTCTTCTTCCTCTGCATCTCCTGAATCCTTGTCTTGTTCATCTTCACTGTCCAGGAGAACAATATCCTTACCGTCATCCTTTACACTTACCCAGTCACCTTCAATGTCACTTGCATTATCTTCATCTTCGTCAACTTCCCAGTCAGCGTCATTTTCCTCAGTACCGTCAAGTCCTTGTTGAACCTTCCATTTGGCCAATAATTCAATACCAGGAATACTGGTAACAGTGGAACTTTCAACACCAAACTGTGGCAACCCACCGTTACCGCCAGCTCTGGCACCGCCAGCCTGTAATTCAATACTTGCAGTTTTACCTCTGTCCTTTCTCAACAACATTTCTGGTGCAACTTCTCTATACAAGGAGATCAATGACTTGGCTGCTGTGGCAACTGCCTTGGCCTTCGAACCCTTATATTCGACTAAATCTTGTAACAATGGAGTTTCAATAGCCAATGGAGCTCTGGTTAAGATTTCTCTGATGGTGTTAATACCAGCAGACGCAACTTCAGCAGCAACACCGTCACTAACGAATTCATCTGCAATCTTACGAACTATAGTCAGGATACTTTCAGGAGGAACCAAGTCGTGGGAAGCCTGGGCACAGGCAGCCATGATCTGTGTAACGTTTCTTTGCTTTGGAGTCAAGTACTTCAAGAAGAATGAGTAAATTCCTAATACTGTTAACTTATGGGTACCAATTAATCTTGAAACTAAGTTCATAAACATAATCTTTTGGTCCAAGTCAAACTTATTGGAGTGTTTACCACTCAAGTGGGTCTCAAAGAGCTGTTCAGCAAAACCTTGAGGATCTCTGAGCAAATGAATGGCGGAGAAATTCAAGTAGGTAGTACTGGATTTGGAATTGTTCTTCTTCTTGATGGACTTGGCCACTTGCTCTAATTTCTTTGCTCTCTTAGATGATTTCTTATTTATGGTCATCTTATGCTTTAATGCGGTCATATCGAACCCATCTTCATCACTTGATTCTTCATCAAAAGCATCGTCTCTTTCCTTGTCGGCACCGAGGAAGAATTTAGCACCAGCAATGGAAATCTTGACATCCAGATGCACGGCGGCCTGGGACATAAGTTCAATGGTTCTTGAATCGTCCCAAATACCTCTTTTCCACAATTCTCTGGTTAACTTGGTGGCCCATAACCCCTGGGGACCTCTTTGCTCTAATAAATTGAACAATAAGGCCTGAGTAGATCTATTCAACTTTTGGTTCTTCGCACCAGTGTTGACAGACTTCAACAATGAAATCAATGTACTGTAAATTTGATGTCTAAGTTGCTTGACATGTTGTCCTGCAGTGGCAGCAGAGTCCTTCACACCGTATGCCGTCAAAAGAGGGAAAATGGTTTGAATCAACGATTCTGCCAGAATCACATCCTTATTCCTCAACATGGTAAGACATGATATAATTTTCTCTCTCAAGTCTGGAGAAAGATTTCTATGGTTATTTAATAAAATTTCCTTTAATTCGTTAGGGAAGTTCTCTGTTTCCTTTGGATAACAACTGCAAACAGCTGAAACGAAACCAATCAATTCAGCAAAGCTTTCTCCCTTTTCTGATGCCGATGGATTCATTAAGAAAATATCACGAAGAGACTCGTAATGCGCATACTGTTGAAGAAACTCTTCATGGTATGATTCAGGATCTCTACGAACAACATTTTGAAGCAAGATTATATTCGTAGGGAGAATAGCAGCTCTTCTTATTTTACCCATGGTCGCTATCTATACTATAGTCACTAAATAAACGTATCTATATGGCTGTTCTTCTTACGGTGCCTCTTCTCTGTTTGTAATTTTTCTTTTTTTATTTTTCATCCTCATCTCAAATCTTTTGGGTACTGCATATAGCCATGCGATGAGATGGGGAAAGCGTAGGTTGCAGCCTTCAGTCTATGGATGGTAGGGCTACTGTTAGTGCTGGTACTGGCTTTACAGGCGCTATTGGAATCAGTATTGCTATAAGCATTGTACATTTCTATATTAGAGCAAAAAGAATCAAAAAAAAAAATTGAATAAAAAGACGGAAAACTGTGTATAAACTGTGCATATTGGTATGGTATTATGAGTTCTCATAGACAGTAACATTCCGATATTGGTATGGTATTATGAGTTCCTATACTAGATAGTGACATTCCGATATTGGTATTGGTATAATAAGTTCCTATACTAGACAGTGACATTCCGATATTGGTATGGTATTATGAACAGCGATATTAAATATTAGCATCCCGACACTGTTAATGGCATTGTGAATTGTGATATCAAATCTGAGCATTTACATATTAAGCATTTCGATGTGGATGAGACACTAAGTTAGCTAGCTCTGCTAAGTTAGCTCTGTCTGGTAGGGTCAGTGAACAAATCTCCCAATGTAGCGTAGTTGATTTTCTTCGAAAAAGACTTCTTCTTTAACATTCTTCCTGCACTATCAGCCGCTGTAAGTGGCTCACCAGAGTTCCCATCGATACCTATTTCATTGAGAGCACCATCCAAGCCAATCTGGTCAGCTAGTTCACCACCAAGTCCTTCGGGAATACCCCCATTTCCACTAGTGTTCCTTTTTCTCCTCTTCTTGCTAGTTCCTGAAGTATTCCCAGTCAATTCATCTGCCTCCAGCTTCAATCTCTTCTTTTCTTGAGCAATTAAGAAATCTTGGTTTAAGCCAGTCCAAACCCTCTCTTTCAACTCAATTTCAGCGTCGTTCAATAAAAATGCATCCAACTCGTCGTCACTCAAGTCATCGAAATTATCTGCCACTGAAGACACTTTCTCTAAAAGATCAGCAGTTTTGGGTAAGTTTTTGACGAGATTTTTGGGTCTATTTATGGCCACTATTTTATCTTCCTCACTTATTTCATCAGCCTCTATGTCAGCTTCTAAAGTGGGGCTAGAACTTGCTCTTTCGTACGGATTCTCGTATAAGGAATTCGCTATGTATTCCGACTGTCTTTTCAATGCTTTTTTACAGAAGTCTTGGATTTCCTTCTCTGTTAACTCACAGCCCTTCAATACAGAATTCATGAAATCTTGTCTATCTGCCTGGTCCTTTTTATCACCTTTGAGTGCTCTCTTCTGGTCTTCAGTTAAATTGTTCGAGAACTTTGCTTTAATATCAACTTCCAATTCACTCATCTTGCTCTGGTTCAATGCATATTTTTCCTTTATTTTTAATTCTAGCGATCTGTTTTTCAGATATGAAGGAGGCTTAATGCTCTCCACTTTCTCCCCATCTCTCAACTGCTGTACCGTTAATTTGGCTGAGTTAGTATTCTTGAATTCGTTTAACCTCTTCTGTAACGTTTCCTCTGCCACATGGGCAACCTCGACGATTTCAGCATGCAGTCTTCGGAAGTTGTTCATTCTTGCTGCAAGCAACACACACGCTCCTGCAATACCCGCTGGTCTTCTTCCCTCGTGTATCCAGTCATTTGCCATTCTTTGGGCTAATCTAGTGGCATCTCTCACGACTTTCGTCACCTGGTTACCAAATTCCAATTTCTCGGCAAAATGCTGAATGAAAATGGAGGGATCGGCAAGGGGCAAGTTCGTTATTTCTAACACCTTTACCATTTTCAAGAAGCTGGCTCCCAAAGAATAGACAGAAATTTGAAGCAATGAACTGAAATCAATCAACATGTGATGAGTTCTCTCCTTTCTACATGCAACATAGAGACAAGCAGCCAATACGTTCTGTGACCTTCTTCCTTGTACAAAATTGTTAAGCAAGGCCAATCTAAACCATTCACCTGCCATGTCGGTAATGTAAGGCTTAATGCCCATGGCGGCTCCAATCTTTCTGATCTTATCCTTCCCATTTTTGAGCGTTTGTTCTTTACTTTCTAAGGAATTCTGTCTCCCTCCAAAGTTTGCTCTCACTTGATCAGCAGAGACCATGGAACCTTGAACCATGGCAGCACCAGAAGACGTTTCACCGAACTGAACTTCACTAACAATCTGGTTTTCCACTTGGACTCTACCACACTTCATACAGGAGACATCTCCTGAAGATCCGTTTGAGTCAGCCAACCGGCCCCCACAATATTTACAAACGGAAATCATCTGTAGTGTTTGATGTTATGTTTGTGCCGATCTCCTGAGTGTTGTGTTTCTTTTTGTCGTTGTAGCTGAAACTTAATGGATAAAACTCGGATTCTTTTCCGGGTATATTTACTAGAATATTATTTGAAATGGGAATATCGAGCCTGTAGGTATATTAGCCGTTTTCTGACTCGTTTGTTGTGCTTTATCTAGGGCCCTTTCCTCCTCTTTCTGTTTTGGTTCGATTGTTTTTCCCTGCAAGAAAATTAGAGATGTTACGGTCACGTGATGTGATGGCTCTGACTTTTCTGTGAGCCTCACGGGCTGTCGTGCTGCTGGGAAGAAGAGCAGAAGATCAAGCGCTAGAGAGCAGGGTTTTTGTTGGCTGAGCTACTAAGTGCCGCTGTTGTTGAAGTGAAAAGCGGTATGTGCTTGTTCTAGTAGCCTTTTCGATCTTTTTCACTCCGGAATTTGCTAGCATTCGCTGAACGGTCGCCAGGCGCTAGCTGTGCTGCCCTACTGATGAGTTTTTCTTGGACGGAGTGATGAATTTCGATCCCTCCACAGTTTTTTAACATTAAATATGTTCATTTTCCTAGAGTAGAACACTTTTCTTTTCCTCCCTGTTACCGCTCTACTAGGGACATTATAAGACATTTGTGCTTACGCTGGTGGTAAATGTATAGTTATATAGGTACAAGTACTTCCCCGACTCTTTTTCTCTTTTAATCGTAGCAAATATGAGCACACCGAACGAACAGTTCAGCCAATTCGCTGCATTCAATAACACGAACAGCCCTTCCCCAATAACGCAGGCTTTGTCTGGCACACCATCTCCACATAGAACTCCTTCACCAGCACAGTTTCAGCCCCATAACACCGATGAATATGAAGTCGCTTCGTTTCTTTCCAATTTAAATCCCCAAGTGATTATGAAAGTATCAACATCAGAGCCAAGGGATGCACTTCAACTGGAGAGGACTTGTCTCACTTTCATTAGATTCGCAACTACTTTGTTCTTCACTGCGTTGGGGGTGGCATTGAATTTCAAATTCAAGACTTCGTCTAAAAATGGAGATGAGGAAGACGAAGGACAGGAAAAGTCAACCTATTCCACCGTGATATCGTTCATCTTGATCTTCTTATCGCTAGCTGTGCTAGTGGTTAGTGGGGTAAGCTACTTTATAACAATAAATAGGTATGCGGCTCACAAGATACAGAACTATGGGTTCAACAATTTCCACTCGGTAATTTGCTTCACATCGGTGGTGCTAACACTAATGGGGATAAGTATAAGTTTGATAGTAGAGGGATATTTAGAGGAAGAGTCGTAGAGATATATAGTTAGTTATTTGCTAGACTTTGCTTAGGCTTGCCTTAGGATTTGTATATTTAATTAATGAATGAACTTGATTTAAAAACCATTTCCATCATATTCTAGCTACTCTTTTCTTTCTTCGGTTTCTTCCCCTTTTTCGCTTTCACTACCTTACTGGTAGTTTGCTCGTCGCCGTTTTTCCTCTTGTTTATCTTTCTTTTCTCTCCAAAGTTGTCTCTGTCCATGTCCATGAGAGCCTCTCTCTTGGCATTACTCACTGCGCTCAATGATTCCTTGATGACTTTGTTGTCTTCCACATCTTCAAGCAATTCCATTTCTTTGTTAATTCTCTCTTCTATGGCCTTAATTCTATCAACATCTCTCTCTGCCATAATACTTATGGAAGTACCCTTTCTACCTGCTCTCGCAGTTCTACCGACTCTATGAATGAAAACGTCAGCGTCGGCAGGAATATCATAGTTTATAACCAACTCGACGTTAGGTATATCCAACCCTCTTGAGCCCACATCGGTGGAAATCAAGATCCGTGCAGCACCAGCCTTAAATCTATGGATGGAATTTGTTCTTTCGGCCTGTGGCATCTGTGAGTGCAAACTAGTCACTCTAAGCTCAAGCTTTCTAAGTGTTCTACGTAAAACTTCTGCTGTGTCCGATCTGTTGACAAAGACAATTGCTGCCGACTTCTCGTTTTGAGGCAATGTCAAGATGTTATGCAAGTAAGCTTCCTTCACGAATGAAGGGACCAACACGTACTGGATGGTCAAGGTTGAGGGAATAGCAACTTTGTCTACGGTTTCCACTTCATGGATGAAGACTGGTGGCTTGCCAGCTGGCGTAGGTCTTTCCTTCAATGCCCTGACGGCATCAGTGACAGTAGCGGTGAACAACAAGGTTTGCCTCTTTTCACTGCTAGGTAATATGCTGAAGCATCTCTGTAAATCTCCACCGAAACTATTGCTCAATAGGATATCTGCTTCATCCAATACAAGGTACTTTACTCTTTTCAAACCACCTATGGTGTCTTCACCACTGTTCAATATGTGATCTGCGAGTCTCCCTGGAGTAGCTATGACAAAATGGGGTCTTTTCTGCAATTCCAATGCCTGTTTAACTATATCTTCTCCACCTACAATGACGCTTATTCTGATGTTCATGGATGCACCAAGAGCAGCAAATTGCTCAGCAATTTGTAATGCCAATTCTCTCGTTGGGGTCAAGATTACGCCAAATATTCCACTAGGATCCTCGGACCACTTGGAGAGCATAGGAGCAGCAAAGGCGATAGTCTTACCACTACCTGTCTTGGCTCCACCAATACAATCATGACCTGCTAAAATTTTCGGTATACAGGCAGACTGAATAGCGGTTGGGGTATGGATTTTCATGGCATTTAAAGCCTCCACGAGCCATTTGGACACTCCTAGTTCGGGAAAGGACATGATATAGATATATATAACTAATCTTACTTGTTTCTACACTACAAATAGCCCAAGTATGCCTGAGATGAGATGCGATGAGCTTTGAAGAGCGATGCGATAAAAAAAATTATGCGATGCCTGAAAATTTCCAAATGGTGGGGCAACAGGGAACGATAGAGAGTCAATATTTTTATGTATTTGGGAAGAAATAATAACATCTTTTGAGGTAAGTTGTGAAATTAGTATTATAGAATTCCTCTCCTGAAGGAATTGGCCATTTTTCTTGATTTTTGGCTGTTTTACCACACTGATTGTTGTGCTCTGCTCTTCTCGAGCTTCTCCAGATCTATATGCGCTTGGTGAAAAAAGTCGCGATATAGATGGGCATGTTGCTGAGCGATCAGTGGAAGGAAGTAGATCAGTATTGTTGATTGCTATTGGAAAAGTTGCTTTGCTTCGTGATTTAGTGTCTAATTGTCTGTATTTTTGATTAACACTGGATAAATCTTGTTGTTTCGTGAATTAGTATCTAATTATTCGGCATTGTTGTGGATAAGTTCCGTTGCTTTAGTTGCTGTAGTATCTAATTTGATCTGGATAAGTTGCGTTGTTTCGTGGCTGTAGATTCTAATAAACTGCTTTAATTTGTGATGTTTCGGTTCGCCCGTGCAGCACCAAGGCTTGCGCTTACTCAAAGGATAACTTCGTCTCAGTTTCACACTTCTGTTCCTGCTTTGATCGATGCTTTCCCAGATAATGCCCCAACTCAAGCAGAAAATGAGAAATGGCTTCAACATTTATCAGAAGAGTATGAAGATTCAGCCAATACCGCAGAGAGCTTTCTGACCTCAGAGATTCCCTCGAACTTCATCTTGTCTAAGAAGCGAGGAAATAGAGCTATTAATGGTGAACTGAGGCAAATCGAAGATTTGAAATTCACAGTAGTCGACGTAGATAAGTTTGGGTTCAAAAACCTTTCGATGACCTTGAAGGACTATTTTATGGGTAGCGAATACTCGCAAGGAATATTCTCGAGGTTTACAAATAATAGAGTAAAGCAGGCAAGGAAGATCGAGCAAAAGACGTTTGTTGACCTCAAGATTGTTAATGTGGTTAGTGGAAAAGGTGGGAATGGGTGCGTTTCGTTCTTGAGAGATACAAATAGACCTATAGGACCTCCAGACGGTGGTGATGGTGGTGATGGTGGTGATGTGTATATTAGAGTGGTAGAGGGCATTACCTCCTTACATAAGGTACGTAAGTCGTACGTAGCTAGTAATGGAGCAAGTGGAGCTGGAAGTCAATTAGATGGTAAAAGAGGTGACGATTTGATTATAGAGATCCCAGTAGGTACAACCATTAGGTGGATTCCTGATCCTATGGAAATAAAACAGCTTATCACAGAAACTAAGGGTGATCTATCCAACACCGATTTTCAGATCAAAGGAACTGGTGAATACCGGGGAGACCCTGATATCACCAATATCCAATTGTTCAGGCAGAATCTGTATGGTGTAGGAGAAGGCTGGATCTTCAAGGAAAAAGATGAAACTTACCATACGGATAGAGAATTCTTCAACAATTTAAACGAAACGGTCAGTATTTATGATAAAGAGATAATATCTGAAGAGTTGGATAACGATAGGTTCCCATTGCTAGGATTAGACTTTGACGTTCCCAGTATGAAGCCTCAGTTGTTAGTGAAAGGTGGAAAAGGTGGTATGGGTAATATGCATTTTTTAACTAAAGATATTAGAAATCCTAGGTTTGCTAAGCGTGGTAGGGAGGGCTTACTGGGAACGTTCCTTTTCGAACTTAAGCTCATCGCTGATTTAGGGCTAGTTGGTTTACCCAACGCTGGAAAGTCAACTTTGTTGAGAGCGATTTCAAGAGCTAGGCCAAGAATTGGCCACTGGGAATTTACTACCTTGCAGCCTACAATTGGGACTATATTCACAAGAATAGACCAAGACCCTTTCACCGTGGCAGATATTCCTGGAATAATAAAGGGTGCTCTGGAGAATAAGGGAATGGGTTTAGATTTCTTGAGACATATTGAGAGATCAGGTGGGATAGTGTTTGTTGTATCCATAGAAGAGGGCGATAAATCTTCACCAGTAGAGGATTTGCAGACCTTAATAGACGAGCTAACTGAGAAGAAGTTGGCAAATAAAAATATCTTGGTAGTTGCAACCAAGGCGGACTTGACCAAAGATGGTAAAAAATACTTGAAGTTGAGAGAATTTGTTGAACAGAAGGATAAGAATGCAGGTTGGAAGATCATTCCAGTGTGTGCAATTAAAGGAGAGAATATTGAAAAGTGCATACAGATGATGAGTGAAACTGCAAGAGAATAAGTTAAAGGACAATGGAAAGTTTAACCTGGGATATGTAAGTATATGTACAGAGAACTGCTAACTTCTAACTGCTTATCTAAGGTGTGTGAATATTTTACATGATATTTTCCATTTCCCCTTTTGGAACTACCACTTCTTGGTGCAGATCCATCATCATGTTCCTTCAGCCTCCGAACAGATCGAACAAGAGGTCGGGGCTGCGAATGCTAATTGCTGCATAGAGTGGTGCTTACATTCTCCTTAATCTAAATTGTAAATATTGTTTATATAGCTAAAATGTACATAGAGTCTAGTAACCAGTAGTAGAACTCTTTGACACTGATAATAAATAATGTAGATCTAATTAAAAAATAAAAAGAAAAAAAAAAAGCCAAAAAAAAGCCAAAAAGAAAATTAAATGCCTCTTTTAGGAACCAATATTCGATACATTGTCTAGGCGTGTTGCCCTTGGTTTACACATTTCGTACTAGGTACTCGTGGACTTCAACTCTTGCTGCTTTCTCTTTTCTATCACTGTATCCACGGAATCCATTATGTGGGTGTATGAGTATTGCAATGGCTTGGCAAAAGTTGAGTCAATACCCAAACTTTCGTATTCTAAGACTTCATCTGGGCTTGCCTTTGTAGTGACAGCAATGAGCCCCAAGATTTGATCTGTCTGCCTAACTTTGAAAGCTATTTCCTTACCAGTCAACCCTGGCATTTCTATATCTATAAAACACAAGTCGTAGTCATTTTCTTCTATCATGGTTAATGCCTGTATAGGGTTGGTAGTTATATGAATATCAGCGTATGGGTAGAGCTTCCCAATGAGCTTGGAAAGAATCCGGAGGTTTATTTTATTGTCATCTACGCACATGAACTTGTAGCTGTGTGTCAGGGGTATGTAGGATTTGTCATCCGATACAGGAGTGTTCGTTGAAGTTGGTGCAGAAGATGGAACGATTGAGCCCCTTCTTCCCAGTAAGGAACATGTGGATGATTGGTCTTCCTCTATTGGGGATACAATTTGCTCTTGCTCCAGTTCGAGATCATCTAAGTATTCGTTACCATTTTCTCCCAATTCATGCAGTTTATTTAATTTCTGAGCCTTTGGCGATCTGTCGACTATGGGCAGATTCGTATTTAAATGAGGTTGTGCATGTTTCAGTTTATACCTGAAGTAGTCATTGTTCTGTTGATCGTATGTATAATTAGGGCTGACATTTGTCAATGGCGGAGTGGAAAGCTGGGCATTAAGAAAATCCATAGGTTTCCCACTGGACTCTTCTTCGCGTGGGGGAGGAGTATTTACAAGTGCATTGTGGGCAGGGGGCATCAGGGGTGATGATCGCCTATCGTATGGGTCCAAGTTTTTGAATAAATCCATGGTGAATTTGAATCTTCTACCCATTTTGTATTTGTCTTGTATGATATGGGCTGGGGTAGCGGAATAAACTTCTCTAAAGAATTGAAAGGACGACTAAAGTTGGAATTGAAGATTTTTGACAGTCCCCAAAAGTGACTTCTTACTGCTAAATTAATAAAGAAGAATGAATGAATGAATGAATGAATGAACGGATTCTTCTTAATTGATATAGTATTTAATTTTTTTTTGTTGTGTCTTGGGCTTGTCGTTACCAATTCAGTGTGGATATTTGTAGCCTTTGCAACTTGATATATGCACTGTAGGGTAGGCCGATGTACAAGGAGGGGAATTAGTTTCAACTAGTGATGTGAAACCAAAATATTTGCCTTAAGAATGATTATTCACTAGAAGAACAAAAGGAAAAGATTAAAAGGTGCTACAATAAACCAACATATTGGCGATGAAGGATGTGCGTTGATTATATAAGGTATTAACGCTTGCTCCAAGTACCCTATAGTTCCAGACTAACTTAAAATTTTATACCTACTTTTGAAGCAATCTGTAGTTTTCTTCATTGCTGCATATCCATTTAATCCATTTATTTTCGTTTATTGCCCTTTTCGTCGACTACTCTTGCCCTCCGCCTTCTCTAGATCATCAAGTAAATTGTGAGCACTTAGCAATTTTGATTTAGTCCGCCTCAAAATGGGTATTTTATGTACACATTGGTGCGGCTCACTCTACAATCTATATTTTTTCACCATAAATTACAGTTGGCGAAGTCTATTCTAGAGGGAATGTGTTGACCTAACGTGTTCCTCGTATGTTTTACTAACTTAAAACTTGGAGCTTGCCTAGGGTCGGGCTCCCCAAATGCTGCCCGTTTAACAAGGGGTGGTTAAGTGAGGGGGCGCCAGTCAGTAGCAGCACTCATTAGAGGTGTTGAGCAAAACGGAACAGCACCTAAGCCAAGCCACAGAACTGCGTCAATAACCTACAGTGTATGGAGTAGCAATACAAAGGTAGAAAAAAAAAAGAAAAAAAAGAATAATGCTGATCACGAATGGGAATACCGAACCTTGAAAGAGGTGCAGAAATGCAAGGTACAGTCGGCAAAGACTGTGCTAAAACTCGAAAATGGTGTACCGCCCGAGCCGAACGGACGACGACGGTATTAACTATCGTTAGACGGAACCCAGACACAGCATCTGGATCTGAAACCGGCCGAGTCACAGAAATGGAAAGAAGAAGGAATGGGCCGGTAATGCCCATTGTATCGCGTGTTTTAGATTGGCTCTGGTTTCGGTTTCAGTGCACCAAGTAGTAGCCCTTTAGCAGTATCAGACAACTTTCCTGCTGTTTTCTCTTTTCTCCCACTTAGCGAGCCAGGTCCCAATATACTGTGTAGGTATTGTAAGATGTTCTGCGTGCAATGAAATGTGCATTCGCCTCAACTAATAATCTCATATGCGTATCAAGAAATATTTTTTTCGATTGCTAATTTGCAATCCACTTCGAGAAGAGCTGAGGTGACTAGGTCGGTGAAACACCTGTGGAACACCTGTGGGAGAGGGCGGAAAAGTATAGGCGTACGGAAATTAACTCGTAAGCTGTGCAAAAAAAATTAGAATTCAATGGACCAGACTTGGAGCGGGGGAGGGGGGGAGAGATGTTAGATTCCCAACATATCTTGTGCGCATTGTGCAGCATCAAGACCCAAGGAAAATACGAATGATTCGAAATCAAGATGATATGACATTCTGTACTATTACTTAGAAAGAAGTCTATTTCTACTGCGAAACGGGAAAAAATGGATGCATGTGAAAGCTTCTAATAGCCTGGTGTGATAGTATCGTCCATCGATGAACTGCCATGCTAGTGTCTATCTTGTTGGTTGGCCAAAGGAGAGGGCAAATATTTTCTTGCCTTTAATTTTATTTTTGCAGAGTTGAAATTTTTCACTTGTTAAAAAATATGTTTGCCTTGGTGATAGAAATTGCAGTGTAAGTGATGGCTTAAGGACAACCGTGTTCTTGGGTTTATGCCATTTTGAAGATATTTTTTTGACCGTTATTTCCCGTTTATCATGTGTGTATATTTTTGTTCACCTAAATGTCCAGCTTCCGTTTAGGAGTTTACTCATCTGGTGTTTGGGTCAAAATGGAAGTGGTATGTAGAAATAGGTAACCGAGCATATATGTGTTCATCTGAGATTCTTCCAGATTCTTCGAGATTGTGCAACAGAGATGATGGGAGGAAACTTGGCAAAAAAAAAAAAAAGAACCTAAACAACTTAGCCTTTCTTACTTCCTTTTTTATTGTTGAAGATGCAAGAGCTCTGTGACCTTGAGCGTAATATTTTATTTTCTGTAGCGTATCCCACACTTGGTCATTAGTTGGAGCGCAGGATGCTAAAAAATACTGACAGCGTCAGTAAAAACCTTTGCATACAAAACGGGCCTATTGTCAGGAAGCACCTGTCAATGCGAGTGAACAGGCGACGTAATGCTTAGTATGAGATGGGACTGAAAATGGCTAAATATGTGAAATTGTAGATAAAAACTGACCCATCGTTTTTCTTGAGAGTTAAATTAGTGTGGTTATTTAATTGGTCGAGAAGCAGTGTGCAACTGTGATGGACATATGTTTCCAAGCCCTTTCAAAAGTTTTTGATAATTCTGGATATATTGATAGACTTTCACTCTTCTAAAACCTTATACAGGCTACCATCTGCTCCTTCATCCTTTGATGTTCTTCCCTTACCTTCACTTCTCTTCATTTCAACTGCCTAGTAATCGAGACGATAGATTCTTTTGAACTGAAAATTTTCTTACCAAGCTTGACACCTCACAGCGACTCTCGAATGAAAACATTTTGAAATTTGCTGGTATGGCGCAGTGGTAGCGCAGCAGATTGCAAATCTGTTGGTCCTTAGTTCGAATCTGAGTGCTAGCTATTTCGTTTTTTTTTTTGAAATTTTTTCTGCTTCCTGCACCTCATTACTAAACTACTTTCGGACATAATTCATAGTGACATTACAGCCGCAGGTGCAAATTTCAATCAAAATAATTAGTTCCTTCTGTTTTGTATTTCATACATCTGCTCGAAGAAATCGATATTATTTACAAAAATCGTGTCTTATTGTATAGTGATCTACTAGAATTTGACGTCCAGTTGCTTGATTGGAAGCTAATATGACGGACGAGGAGCAAAATACAAATATCTGCATGGTTCTCAAGCGTGAGGATGATTCCTGTGGCGAGCCATTCTCAAGTGAAAAGTTGCTAGCACTTTTGACCGAACTCTCGTTTAACTTGGATGTGGATCGTCTTAACCTCGAGGAATTAGCATCTATGATATGTAAGCTACTACCTAATAAAATAACTGTCTATGAATTGTATGACTTGGTAGCGGAGTCGCTTGCTTCGAGAGTTGTGTTCCATCCAGATCATTCCATATTGGCAGGAAGAGTAATTTCTAGGAAATTGCAATTAACGCTAAGTAACATTAAATTCTCAGATAATGTTGCAAGATTGAATTCGGTTTCAAAAGCGAGAGACTTGAGTCTATTATCTGAGAAATTTTGCAATATCGTGATGGAACATAAGGAATTCTTGGATTCCATAATTGATGAAGGTAGGGACTACGAATTTTCATTCTTCGGAATAAAAACTCTAGAGAAGCTGTATCTTTTAAAGCTTGAAAAAGATAACAGAAGATCTCGAAAGCTAGATAGATATAGGGATTTGGAAGCAAAAACAACTAAAGAGGAGCTTTTTGGTGTTGTGGAAACGCCGCAGTTTATGTTCTTAAGAGTAGCACTTGGAATCCATGGCGAGGATATGGCATCTGTAAAGGAAACTTATGATCTCATGTCTCAGAAGTATTTCATACATGCTTCACCAACCTTATATAATGCAGGAAGCGATTTCAATTTCTTGTCGTCCTGCTTTTTGGTAGCTATGGAAGACGATTCCATTGACGGTATATACAAGACTTTGCATACCACAGCATTGGTTTCCAAGGCTTCAGGTGGTATTGGTCTACATGTTCACAATATCAGAGGTAATGGATCATACATCAGGTCCACCAATGGTGTATCTTCAGGGTTAATTCCCATGCTAAGAGTCTTTAACGATACAGCAAGATACGTTGACCAAGGCGGAAATAAGAGACCCGGGGCGTTTGCTATATACCTAGAGCCTTGGCACTGCGATATATTTGAGGTGTTGAATATGAGGAAAAACCACGGCAAGGAAGAGTTGCGTGCTAGGGATTTATTCTTTGGCTTGTGGGTTCCAGATTTATTTATGAAAAGAGTTAAAAATGATGAAAACTGGTCCCTATTCTCTCCGGATGAAGCTCCAGGGTTAGCCGATTGTTATGGAGATGAGTTCGAAACCTTGTACTTGAAATATGAAAAAGAAGGGAGAGCCATGGATACAGTTCGAGCTCAAAAGATATGGTTAGCAATTATCGAATCTCAAACTGAGACCGGGGGCCCATACATGTTATACAAGGACTCATGTAACTCCAAATCTAATCAACAGAACTTAGGAGTAATCAAATCTTCAAATTTATGTTGTGAAATTGTTGAGTACTCGTCTCCGGAGGAAACTGCAGTGTGCAATTTAGGTTCCTTGGCTTTGCCATCTTTCGTCTCTTTAGACGATAAAAATGGTACTGTTAGGGTAGATTTTCAAAAGTTACATTCAGTTACTAAGATTTTAACCAAAAATTTAAATAAAGTCATAGATGTCACAAAATACCCTGTTCCTTCTGCAGAACTTTCCAATAAGCGCCATAGACCTGTCGCAGTTGGTGTTCAAGGCTTGGCTGATTTATTCTTGGAGCTAAGGTTACCATTTGATTCAGATGAGGCTAAATTGGTCAATATCCAAGTTTTCGAAACTATATACCATGCAGCAGTAGAAGCGTCAGTTGAGTTGGCTAAACTCGAAGGTAAATATCAAACTTTCGAAGGTTCACCTGCATCAAAGGGTTTACTTCAATTTGATTTATGGAAGCATGAACCAAGCAGTCTTTATACAGATTGGGACCAATTGAAAGCAGATATTCAGGAGTATGGACTTCGTAACTCCTTACTCGTTGCACCCATGCCAACTGCTTCTACTTCCCAAATTTTGGGTTTCAATGAATGCTTTGAACCTTATACTTCCAATATATACACTCGCAGAGTGCTATCGGGAGAATACCAAATTGTGAACAAGTATCTACTTAGAGATTTAATTGACTTAGGTTATTGGAATTCTAGCATAAAAGACAAAATACTAGTAGACAACGGATCAATCCAGGGTATTGAAGGAATCCCAGAAGAAATCAAACGATTATACAAAACCGTTTGGGAAATATCTCAGAGAACTATTATTGACATGGCTGCTGATAGGGCTCGTTTCATAGATCAGCTGCAAAGTATGAACATTTATATGAAAGATCCAACTTTAGGAAAACTTACTAGTTGCCATTTTTATGGTTGGGAAAAGGGTTTGAAAACCGGTATGTACTACCTTAGAACGCAAGCAGCATCCAGGGCCATCCAGTTTACTGTCAATCACGCTAAACAAGAAGGTCTTCCAAAATTGCTGCCCAAAGTAATTTCAAGTTTGAAGAGAAATAAGTATGAAAGCGTTAAGCAAGTTGGAAAGAGGCAACTGTATTTGCAGGACGAAACCGATCGGAGACTAAAGCAAAGGAACGTTGAGCCTTCATACTATGCCACACTATCTCAAACTCCTGACCTAGATGTCGAAGGTAATTTGGAGGAGACTTATGATATCCATGATACAACACCAATTGCATGTGATATCAAAGACCCTGGCAATTGTGAATCCTGCTCAGGTTAGAGGGAAGAGGATAAAAGTAAGAGTTAAGAATGAACTCGATAAATGTAAATAGACGTTAAATATGTATGTAAATAGATCTTAAAAGAATATAGAGAATTCTTTCCTTATGTTGTTTAGTTCTTGTTTGGGATCAGATATACATATTCAATGTAAATAGTTAAACTCAAGCGAATACTGTGTGAAACATGGAGCCATAATATTTTAAGTCACTGAGGAACTTCTCCTCCAGATTCTTAGTTTGGTTTACCGCGAAGAAATACTGTCAGAAAAAAAGCCTGTGTAGCGTAATGGTTAACGCGTTTGACTTCTAATCAAAAGATTCCGGGTTCGACTCCCGGCATGGGTTTATTTGTATGCGGTCTTAGCTCAGTTGGGAGAGCGTCAGACTGAAGTTCAAACATCAGTCACAGTTAATCTGAAGGTCCTGTGTTCGATCCACAGAGATCGCATTCAATTTCTTTTTTTGCTACTGTAACAGTCGTTTTTCTAAACTACATTGCGTGGTATATATCTTGGGTAGTTTCAAATTCGTTTGTGTCTATTTCTTCTGCCTATTTACAATCAAGTCGTATGAAATGTTCTTTGCATTTTTCAGCATACCCAAGTGGTAACCCGAAGATAGGATTTATCGCTCTAAACTGAACGTTCCCACTTATAGGGATGGAGGTTATTTTGTATGCATAGTTATCAGCCCCAGTCTTCTTCTCTTTATTAATTGAATATGTGTTTTCCGCAACACAAAGCCCTAATGCAGTGTAATTCAGATGGTAGAAGTCTGGCAGCTTTCCCGGCTTATCTCTAAGACCCCCTCTACTGTCCTGGCAGCAGTTGAGAATGTAAATCCTTAAAGCTTCTCTATCGAACAAAGACTCTTCTTCTAGTACCATCTCAAGAAGAGGAAACACCCCTCCTATCCAGAAGCTGTAGCATGCGTCAACAAGTTTATTCGTGCGTCCCGATAAACCACCTTCCAATTGATATTGGCGCATTACAGTCCAATGAAGTAGCCCGTCGATGTCGATGTACTTCAGAATTTGCGCCTTAAGCTCACCATTTTCTTCATTCTGGGGCTTTCCTAGCAAGAAAAAGTAGCTGGCTAGAGCACAAAATGTATAACCTCCATGAGCTTCAGTCAGAGGAACTCCAGCAAACCCTCCTTCAAAAGTTTGGCATCTAGATATCCATTCGGCTGTTCCTTCACGTAACTCATCAGTCAATATGTTCAACAAAGATGCAATTACTAACACACAGTACGTTGATCTAGTGTCACTTTCACCATGTGGATGCATGGAAAATGAGCCATACTTGTCACCAGAATCCGGACCATTCTTTAATGACCTCATTATCCAAATGTACAAGTTTGGTCTGATCTTATTTAATGTTTCATAGTCTTCCACCAATATGAGAGCCAAAACTGACGCATAAGTAGAAGCAGCATGCCCAATTTGGTGTTTCCCACCAGCGATCCCACCAAGACCTTCATCTATAATTACCGAATTGATCTTTTCAGTGACCAACATGGAAATTTCTTCTGCAATAGGCTCGGCATTCCCGCTTTCAGTGGGGAGCAATTGTTTGAAATTTACTAACCAGTACAACATCCAACCGTGGTTTGCATCCAAAGATCTATAGTACCATGGCAAAGCATTGAATAGGCTTCTTCGAGCATATTGCATGTGCAGCTCAGTTTCAAACCCTGCAGCAATACCTGTTTGAACGACATCTTCGTAAATTTCCTGAATCACTTCTGAAACATCATCTTGGGCTACCGTGGTGTCAGAAATATAAGTGCCTTCAGAGATCGGGGGCCTCGTAAGCATGGATTCCAAAGTCAGCATCTTCAGGTCTTCAATGTCTTCGTAGTCGGAATCAGCTATATTTGAGTTCAATTCCTTCTCCGTACGATTTCTTCCAAGTAATCCCAAAAGATAGGTTATTTTATCTGCATTTATATCATTATTGCTCTTGCTGGACATACTAGACCTCCCCAATCGCAAGTCTTCGTGAGTTAAATCCTGAAACCATACCGTTTCATATCGCCTGCCAAATCGAGCGAAGCAATGGGTGAAAAAATGGGTGCATGTCTGACCTGCATGTAGTGTCATTTTACCACCGACGGTGTAGTGAGCTACGTACACACTAAGCCAGATAGATGCATATTCCGATCTAAGCACGAGTGTTTCTTCTACTCCGTAATAGTCCCAGACTAATATCCACGTAAATACAAGGGTAATAATATTCCAATCCTGTAATTTGCACTTACGCTGGGTGGGCTTCCTGCATGTAATTTTTCAACTTCTCGGACTTTTTGATAGAGGGCTAACTGTTGGTACACCCATAATAAGCGAAAAGGTGCATTCTTTGTGGTGTAACCCAGTATATTCTTTGAATAAGAAGATGAAGGGTCGACATTTGGGAACTATTTGCACTCGGTCTTCTGTTTTTGTTACTTAAATATGAGCTAAGGGATACATATAGATATATTTACATACATGTATGATATATTGCAGAAGTGTTCTTATAATATATCACCTCAGTTCCAATTTTTCTTACAATAAATATATATCGAAATTGTATGCTTCATTTGATTTGACCGATGTCATACACTATGTTAATATTAGGTTCTACATACAGCGCCGAGTTTCAAGTGAGAGAATAATAAAATCTTTTGTTCCATTAATAGCCATATACTTGCCTTCTTTCCCATGTAGCTTTACCTTTCCATTCCATTTTCGTTTCCCCTAATCACAAAAGATTATTGACAACGTAGTCCAATACGATCTCGTAGCAGACAATAAATTGGTCTAAGTTCTGGACCATAGATATTCTTTGCCTACGTTGGAATTGGACAGTCTTGTAGATTAAATCGTCGCTTCCCCAAGGATCAAATTCCAGATCCCTCTCTCCCTTTTTCACATTCTTAAAACAATCAAGAATCATATCCAAAGTGATAAAACACCCAGTTCTACCACAACCAGCAGAGCAATGAACTAACAACTTAGGATTCAAGGTATTTTCTCCAATTAATTTATTCTTGAAATCGATCAATTCTAATATTGATTCAAACGATGATGGAACTCCAAAGTCTGGCCAGTTTTTAAATTCTAAATGGTAAACTACTGAAGAGTTTTCTCTCTTGCTCACTTTGATCTCCCTCAATATGAATACATCATTCTCTTCAGTATTTATCCTTTTAATATCAAGCTTACTTGCCCTGAATGTTTGATCATCGAAATACTTCAAATCTTGGCCAGCCAAATTAGCAGAGAGTTGCTTATTTAAGCAAACAATAATGTTTATGTTATTATACCAAATGGTCTTCCAGAAATCTTCATATGTAGCCTGTAATGGATTTTGAGTAGCAATATATTGATACTTGGAAACCTCCTTGAAATCAATATAATTAGCATTAAAGTAATCATCATGATCTTCTGGACGGTGACTTCTTGCAGGGTTTGGAGTAGTACAGCTTGGCGAATTAGCATTTAACTTAACTCTAGAATGCTCATAGGGCCAAATATTGTTGTATCTATTTTTATACCCATACTCAATACCTTTTGGAATCTTATAGACGACGTTGTCACAGCCGGGGCACAATGCACTAGGTGAACAAATATTAGGTGAATGCGCAGGCGAATTGGTCTGAGATTGGGAGAAGCAGCTTGCTTCACATGAAATTGCCTTTCTGAGTCTTGCTTGCTCTACCTTTTCAATCTTGTTGAACTTTTTATTCAACATTTGTAAAATGTACTTGTTCATAGAATCTGGTGTCAATTCTGAATTATTTTTGACATCAGAAACGAACTGAAGCCATTTTGGAAGCTTTTTACATAGTTCTGGATTTTCCAATAACTTAGCTGGGTACTTAAATTGGTAACTGTAATTACTCAATTCATCTGAAGGTGTCGATCTTCTACTCTCATCCTTAAACCTTTTACCGGAAATATTTGATAAATCCAACTTTGGTAATGTGTTCCTCTTGATGGATGAAAGGAATTTCTGTTGAGCTGGGCATGACGAGGGCAATGAGAATCCTGAAAGTGAAAGATTATTCTTGCATTGACTAGAATTATTGTCTTTGGATGAGTTTGATATCGGAGATATCGATGCAAAGTTTGGGAATGCTCCTCCTTTAGTTTCAGAGGAGCCTCCACCAGTGCCAGAAGTAGGGGTATTAGCAGTAGCAGCTGGAGGTGACGATAATGATGATGAAGAAAAAAGAGATGAAGTGGAGACCGGGGGTGACAAAGATGCGTTCGACAATCCAGCTGAAGCAGCTGATACTGGAGAATCCTCGGCGGGATGATGACCAATTGGGAAATCTTCAATCAATGGCGATGTCTTGTCTGTGCTAGCAAACCCACCATTCAAAAAGTAAACCTTGAAATTTTTCCCACTATACTTTAGGAATTTGAGACAAGTCTGATATAATGAGAATGAAATGTGATCGGTGGTACTGTCAGAATCATAGATGAGAACAGTCTCGAAGTTTTCCGGGGCTAACACTTGTTCTCGTTGAGCATCGCCAATCAAGCCCAAAGCTTGATTCAATGCATAAGATTCTCTTTTCAAAAGAGTCGATGGCACACAGAAGTTGATAGAATTGAAAACCCTTGAATTTGAATAGAGGTTGTATGGACGGATATCAAATATCAGGAGTGTGGATGGGGGCAAGGAACAGACGAAGGATTCTAAGTCCTTGGATTCGATTTGCTTTATCTCCTGAGGAAGGTCCTTGAAATGCAATTTTGATGTTGGGGAGATGGGGCTCCTAGCGAAAGCCGGGAAACACTTTTGTGGAGTCAACTTGAGTGAGTTGGATGGTAAAAATGCCATGGTTGGCACTCCAGAAGCCGAGGAACCAGAAGTGCTGCCTAGTGTGCTGTTTGTGGCATCATTTAGCCCGGCGTCGATGTTGACGGTTGGAACGCACTTACCGGTGAACTTCATGTTTGGCCTGTCATCACTTTTTGCAAATACTGTTGACATGTGTGAAATATTAGTGAACTGGATAGTGCCTTTGAAATATATATGTGTCTGTATATATATTGAATTGTTACGATCCTAAACTAGTTGAATTTTATTTGCGTGTTCGAAGCGAATGCTGTTGTTGGGAGTTTGTATGCTCTTTACTATTTAATGTGTTAATGTTATGCTGCGTAGGTGTGTTGATTTTCTGCGTAGTTGCTCGAGAATTTAAAACAAGAGGGTCCCTGCTCTTTTTATTTATTTTCCACAAGAAAAGGCGTACTCTATGCTAGCGTGTGGTAGATCTTGACCTGCTAAGAAATTCTACGGTTTAGGTCATATTTGTTTAATGGGTGCACTAGTTTGGGTCATGGCTGCAAACCGGATTCGCGAGATGTTGTGACGTAAGAGCTGAAATTAGTTTGTTCTAGAACTCGCTATTTTTAGGACTGTCCCTGACAGAATTCTGTAAGGCCAAAACGCAAACGGAGAGAAGGAAGTTTAAAAATAGAGAGGCTAGCTAGTGGCGAACAGCGGGAGGTTGTAATGGAAGAGACTATAACGAGAATGGGAACGGGCTGAACATAGAAGTAGCTCGCTTGCACTGGCGGCCGTACTTGTGCTGCAATCACATTAGCGATTTTACTTTTCCTTGCACATCATTCTTTTTTTTTTTTCCTTTTTTTATTTTATTTTTTCCCCCAATAAAAACCTTATGCGTATGGAAGTTTAAAAAATCTCATTAGAGTGAGATCTTCTCTTTTCGTTCTGGTCCTTGCGTCATCCTCCTCGGGGGGATTAGGTTTCAAATAAAAATTATTTTCGATCTTCTGACATCATAGGCATGGGGGACCAAAAGCTAATTATCAATCCATCCATCCAGTGCGACCATTGCAATTGCATTTGGCACGGCCATTGATAGCCCCAAGTCTATTCTGGGGGAGGCGTAGGTGGTTCTTTTTTGGGCTTTGGGAATTTAATTTTAGAACATCGTGTGATCATTCTTAGCGTCAGCACACATCGGAGTTAGACAAGTCTACTTAGCCCGCCTGTCTAGTGTTGATTTTTCTGTTTCTCTTCTGCTACTTGAGAATATGCACCTTAAAATATTTTTTGGCTTTTATTTTTTGTTAGTATTTCTTTTTTTGCCTATTTGATTTAACCTTCCGCCTTTTCTTTCCATAGTATGCTTACTTTTGGCCCAGGGAGCTCTCCTGGAAGATATGAGGTAACGCAACACTGCAGGCGTGATGCAGGTGCCTGTTTCTTATGCATAAACAGTATAAGCAATATACCAAGCACACCTTGAGCGTTAACGTTTGTTCCCCATATTTTTTTGGTTTTAAGGTTTCGACTGGGTTTTGACTACGGCAACTTAGCAACTATTCCCAATGTATACACCAAATCTATAAAAATCCATGGCAGAGGCAGCAACGTTTAGAGAATGTGTAGGTCAACGTCTCAATCACCCTTCAAGAGCAGTCTATAAGGTTAATTTTCGGCGGAACATGTCTTTTCCGTGCAAAGTTACGCATTCGGCGTACTTGATGTAATGGGATCTATATACTCCGTGTGTGATCGAACCTATTTGTATTATCGGTATGTAAATCTAGTTGTATCTATAAATTTCCTCCTTGTTTGCTGGGAATTGCATTTCTGACAACTTGCCGCCCTTTTCAGCCTTTCCAGGTCCTCAATTTCATGTATAATATGTATTATGCATTGGGTGCCAATTTTATACAACTTTAGCCCTTGATTAGAAATTCTGTTGTAGAGTCCTGCTCTGCGCCGCAGCCACTCCCTGAACTTTCATTTGAAATTTCATCATGGAAGCTTCCATTGATTATCTCTGTGGTTGATTCTTCCACTTCTTCATATTCCCCAGTACCTCCTCTGTTGCTTGGCATGCTGTCTCCTTGGATCGGTGGCCCCTGTTGGTGTAGCAATTGCTTTGCTAAAAGCCTATTTTCATTCTGCAAATCTTCCACCTTGTTTATAACCTTATTGTATTCCTCTTTTAGATGCAATACCCGAGTCCTCAATCCAACTGTGATAGCTTCCCTCTTTTCATTGGCCTCGGTAAGCGAACACCTCAATTCTTCATTTTCGCTCTTTTGTAAGGTTATTGTTTCACAAAGTTTCCGATTTTGGGATTTCTCCACGCTTAACTTTTGGTGCCATACTTGACTGCGCTTCTCCAATTCCTGCTCATGCTGTTTGATAAGTGTTAACTTTTCATCCTCATTGTCATACGATTTGTTGGAGAGTTTTTGGTTCTCCAATAGTAAGTTGTTGATTTTCTCATTGAGTTTTTCAATTTCTTGGTTTTTGCTTTCGAGTTTGGCGAGAAGGAGGTTACTGCTACCTTTGGTCGCAGCGGTACCACTGCCATAACTAATCTTTACTCTGTCACCATTGTCTTCCGGCTTTTCATAGTCTCTGGCCACATTATCTTCCTTCTCGATTTGATTTACTTGGTATCCTTTCTCTTTTTCTCTTTTACTAGGTAGCTCGTACCTAGAATTCTTAATTTCATTTACGCTTTGCCTGAGCGAAGTCAACCGGTCAAAGTCTTCGTGCACATTCTTTTTGGATACTGATGAAGATGGCGATAGCGGCGTCGAAAGCTGTTTATTGTCTTTCAAAGGTGTTCCAAATTTCCTTCTAGATATACTACTAACAAGTCCTGGATTCACGCTACTACTCATTTTAGAACTAAGTGGTGCCTTTGTACTCGGGACTGTGCTCCTCGGTATGTCAAATACCTCTTTCAACAACTTGATCTCTGTGTTGTCTTCGTTTCCCTCTCTTGCTAAGGTAAACAAGTTTTGCCTTAGTTGCTCGTTCCTGTGTTTCGTCAGCAAAAAAACATCTGCGCTGGACATTCTACTAATGTGCAACTTGAGAGTGTAGATGTTTAAACAAAGTAAATGCAAAGTGCCAGACCAAACTACCCCTGAAGTGTAATGCGTGTGTTTAAAGGCAAGGAAATAACCCGCTAATGTACAATGCCTAGTCTTGGCGTGTTAAATAGAGTAATACAAAGTGCAATCCCTAGCGTTGAAGCAAAGTAATACAAAGTGTAATGTTGATGAAGTAATACAAAACGCGTACCCACAAACACTAAAAAACAAAAATGAGAAAACGTAAATAAATAAAAAAACACAATCGTAGTGAGATCAACAGAGATCGGAGTCGCAGAAGAGCTGGTAGACAGACACTCAAGTAGACATCAAGAGATCGTAACTTCGCACGCGAACTGTAAACACACGACATGAAACGTTCCCGGCCCATTATACGGAAGGAATCCCTCTGGTCCCGGTTACAAACATATCCATTTGACTTCTTTCTCTATGTGAATGAGACGGTATCGTCAACACCTTGGGATGACTATGCAGAAACCATTGGTATACCAGCAGGATACTCGTTGTCTGCATTGTACATCATTATGATGAAGGTAGGAGGCTACTATAGGTCATCTAACAGGAGAAGAGCAAACCCACTATTCCAGACGAATCAATTCGACTACGAGAGAATCAAAAGCAGGGCCACCGATACGAGATCCTCTTCGCTTACGTTGTCGTACTATTCAGGGATCTTACAACACCTTTTGAGTGGTTTAACGGTGGTTTTGTTTGTGTTTTCCGTTGTAAACGCAGCCTACTTGCTTACCAGCCACAAGAACTATACACTTTTGTTTTCAAACATCGACAGCAAGCCCAAGACGTCATCTGCTCATAAGATTACCTTGACTAACGACGATACAGGCTCAACTTGGAATAAAATAGTGAAAATGCTATACAGTAGGGCGTCTAGAAAACACCCTAGAAGTACACCGGCGACATTAACTGCTAGTAATGGCGAGGAAGAGGATGACTCGGAAATCCAATACTCTGATTCAGACTTTGATGAAACAACCATGGATGAGATAAACTTAATTGAGAAGGAAATCTGGGAACTTTCAGTGTGGACTCCTTCAAAATTCAGACTCTCCTTGGGTTCCACTTTCTCCCCCTTGCTATTGACTATTGTGTACCTCTTAGTTGACGATTTGACCACCTGGAAATTGTTATTTATCGGAGCATGTGTGAGCGGGAGCTTACACTTCCTCATGCTCAAGTTTCTTTGCCTTATCCAAGACAAGCAAATATTGTACCAAGAGATGTTCGAAGAGTATAATAGCAAGTTTGTAAAGCCTAAGATGTCGGTACTCAAGAAAGACGTTAACATTGATGCCACTTTCGGACCCGACGCACCTTCAGTCCTCACTGTGAAAACTGATCAGAAAGGACATCTAGTAACCGCTAAGCTGAAAGTATTCATAACGCATGACATTGAGGGGAAAGCATACAATAACTTGTCCATTGCGCAAAGAAGGAAAATCACTCCAAGGGGCGATGTTACCACAACTACCACAGTCGAAGGTGCCGCAGATACAACTGCCCAGCCATTGGCAAATTCGTCTTATATTCTACCAGATTCATTTAATACGTCTAGACATCCGTACCAACCGCTGCAACATCAACATCAGCAACAACCACCACTACAATATTCGCAACAACAACAATACCAGCCAGGCGTTACAGCACCCAAGCGCCAAGCATATTCCAGACCACTCGAGTCACCATTTAAATCCCCAGACAAAAGAGACACCTATTACGGACAGCAGCTGTCTACACCATATTCGAGGCAGCATCAGGTCGCACCCCACACTACCGGTGGCCAGAGAAGAACTCAAAATGAATACCTTTCATACGACAGAAGTTATCCTAATATAAGAAGCTCCATATCGTCTTCTCCAAGCAGATCCAGGCTCGACTCAAGGGGAAGGGACTTCCAATCTCCAAAACCTAGGCCACCTCCAGCTAGATCTTTGCTGAAGACTCCAGTTCCCCTTCGCAGATCCCACATCACATCAAGGTCGCCCAGCCCTACAAAGAGATTTTAGACAAATTCGATAATATAATACATTTCAATACACATTTGTGTAATTTAAAAAGGCGTTCTATAGTTATATCTCTACACACTATCTCCTGCAATACTCTTCTCTAAGTCTACAATTCATTAATTCCAAATAAATACTTTGAAATCGAATTGAGTATTCCTATTTGCCCTCCCTTCTTTGTCTCATCAGGTTTCGATTGGTCGTTAACGTTTTTGGCATGTAAAAAGAATCCAGATCCATCTTTAATGTCTAGCTTATTACTGTAAGAAGATTGGTTCTCTGAATCAGGGTTGATTGCATTGGATGACGAAGGTATATTATTGTTGTTGGTGCTAATAGCTGTAGGAGAAGAGCTCGTTGCATACAACAGCAATTCCAACCCTCCTCCGATATCTTCTCCGGGTTGTAACTTTCTCTTTTCTAGTTTCTCAAGAGCGTACTTATTATACGGGATGACTCCTAATAAGACACCATTGAACACAGAACCATTTTCACGCAATGCATTTATAGCTGAAGCAGGATTGTCGAAGGTCAATTTCACCCACGAATGGCCAGTGAAGAGTGGGATAATCTGACTGCTAGCCGACGTACTATCGAAATCTCTGGATGCGCTTTGCTGGTGGTAGTACTTAGTAAAATGGTGCTTAGTCTTGGTTGCTTCAAAGTCTTCCAAAATACTTCCATAGGCTTGAAAATGCTGAATGACCTGGTTAGCCATCGATTCAGGGTACCCGAATACCAAAATGGCCGAGTCGCCGTTCTTCAATGATTTCAACGTCTCCAGTACGGTTGTACTGCCAGCGCCGGCTGTGGTGGAATCATTGAGTATTTCAGTCCCAATGATTGAAGTGGACGACTGCTTTTCATCTTTCCCACCGACTGGGACAGCAGACGACGAAGCTGTGGCCCTGTTGAATACATTGTTGAAGTCCTTTGGATCTTTATTTAAGAACGAGTCTGAGTGCTGCTTCGAAGGCTCATTCAATGATAGTAAGACTTCGTCATTCAAGTCATAAATTGACCTCGAAGGAGGCAAATCATCTTGGGTTTCGTACAACAGAAACTCCTCGTGCAATGTATCATTAATAGTTTCGTCGTACTTGGTTATATCACCACCTCCGATAGAGGCATCGTACAAGGACCCAACGCTAGCACTGGTGTTTCTGTGCACATTTGAGCCAAAGGAAATCAAATTGAAGTCATTGCTATTAGATGACGATAATGACGATAAGAAATTTGGTGATTTGGAGTCCTTCTTAGAAGCAGATGTGGAAGAGGACGAGGATAACGTTCCACTCTTTGAATTAGATGACGATGGGTTTGATGATCCAGACGAAGATGACGTCACATGGAATCCAGCTCTCTTTTTGGGCACTAAATGGTTTGGAATCACTCTTTTCTTGCTATTTTGAAACCAAGTAGGGTTTGTATTGGATGAGTTATTTAAGTGATTTGATGAGTTTTGGATGTTTGAAGTTGGCCCGGCACTCTGTGGGTTGCTAACATTGTTTATTCCATTACTAGTGGCAGTGGTGTTCTGGGATTGCGAAAAAATCGACGGCTGCTGCTGCGAGGGAAACAAGTTGGCGTTTCCGAAGAGAGTAGACATGCTAGCAGCGTGAGTAGAGGAAGGTGTGCGTTCTTCTGGATGTTGTCGTTGTTATTGATAAAATTACAAAGAAAAAAAAAAATTAGCCCCAAAAAAAAAAAAAAATAACGAATAGATGAAATATTATGTGCAGGATCATACATGTGTAGATGAAGGTAGTTGTTTGAGGGGTGGTTAAGGATACTTCTTTATGGCTAGAGACAGAGGGTTTTGGTCCGATTGGTAGTTGCTCGATCATTAGTTGATTTGCTTTACATAATGGTTCATTCCGGCATTTTTTTGAGGAAAGATGTGTATTTTGCTCGCAGTGTTTGCTCTTCACTATTGTCTCTTCGCTCTCTCTTCACACTGTGCTGCATATTTGCAGCCAGTGAGTGCAAGTTATACGGTTCAGTTACAGTAATACTGGCAAAATCGAGGGATTCCTTTTTATTCTAGGTATTTATAAGTTAATGTTGGGTCTAGTGTTGAGTATGACTCCTAGCTCATGTTTAATACCTTTAAATTTGAGCCGAAGCTGATGTCAAATTTCCTTTTGACTATGCCTGTGTTCCTCATGTTTAGAAATCTTAAAGACTCTGGAAAGTCTACTCGGTTCTCCTTACTCTTTTGCAAAGATTCTTTGAAAACATGTACTAGTTTGATATCATTCAAGAATAAGGCCCTCAATTTAGGGACCTTGTGATTACACCTCGAGTGACTTTCATTCTTGCATACGAACAAGTCAAGGCTTCTTAGCGGATTTCCAGAAATGTTTAGCATTATCAAATTGAGAAAAGTCGAGCTATCTTCTTCTAGAACCTCAATTGAGTTATACGAGAGGTCCAATTCTTCTATACCATCAGGGAACAGGAAGCTTGAAGTGGAGTGTATTTTATTCATACTCAAATCGAGGTATATTAGGCTTTGTGGGAAGTGCACTAGTGGTAGACCACTCGAACTAATAGAATCTCTTATATGGTTTGCTCCAATTGATAGCCTTTTGAGATTGCAAGGAAGACTACAGTGAGCAAGCAGCTCCAAACAGTTATTTGATAAATTTAAGTTTGCCAAAGATTCGGGAAATAACACATTAGATATACTCATTATGTTGTTTCCACTCAAATCAAGCGATTTCAAGCTGCTAGGGAATCTGAAGCTCTGAAGGGAAGTTATGTTATTGTTCGACAAAATGAGGCACTTTAACGATTCTGGGAATGTAAGTTGCTTGAAATCCACCTCTCTCATGATTTCTCCTACTTCATTACCTGCAATGTCTAGGGTCTGAAGATATGGTGGAAATGAACCAAATTTGAAGAAATCGAACCATAGGCTCTTGCAGTGACTCAAGTTTAGTGAAATTAAGGCCTTTGGCAAGCGGAAGTTTCCTCTTTTGAATCCTATACTTTCATGATGTGTCAAGGTGAGGTGAGTTAGGCTCAGAAACTCATCGAAATCTATTCGAATCGTCGTTGGATATGTCAAGGGGCAGCTTGAGTTATGGCATTGTTCTTCACTATAAGACAATGAGAATACGTGTAGCTTTGATTTCAAAGAAGCGGAGGAAATACAGGTGAGTTCAAACCTTTTCAATTGTTCATAGCACTGCCAATACCGCCATACGTTGTTTTCAGAAGTGAATGCATCCCCAGCATCTATGTATATATTAACATTTTGAACATCCTTTATTAGTGAAGAGCAGTCATTTTGGATCCGCTCTATGAAATCTTCTATAAGGCCAGAGAATCTTGTCTTATTACGAGTAAAGTTATCAGGAAGGGCTAAGTAGAGTGTCAAAATCTTAGGATGGTAAACAGGCTGCTCAAGACTGGATGTGATGTGTAGTTTTTGACAAGAACGTCCGTTAACTTCACTGTGAATCATTCTGGCAACATTTTCTATATAAGACAGAGCATTTAATATGTCCTGGAAATCTTCGGTGCTAAAGTTAGTCACGAAAACGTGAGAGTCGGTTAGCACCATTTGGGATGCTAGGTTAATGTTGAAGCTGCAACTACCACTAATTCTCAGGAAGTGTTCTACTTCACTATAGTCGATATACAGAAAGATCCGACATAATAGTTCAACTGGAAGAGTCTGAAGTGACAACATCTTTTTCAGGGAGTATACCTTCAGTTAATGATATCTCTACAATGTTTTTGGCAGAAGAATAATGCAATATTTATACTGGGCTCTTGAGACCCTGCTAGTTACAAGCAACATAATTTCAAAGGGAAGATAGTTCCCGCCAATTTCTAGAGATATCGGTAGGAAAAAACAAATTTATATCAGTAAATTGTAACCAGCTGTTCAGAAACAACAGTGCTGCTACCATGCTAATGGTTCTGGCGCTGGTACTTTAGTTATTTACCCCCACCATTTGCAGCCATTTCACCAGTCCGCATTAGGCAGTTTTCTTAGTACGGTTTTTCCATAATTTTTCACTATGGCGTGCGAAAACCAAAAGGAACATCTCTTCTCTACTTAAGAGATATCAGAGCTAACTGGGCTGGTGTTGCTTCATTTATAGCATTGAAACATGATCTTGTCGCCAGCTGAAAGGTCATACTTGTATGACTCGCTCATACAGAAGCCCCCAATTAGACCAGATTCAAGATCAGGACACCAATTTCGTCCCCTTGAGGCCAAGACCGCATTTTTACCATCTTCCAATGGATCAGCTAGAATTAGATTAATGGATGGCAGTGAATGTATAGTTAGTGTAAAGGCAAAAGTGGTATTAAAGTCGCAAGAAAGCAGTCTTATTGAGTGTGATATCGATGTGTCAGGGAATAGAGATGATTCCAACTTCGTGTCTATCTTGAAATTTAACTTGACTAACTTGCTATGTCAAAATTTTCCCATGGATGTCCTTCAGTTAACATCCAAGTACTCGTATAAACTTTTCATTGACTGTTTGGTTATTAGTCACACTTCATATCCATTGACACTTTTGTCCTTGGCAACGTATCTAGCCTTGAAAACGACAAGGTTACCTCTATTAGTTAGTGATGTAGATGATTCAGAAGTTGAAGAACAACCAACCTTCTCGGACGACTGGGATAAATCGAAATACTTAAAAGAGATGGTTTCATCCAACTCCAAGTTCCAACCTCCCATTTTTATTACTCTTGGTGTTGTGGGCGACAACTTGTTGTTTGACCCATCTACCGAAGAGGAGCAAGTGTTAGAAAATGGGTTAATATTGAGTTGGTACAACAATAAGGTAATCACACCAATATCGAACATCAACCTCGCATCAAATTCCAACAATTCTAACTTCAAAGGTATGGATCCTATTTTGATATCTAAGAGTTTGGCACTTTTGAAGAAGTATTGTGGAGAAATCGTAGACGCTTTGGATGGGATAATAGAACACGATGACGCTACAGAGGGAGGGATATTTTAAATAGAAGTGATTTAAGTAGTAAGTATGTAATATAGAGAATGAAAAGTTCAAGTTTCTTTAATAAAAAGGCTCTGTTCATCAGACTTTTGTGTATATTTAAATTGTATTACTTATTAACTCGTTAATGAAAATATACCATGCTAACAATGTTGAGTGGAGTATGCGTGAACAATGATAGCAGTAGCAGTTTGGATATTCATTGATCTGATAACACCAACTTGCTTTATTTCTACGCAGAAGTCCAATTCTGCAAGTAAGTCTCCAGGGATACCTTCCTTTTCTCTTCCAAGTAATATTAATGACTTCTTAGGGAATTTCAACTCGCTGTTTAATTCCACGGATTTGTCAGTCTGCTCAAGCCCAATTAATGTGTAGCCTTCACGTTTCTTTTCATGGAAATAGGAAATGATATCTTCTGGTTTCACTTCAATCATTGGCATCCAACGGTCAGCAGTCACAGCAACGGTTTTAAATTGCGAATGATTCTTAACATTCAAATCATGGAGTGTTAACAAACCAGCTCCCAAGACATCACTCAAACGACAAATACCTCCTAAATTAGGTGGCTTGTCAACTAATGATGAGACAACAATGAGGTCGCTTCTAACAACATTGATCTTTTCATTATCTACATCAACAATGGAATTTAAGGCACCACTCTTGGTTTGTAATGGAGTAACCTTATTACCCTTGCCATCTTCCTTTTCTTCTCTGTTTTGGATAACCTTTTTATCTCCTTGTAACTTTCTGTCCTTTATCCATAATTCCTCGAAGTTCTCTCCGATTTTAACTTGAAGTGCAGATTGTTGGTCAGAAGTCAAGTTCTGGACATATGATTCTCTGGTAATGAAATCTATATCTCTGTCACTAACTCTTAGCAAGACCCCACCAGAAATACTGACTAAGGTCATGTCTTTCACTATGTCCCACAAGGTGGCGTCACCAGATCTATGCTGGTCGTATGATTCTGAGAGGATGGCAGTTTGGTACATGTTTTCAACTACCTTAAAAATATTTGGATCAAGATTCAACTTCTTTTGGACAATCTGTGGGTAGATTGAGCAAATTAAGGATAACGAAAAATGTCTGGTCATTGCCTTGTTAGATGTGGCAGCGGGAACTACAATAGTCAAGAACTCAGTGAGTAAATTCACTTGTCTTTCCAAAGGTTCTTGTTGACTTATCATCATACACAATATTCTTTCGTAAGAAGTCAATAATGTTGGCTTGCCTCCATTCATGTCAACTAGCTTTTTCAAGTAGTCGAATGTCTTCCTAGTTTGCTCTTCACTTTCAGATAAATAAGATGCAATCATCCATTCAAGATAAATCCTAACCAAGGGACTTGGATCCGTCTCCAATAACCCAATAAAAGTTGTCAAATAATTTTCAATCATGTAGTCTGTAGTTACATTTCTATTTGCAATAAGTACAATACTCATTAATTGAATTCTTCTCCATTCTTCAAATCCGTCTGTTCTCTTTATCACATTCAAAAGATGAAATTCTTCTTCATTCTCGAAGACGAAATCAATGATTCTTCTTGAAAATTCGCTCGAAACACAAGTTCCTAAAATTGCCATGATGTTAATTCTGGCACTGATTTCCTCCAAGTTATAAATTTTGAAGTAAATACGACTATCACCAGTAGTTGAGACTTGTTCATCATACAACTTACCAATGATATTTTCTAATCTGAAAACATTGCTAGTAAGTTGTTGGATAATATAACCACGAACCAATAATTCAGGAATCCAATAACATGTCTCGAAATCCTTACCATTACTTAACTGGAAATCGGAGATTTGCTTGGTGAGGGTTGGGAGTATAGATCTTCTCCCACATGCATTATCTAAAACTTCACTACCGAACTTCAAAAGAATCGAACCAATGCTTTCATTTGTCGCAGATTCCCTTAAAAGCTTTTCATGATACATTGTACTAATAAGGTGACAGTGTAAATCTTTCTGGTTTAAAAATAATCTTGCTGAGTTCAAGGTATCCCATAATTCAAACAATTTTGAAGCAACAAGTTCCAATGTAGTAACACTAAGCTGTTGGTAATTTATTATATTAAAGAGTAATTGCAGAACTGCAAAATTAAGCTCAGGATTCAGAGAATTGCAATCAACAACTTCAACTACCCTAACAACAGCAATCTCCTCAATGGGATCCTCAGAAACTAAACGGGCCATCATCTTATAGAGCTGTGCAAATGCTTCCTCTCTCACTTTATAAAAGGTTGTGGAAATTTTGGAAATTTCTCTTGAGTTCTTGAATAATATAGAGTTAAATGACAAGAGTTCTTCTATAGTGAATTTGAGTCTATGATCTGTGCAGTTATTAATGCTACTGATGAATTTAAGTTTCTTTGACACATTTATCAAAGTAAACTGATCGTTGGATTGGACTTCATCTGAAATAATTTTCCAAAGGTTGGCTGTAGAGTCCGTAGTTTTGGTAGTCGACAAAGCAAAATCGTTCCACTTCTGATCTTTTATGGAAGCAACTGTTTGGTAGAAGGATAACTCTTCCACTTTATCTGTAAAGTCAACACGATCGCAAATTCTGGATGCAAAATCATCATAATTTATTTGTAGTTTATCATTATGAAGATCTTGTTGTAGTATTATTGCAATTAGGTGTAAACTATTAATGCTAGGAGAGCTGATGATACCCTTTGAATAGCCTGTGCTGGCTGTAATCCCAAAAATCAATGCCTGAATGTGAATTTCCGATTCTTCATATAACGATCTAAGATCCTCTTTCTTGACATCATTGGTAAGTAAAAGTTGAAGAACTAAATCCATGTTTTCATTCACAATTCGGGTTCCATTAAATTTCACATATTTATGCAAGGCACTGAAAAATTTAGTTAAATCTCCTTTATCTTGCAATTTGAAACTTAGCAATAATCTCAAGGTGATAGTCTGCAAGGCAGTCTCAAATAATTCACCTTCGGGTCTGTACTCGGAAAGTATTAATAGGTTCTTGAGGGTAATTTCGTTATCAAACTTCAAGATTTTATTTTGTTTCAAACCCTGGAGTAAACCTAAAGAAACATAAATCTTTGCTGGGTCAAAGCATTCTGCAGTATTAAGAGTGATAAGTATAGCATTGACAGCCAATACTAAATCCAGATCCGAAATTTTATCTCCGCTTGAAACAATATTGTAGACAAAGTTCTGGAGTCTTTCACCATATTCACAGTTATACTCGTTGGTACATCCAATCTTTCTTACATGGAAGTGCGATGCCAACATTGCATTTGGCAAGAAAACATTAGTCAAGAATTGCAACCCCGTCGTGATAAGGTAAAGGTTACTAGCAGGAATGGATAATAACAACGATAATGCAAATTTCCTTACTGAGTCCATGGAAGCACTAAACCCAGTGCAAAGTAAGCACCAGCCCCAGGATGAATGGATTAACGATTCAGGAGAAATTAAAGATATGATATCTTTCGTGCCAGCTTCAGCTTGGTGGAGCGACGTGTCGATAGCTAGTATCTCAAAAAGAGTCACATATCTTGACCATTCCTTGAGGTAGTGGTCAGCTTTAGATGATTCCCACAGCATCACACTATTTTGAAATGAGGTTGCCGAGTTCGAAATAGATTTAATAGACACTTGGAGAATAGATAAGCAAAATTTCCTATGTTCGTGAGATGGGCTCGTCAAACCCGTTTGAATACACTCCCAGTAGTGGTCCGTGGTATTGACAATGGTCTTGGAGGGAGATGTGATAAGTCTTAGCCACAAGACATAAGAGTGGCTCTTGTGGACCTTAAGATCCGACTTCTCTAATGCAAAGATGCTTTTCCATAAGAAATTTGTATCTAAGTACGTTTCGGAAGAATCTTGATTTATTCTCCACCTAAGCATGGATGAGACTTTGGAGCTGACTTCTTCATCACTGTATCCTAGAAGAAGTACTAAGCAGTAGTCCAATTCCGAATCAATTCCATCATGCTTATTCATAAACATGTACTCGAAGAATTCGAGCGTGGATACAATAGAGTCAGAGTCTATATTTACAAGACCATCTTGTTGGTGTGATACTTTTTCAATGATCAACTTCTTAAATTCTGGCAAGTAGTTGACTTTCGTAGCTTGAAGGAAGTTTTTCAAAGTAAAGGTGGCCCTTTCGAATAAGTCCTTGTTTAACCTGGGAAGTCCCGATGATAGTCTACTGATTACCTCGTAATCGGTGGATGTGGAGCAAAATTGGAAAACCGTGGGGTAGATCGCATCCTTTGATGCATCATCTAAAGATGGAAGTAGGTCGCACAAAAGGGACAAGGAAGAGCAAGAATCGAGTTCCAGTGCAAGCTTTTGCGCCAACTCCGACTTCCGCTGTGGGTCCAAATAGCTTGCTAATAGAGAAATAGAACTCATCCTTATCAGGTACGGGTGCAATAGCTTATACAAGCAACAACAAGTTTGATCTACGATGCTTGAGAAGAGCTGCAAAAATTTTTAGATTTTCTTCTTTATGCTGCGCTCGATTAGGAAGAGTTATATGCCGGAAAGAAATGGTATGCATTTGGCTCAACGTCGACTGGTGGAGAGTGGGGTAGCCCTGGGCGACTCGATGGAAAAAGTAGTCTGAGTATAGCTAGGAAGATACCACTCAAATGAATTTGGAAATAGTCTACCTTCTCCAATTGGGAAGCTAGGAACCGAGCCAAGGATATATGGCACGCATATATTCCTAGTGACTCCAGTGTCTCTGCGGGAAGGAGTCAACATTCTCTTATCTGATAAGACCGCAGGTATTGTAGGAAGGACAAAAAGAAAAGATGCGATGGATCCTCGCTTATGAATACCTGGTTTATCCTGAGTCAACTGTGCGGGTCCCAATCCCCGGTTCCGCGATGTATTTGCAATCACTCCGGCCTATTAAAATGCTGGCATTTCCGAGGGCAGCTTCTCCACCATTTGGCTCTTCACCAAGAAGAAGCTCTAGTGCTAAGAAGAACACGGAGTAGATCGCTTGCTGGGCTTACGAAGTAATAACGAACGTTCAGGAAGTAGCAGAACGTCAGGAACGCCGAGATCAGAAGAACTGCAAGCGTTAAAGCGGAATAAAGAGAGATCAGTAGCACCGAAGAGCACTAGATCAAGCAGAAGAACCAGAGCAGGAAGCACCAGAGCAAGAAACACAACATCAAACTTGAGAGCATCACCACAAACATGCCAGACTTTCCCTTTGGAACCACCATCACGTTCTCTTCCATCCTCCTAGCCACCTACATATTCTTCAAGTTCCTGGCCATAAAGAAGAGATCGTCACCTTCCCGTGTGACTAAGTCCTCGTCTTCGTCTTCGTTCTTGGACAAATCAAAGGTTAAGGCCACTGAGAAGGTCCAGCCGGTAGATGCCAGCTTCGACTGGAAGACAGAGGAGCCTGTGAAACAGTATCCGTTTAAAAACGCTGCCTATAAGCTTACCATGGGTATCAAGAACTTGTCAGTTCAAGATTGGTTGCTCATCGATTCAGACTACTTGCGTAAGCTCAAGGCCAAGAAAGAGATTGTCACTAATGACCATCCGTTCTACCCTAAGGAAAAGCAGTTGACAGATAGAACAGTATTGATTACTGAAGAATGCTGGCCAGCCGCTAGAGAGCTCTACGACGTGGTGATCCAATACTTGTGCGACAAGTATCCCATGTACTTTGTTGTTGACTCTGTCAAGGGTACTGTCCACAACAAGATCACCGATGAGACTCACCCATACACCGCAGACTCGGTGCCCTTGGAAGATACAAAGGAGCTTCTTTTTAAGTTGTCACGAAACATCGAAGAAGACTTCATCATCTTGCTCAAGGACCCCTCCAGAGAGTCTGAGAAGGACGGGTCTGAGTACTTCTACAAGGGAGGAGTGTTTGCGTTTGCTGCTGGGTTCGCTCCTAGTGATCGGTTCAACATGCCGCTCTCCTTCATACACCACCCCATCCCCGGTTATGAAAGCAAGCTTAAGCTTTCCATGAACAGGTTCTTCGATAGAGTGTCCCCAGGGCAGTACGTTTCTAGAATGAACTTCTCAGTCCAAACGCACGACAGGTTCTACGTAGACGACCAGAACAAGAATCACAACTTGAAGGAAGGCGAAGAAACGGTGGTGTTCAAGAAAGAAGACCTTGATTTCGACAACCAGGTGCACTACAGAAGCGAAAGACAGACCTTGACGAAATTGCCAAAGTCTGGTGCTGTGGTGTTTACCATCAGAACGTTCTTGGTCCCCATGAGCCAGCTCAAGCAGGAGGGCCCAGAGGTGACGGAAAGATTCATTGGGGCTATCAAGGGACTTCCTGAAGATATCGCCGATTACAAGAGATCAGTGGCCTGGGGGCCAGCTGTTATAGACTATTTAGAACAATGAGGTAATAAATGCTTTGAACTATTGGCTCATTTGATGTCTTTTGAACGACAAGAGTTCATCTACGGGTGCCTCTTATTATAAATATCATTAATTATCGTTATAAATAGAGCATTCATTCATTCATTGTGTAGCTACTTACAATCTCAAGATTTCGTCCTTGATCTCCTCCCAGATCTCCACGTTCTTCCTGGCCCATTCAACAAGAAACCCATTGTAAGAAAGTAGTATATCGTAAATCATTTTCAACTGGATCCTACGGAATCTCTGGAAATTATTGTTAAGCTCATCGGAAATGTAAGATATGTCTTCCAACATTCTGGTTTGACATCTTTCCAATATCTCGATTTTGGCTTGGAGGCTAATCAACTTCTGCTTGCGAGTCTCTTCGGGATTTTGGTCAATGATATCGGACACGTATCGAGTAATCTTCTTGAACATGGGCATCATTCTGTAGCCACCACTGCTTCCACCTCCACCGGTTGTCCCATTTGCGCTTGGAGGTGACGCTGTATCTTTCAATGCATACTTCGTGTTCCTGGTCAACCCGTTACCTGCAGACTGTTCCACTCTACTGGATTCCGCCTCGAATGTTAGCAAGTCATTGTATTCCTTCTTCTTGTCCTCGACTTCGGTATCCAATAAGTTAGATTGCCGATTCTTACGTTCTTTGAATTTCCGTACCGTTTGCAAAGTTCCCGAGAATCGTACAGCCTCTCCTAAAGGTTCCGAGAATTTTGTTTCTAGGTCGCCAATCAACGAATTCAAAGTAATGTACGAGCGATCAAACACCTGTCCGATCTTATCGAAGATCAAATTGAGCTTGATTTCATCTGGAGAAGTGGACAAACTTTTCAATTTCTCAGATGTGGAAGTCTCAGCAAGTATAAGAGAAAGGGAGTTGAATATGCTACCAAGATCTGTGTAATCATTGGAAAGTCCAATAAAGTTTCCCATGATCTTTTTGTTTGTTTCGTCAAGTTGCGTCGAATCAATTATTTCAGATGTCACCAGTGTGTTGGCCGCAGGAGTGCCAGCACTAGCAGCGCTGATATCTTCAGCACTGCCGCTAAGCTCCAGTTGGTTGTCGTTGGTCTCTGCACTGGCAGTGGTTCTCAGTGAAGCCGTGGCACCAGCAGTTGCGGCGGCAGCACCCACTGCACCGACTTTGCGCTTCAATGGCTTCAAGAACGACGGGATACTATGGCTCACTGGTAACGGCAAGCTGGCGTATATGGCGTCAGTCTGTAAACCGTTTTCAGGGTTCAGCTGGTATATGGATTTGGGTAACTGGCTACTTATCAATGCAATCTCATCAGTCCAGTTAGCGTTGGGGTCCAAAAACTTGGCAAAGAATTCAAGGTTTCTTAGTTTAGGTATTTCCAAGCAGTTATTCAAGAAGTTGGTAAGCAATCTCTTCCTGTGCTCGATGAGCTTATGCTTGTTCAAATGGTTCGAGTTGATGTATGTATAGTAGTTGGAGCTTGCGTGAGCAGCCAAGGAGTTGTCATTGCTGGAGTTGGCGGCGGAGGGCGACTCGCCCTTAGCAACAGAGTCGACGTCACCATGGTGATGGGGGTTCGAGTTACCTCCGTTGCTATGTTGATTTGCAGTGCCATTGACCAATCCGTTTAGCACGTTTAAGTTGAGATAATTCTTAGGTGGGATCGGTGGTACGATGACTAAGGGGAAGATCTTCGTCAAGACGTCTCTCAAGCTCTCAAAGTCGCTGTACCTTCGTCTGGTCTGGATATCCTCCTCGTCAGGGTTGTCAATGCTTATCAATTTAATCGTGTATACTATATACTTTTTCAGCGAGTTCAGAGCTCCTTCATTGGAGTTGTTTGCCTCTGTTATCTGCACCTTCACCTTGGAGTGTGGCTTGAGCAATTTAGTCACTCTGCTTTCGTAGTTGATGTGCACTCGGTTGAACTTATCAACGTCAATGGTAGAGCTATTGACATTGGTGGACCCGTCGTCTTTGCCCCCAGCCGTACTGCCATCCTCGTTGTGTGGTGCCTTACCGCTCTTGTACAACAACACAGAGTCTTCCAACCCATTCTCCTCATGGTTCTCTCTTTCACTCATGCTATCCTCAATCATGCTGGTAAGTCCCTGCGTGTGCGAGAAGGGATTGTTGTCCTCAACGTCGTCAAAGGAAGGCATCTGGGACGATTCGACTTGGTCCGAATCGCTCATGGTAAGATATTTAGCGTTATGCTACAAAATGGATTATAAACTAATCCCAAAGGCAAAGAAAAGAAATCCAAACTCACTTTTTTGGTCCCTCTCGTTCCTCCCGCCTACTGATAGCTGATAACGGAGATACCCCCCAAATTAGCGTGCCATACTTTTTTGCTCACGCCAACTCACAGTTTTCCCCCCAGAATGGCGGGCCAGCAAGGGAACTTTAGCGGGTGATCTGGGTCCTGCATGCAGCACTCCGCTAGAGCTCGGTGCATCAGGGCGTGAAAAAAAATGCACACAGAGACGAGTAAACAACAGGAGCAGAGCACAGTCAGTTCGTAGCAGAAGAGGCACATACAGTTCGACAATCGTGGTGAAAATGAGCTCTTTCCTTTCCCCATTTGCCAAGTTTGACCCCAAGTCGCCGAACAGCGCGGTAGCGCAGCAATTCGCTACGACAGTTCAGGGTTTCCAGCTGAACAGCGGTCTGGCAGATGCGAACGCTTTTCAGGTGGTGGAGCAGTTCAAGGGCATAGCTGCGTCTTTTGCTCTAAGTTACGGAGATTATGAGCTAAACTTCACTGCCAAGCAACCAGCACCCGAGTACGTCTCGGAAAACTTGCAGAACTTTGACTTGGAGACCAAGTTGTGGCACCTTTTCATCATCTTATATGGCTTCAGAATCCAAGACGGAGAGGGACAGTTGTTGCCGGAGAACGAGCACTCTTCGGATGCTGTAAGAGAACACAATTACTTGATAAAGCACACGAAGATCAAGGAAATCTCCTTAATAATCCACTGGCTTCAAGAAAACAGCAAGACCACGGAGGTTCCCTCTGACTTCTCTAGCAAGTGGAAGAAAACCCAGTCCATGTTACAAAACAAGGAGTACTACAACTTGTCCAGCGCCGCTCCATTGCAATCCAATGATTCTGTGAGGTATCTAGATTCTGATGCCCCCATCAGGGAATCGCTATTATTGGAGCAGGACGACATCAGCGAAGACACCGCCAACTTCAGAACTATCTATAAATTGGTGTTGGACAACAGGATCGAGGAGGCGATCGAATTCTCCAATAACACCGGCAACTTCACCCTCTCACTTATCTTGTTGGGAGCGGTACATGACTATTTGGATCCAATAGTGGACGAGAACAACTTGAATCTAGAAGTGGAAGATATAACTACATCCGAACCTTCTGGCCAACGCCACAAGCTGCTCTGGAGAAAAACAGTATACAAGCTTTCTCAGCAAACAGGAATCAACTCGTACGAGAAATTGATATACAGCTATCTCTGTGGAGGTGAAGTCAGTATGAACTTGAAAGAAGCGAGCAACAGCTGGGAAGACCAATTATTAATCTACTTGAACCAATTGTTCAAGCACAGCATTTCTGAGGTGTACGCTAACGAAAATGAAGACAGTTCCTCCATCCCCTTACCCCAATCTGATTCTATAGACTCCATTTTGAATATTCTTCTGGAGACTACAGATGCTGATCATCCTTTAAGAATTATGAGCGGAGGTATCATGATCAATCAACTCCACAAGGTCCTTCACAGCACCATCAAAAACTTGTTGGCTGATGATGAAGGAGTGGATGACTACATTATCAGGGTTGTCACTCACTTGTCTATATTCTTGTACAACATAGACCAATCTGTGGATTCCATTTCTTCCAAAGACTTGACAAAGATAATCAGTCTTTACACTAGATATCTTTCTAAAAATAAGTTGGAAGAGTTCATTCCAATCTATCTTCAATTTATACCGAATGAAAAGGATGCAAGAGAGTGTTATTCATTGTTTCTCTCTTCACTCACAGATGATGAGAAAAGACGCAAGCAATTGGATATGGCCAAGAGGTTCGTTACTGACGATATACCAAGCAACAGCGATTCAGATGAAATGGATATCGATGAAGGAAAGATGGTGAATGTGTTGAGAAGAACTGTAGAGAGAGTAATGATTGAAACAGCGCCACATTACACCTCTTCTGGTGGGTCCATTGTGGTGGAGATAGACGAAGTTGATGACATAGACTACAAGCTTTACAGGTCGGTAGAGTGGTTCTATGAAAACAGAATGTATGAAGATGCCATCACAGCTACTATTGTGGTGTTCCGCCGATTCCTCTTGAGTGGGAAGTTGGCAAGCTTAAAGAAATTCTCGGAGGGGAAGAGCTTCAAGCAATTGATAAAGAATTATGATGTAGAAATCAACACCAAGCTACTCTCCAGTCTGGTGGCTAAACCTAAGGTTAACGAGGAAATGAAGGAGGAGTTGTCCCAATACGATCTCTTTATCCAAGGCTTGACTCTTCTTGACGAGCAGAAGAGATTCTGGGAGCTAAACAAGTTTAATGGTGTTAACAGCGACGATAAGAGTACGTTCTGGAAATCTAACCACCTTCAAATGTCAGTTGAAAAAATCACAAGCAACTTGAACAAACTCATCTTCAATTGGTTCAAAGTACTAATCAAGTCAGAGAACGTAAGTGGAGTAGACGTGAAGTTATTTAAGGAATATAGAAGCATCTACGCTCCTTTCTTGACGATAGAATTATTACAAATATATCAATTTGCCAGACTAAATGACTGGAAGTACATGAGATCTGCCTTCGAGTTGATAAACTTGGTGGCGAACGATGAGGAGAACGACTTGTTAAGCTGCTTCGTCTCCAGTGGCAGGCTTAATGAGTTTGTAAAGAGAAGTGGAGAGTTGGCAGCTATAGCCAGTGAGAGAGGTATCAAAGGTATTTTCTATTGAACTGGTGAACGATATAGATTAATGAACATACTTAGAGGTAATCAGGAAGAGTGAGTAAATTTTGTAAGGTAAATCACAATCAGCAAATGGTACCAAGCTGGACTGTAGTCAGTGTCTTCTTCTATTTCGTTTATTTTTAGTTATCTAATTAAGTGATGACGCCTTTTCGTACAATAAATCTACAACATTAGATAAGTTCTTAACCAAGTCTAATGCACCTTCGTAAGTAGCATCCTTTCTTGGCTTGTCATAAATGATTAACCAACCATTACCTTGGTCGAGCACCCCGTAGAATATCTTGTCCAAGATCATCTGTGACAATTTACCTTCCACTTGACTTAAGCTTAACCCAATTGTCTTGGAAATGTGGCTCAATTCCACGGTACTGTAACTTTCAATGATTTTCAACAAATTTTGTTCCAACAAGTTGTCGTAAAGTTCGTTGAAGTGGGATTTAATGATGGAGTCGGATTTCAATTCGTGAGCGTAAGTAGTTAGAGAGTTTTCGAAGTCCTTCAACGATCTGTTGGAGTAGGCCAATGAAATAGACTTCATGGCGTCAATATCTCTAGACTGGTACTTCACGACGTTCTTGTTATTCAAGATCAAATTGACATCGTCAATCAAGTTGAGCATAATCTTTGTAAGCAACATGTACTTCAACACGACGATAGCTCTGTGGTCGTCCTGACTGTTGAACCCCTCAAAGGACTCGAAAAAGTACGAGAAAGCGGTCTTATAATCTTTATCTTCGGCATTCAAGATCCCTGATTGACAGTCCAACTCAGCCTGTAACAAAGTAGGACAGTAGATCAGGTTAGCGGAGGTCCTGGCACTCGTCAAAGCGGCCCTGGACTTGGGGATATTTCTTAAGGCGTGGTAAATCTGCGACTCCAACAACTGCACTTCGACCAACGACGACTTGTCGTCCAACTTCTTGTACTCTCTCAACAACTCGGTTATGATCTTCAATCCTTGCTGGTACTGTTGCTTCTGGTAGAAGCTGGAAGCCAACTTCAACTGCAAGGATTGCCTCAAGAAGGTCAACTTCAGCTCAATTGCCCACTCTATACAGTTTTCTGTGACCTTGATCGACAAATCAATGGACTCTGGGACTTCGTCAATGTACTCAATAAGCGTCTTGATGATCTTGGCTGTCTTGGACTTGGCGAACGATCCTCCCAACACAGTCTTGGACTGATCGATCAAATCGGAGATCTTCTCTACTTGTTTGGTGGTTTCATAGATCTTGCCAAGTTCTAATATGGCTGCCTCCTGTTCTTGGACAATTTTGTTTTGGGGAACGTCTAGAGTCTCAGGAGACTGGATGATGGACAAGTACTTCTCTTCGGCGGACGAGTATTCCGACTTGGAGGCCTCCTCTCTAGCTGAAATTAAAGCTGAGGACATGTTTTACCTGTGGAATATGGAAATCGGGATGTGTGGGGTCGAATTGGACGCTTATATGGCTGTTGTGTGCTTACTAACTCCTGTCCTCCTCCAACCTTCGTCGCTCTCCTTTGCTTCGAAATTTGGCGGGAGCTGGAGCTTGTGAGAGGTTGTGTGCAGGACGGTTTGCCCTCCAGTTTCGAGATTTTGTTTGGGTCTGTATGCAGGAGTGAAAAATCACCTAGTCCCAGCGCTTGCCAGAGAGCAGAGGAAGAGTGAAGATGGTTCGATGTGTTGATGCTAGGTGGTCCCAGTTCCTTCTTGGTATCGGTTTTTGTTCTTTGTTTGCAAGCAGATATGTTTCGTGGTTTAGCCCCTTCCAGGAACAAAATTCTCGGGCTGCAAGTCGGCTTATTTAGGCTCTACTCACAGAAACCGTACAATGTTCCCAAAGCGTCATTTGCACCACCTAAAGCAAAGCTGCTGCAGGCGACAGGATGGAGAGCGTTCGGGCAATGGCTAGGAGACAATTCCACTCAGAAGAAGCTAACGAAGGTATATGTTGCAGGGTTCGGTGTTTGCTGTATTTTTTTTTACTATTACATGAGAGACAAGTACTATGAGGAGAAGTTCAGCAACTCGCTTAAGCAGAAGTTTCTTGAAGACCCGGACTCATTGAACGAGTACGAACATCTTAGGTTGAAGTTGGTTTTGGGAGACAAATTGAAGGTCAGAGAACAGAAGACTTATGATTTGTATCAGGCTTTGAGAAAGGAGCAATTCAGATCCAGTCTGCCTGGCTCCTTCCACCTGCCCTCCCCAGAAGAGTTACAAGAGTGGTACGACAGGCAACCAAAAAGGCTTGTAAAGAAGGCGCCGGTGCCTGAGGATGAGGAACATGTACATGAGCACGAGCACGAGCATAGTGAAGTAGCCACCAATAAGACAAACCCAAATATCATGGAACCAGCTGACACCACTGAGTTCTACGACGGCATGGCGTCTGCGTACGACGACGAGGTCAAGTGGGAAGAGAGGGCCATTCTTATGGGAATGCGTAGAAGTCAAATCATGTCAAGATTGGAAGGTGACGTTTTGGAAATCGCCTGTGGAACTGGTAGAAATATCCCCTACTTGCACTTTGATAAGATAGATTCTATAACGTTTTTAGATTCTTCGCCTAAGATGGTTGAGGTTACTAGGAACAAGTTTAGAGAGCAATACCCGAAGTTCCTGAAGGTTGCATTTACCGTAGGAAAAGCTGAGGATTTGCTAGACCTCACTGGAGGGTCCAAGGAGATTAAGTACGATACCATTGTAGAGACATTTGGGTTGTGTTCACACGAGGATCCGGTCAGGGCCTTGAAGAATATGGTTGGGTTATTGAGACCTGGTGGAAGAATTGTGTTGCTCGAACACGGTAGAAGTAACTGGGATTTCATCAACAATCACTTGGACTTCAGAGCCGAAAAGAGAATGAAGACGTGGGCTTGTAGATGGAACTTGGACATCGGTGAGTTGATTGAGGACGCTGGGTTGGATGTAGCCTATGAAAAGAGGGTGCATTTTGGTACCACATGGATGTTAGTATGTAAGAGACCGGAAGATCCAATAAAGGTGAGCGAGAAGACATTCTTACAAAAGTTGTTTGGTACCGGACCAAAGACATCAGTTAACTAGACAACTGTATATATAATTATAATCTGTAAATAATAATACCATAAAAGCGAGGTTACGTTGAGTATATTTCCCACCTTCTTATCAAATCATATCATCTCTTTTTGCAAGGATATAGCTCCCCAAACTTGTGGGACCTAGCGCTGGGGGAATCTCTAGAGCACTGGTTCATTCTTCAACATTCCTGGTTATAGCCACTCCGTCAAAATTCCTGGTGGTTATAGCCGGTGTTTGTGAGTACATTCTGTGCCTCCTCTAAGGTTTCTAATGAATTGTTACGCTTGCATACTATCACTAAATAAACTATAATTAGAACTCCTTAGCTTCCGTATCAGCGTAGTTTTGAGACACCAGTGTTCTACTGACCAGCTTACTAGCGTAGTACAACTAAATGGCCCATAAGTAGTACTCCTCAGGTTCAGAACCACCTTCGCGGGCCAGCTTACTAGCATACATTACTAAATACCCTATAAATATAACTCCTTAGCCTTAGAATCAAGAGACTCGCTCGGTGGTTCTTTCAACCCTCTGCGTCCCAACTCTATGTTGAGCTGAGTAACACGTTCCTTTTGATTTGCTATCACTTCGTTGTTTTCTTCTATAGTTTCGGTATATAGCACCAAGTCTTGTTTCAATTCTTCATGAGACTCCTCAGGTTTCAACTGAGAGACTGCTTCTTTCGTAGTTTCAATTTCCTGGGCTAGAGTCTCATTGCTCTCAACTAGCTTGGAGATAGAGTTGTCCAATTGAGACAAAATGGACTTCAAGTTCTCATCTGAGAGATCCTTGATTGCAAGAATAAACTCCTCGATCTGGATCGGTTTCGAATTAGATGACATTAGCAATATAGAGTCCACCACCGGGGTTGTTGTGAAGAAAAGGTTGCAATCAGGGAATCTTGATTTTCATGTCAGGCCAAAAAAAATTCTAGTCCAAGAAAAGTGAAAAATTTAAACTACTCTTTGTAGACAAGCAAAACTGGTCTTTAATAGGTAATATAACGAGTTCTAGGACTTGAATAGAACTAGTAGATGCTTGAGATGCTAGTACGAAGTATATATAGAGGGATCCGCAGCGAGTTTGGTAGAAATGTCTTCGGGTATGGGTGTAGACTGAGTAGAGGCATCTCGACCAATGCGCTTGGAATCAATATGGATGAATTACCAAAACTCCACCCTTCGCTTTTAAAAAGAGCAGAGACACTTAGGGTAGAATTGGAAGATCTTGAGACTAAAATCACTTCTGGAACGTTTGACCAGGAAACCAACGTAAAATTCTCTACAATCTCGTCCATATTGGAGGAGTTTGCCAAGTACGAGAACTATCGTGAGAATGTCGCATCGATAATAGAAATGTTGAACGAAGAGAACGGTAACGATCAAGAGATAATAGATGATTGTGTATCAGAATTGAAAGAATATATACCCAAGTTGATCCTGGCCACTTCAAAAGTGCAAGTTAAGTTAATACCCAAGGTTTCTAACTATGACAAGCCAACTATAATGGAGTTGCGCCCAGGTGTTGGTGGGTCCGAGGCCCAAATCTTCACCAACGACTTGTTAAGCATGTATATAAATTTTGCTAATACCAAGAGATGGGGTTGGGAGATAATTCTGAAGACTGAAGGTACTTTAGGAGGATTGACAGAGGCCATATTGAGTGTCAATGAGCCTGGTTCGTACGATGTGTTAAGACATGAGAGTGGAGTGCATAGGGTTCAAAGGGTCCCAGCTACCGAGACCAAGGGAAGGACCCATACCTCTACTGCTGCAGTCGTAGTACTACCTAAGCTTTCAGAAGGGAACGAGTCTTCTCTTCTAGAAGACGAAAGACAGTTTGCTCCAGGTGAAATTAGAATCGATACCATGAGATCCGGAGGAAAAGGTGGACAGCATGTGAACACCACAGACTCTGCTGTTAGATTGACCCACATTCCTACTGGAATTCAGGTCCAGCAACAAGATGAGAGGTCGCAGCCCAGAAACAAAGCCAAGGCGTTTTCTATTTTGAGAAGTAGGCTAGCAGCTTTGGACAGAGAGAGGGAGATAGCTGAACAAAAGTCGTTGAGAACTACTCAAGTTTCAACCACTGATAGGTCTGATAAGATTAGAACGTACAACTACTCACAGAATAGAGTAACAGATCATAGATGTGGATTCAGCTTGCATGATCTTGAAGGCTGTTTATCGGGGGAGAAGTTGGAAGATATAATCGAGGCCGTTGAGCAAGAGGAAGTTCGAGAAAGGATTGAAAGTTTGTAGAGAATGAAGTTGAAGAGAAGAGATGACAGAAGGAAGTTGAGCGAGAAGAAGGTGGTGAAAGAGTAGAATATGATGCTGAGCATTGAGAAGAGATGACAGAAGGAAGTTGAGCGAGAAGAAGGTGGTGAAAGAGTAGAATATGATGCTGAGCATTGAGAAGA